TTTATCTGCACCGGTATTCTATTAGGGTTTATATAACAGAATGGCTGTGTGCATCACAGAGTAATGTTATCCAGAGTGGGCGCTCTGGATTCTGACTATTTACAATGAAGCACAAGAGGGAATGAGAGCAATATTTCTGATGGGAGGCGGGTGAGAACCTCAGCTAATATTCTCACAGGGCAGAGAATGTTAGTGGACAGTTTGGGCAGTAATTCACAGCCTGGGATAGAGTTTAGGTAGCTTCAACACTTTCACGTAGATTGAGCCACTGAGAGTAGCTGTGTGAGCAATAGAAACGGCAGCACTCACTGGTTAAACTGTCCCTCCAACACCAGGTTGGGTCCTGTGCCGGTCAGGGTCGCTGTGCCACCGATGCTGGCGGAGTAACAGATGCACAGAGTGACCAGCTTGTAGAGATTCCTTCTCGCTCTGGTTGCCTTTTCATTATCTGTTGAAACATTCCCATTTCAATTTTAACGTGGAGTGAGTGTGTCAGAAAATAACCAAACCACTGATAGGAGCTCAGACAGGACACTGGTAGCTGCACAATCATCCTGAAGGCCAAAGTCAACCCTACAAAAACAATCTGAACTCGTACAACACCCTTCACACGGGATAGTGTCTCGGATCCCCTTACATCCCGGAGCATCCCGAGGCTTCTGTTTCCATCACCAACCACTTCCTCCCTCCTCCTGTTAGTGCCAGTCCTCCTGACGTGAAAGGCACCGCATGAAATTGTTGTTATTGAGGACAAACTATAGAAGAAGAAATGCATTTCAATGTCAAACAAGTCTTGCAAGCTGTTTTATGACTGTTACCTGGAAATATTTTCAAGACTGGTATTTCATCGGGTAGCAGGTTAAGTGATTGTTTTGTTTGCAACTCCTCTTCAATTGTCTGGTCAAACTTATCCTCGCTCAGACTGAGCTGATCCAACACGGCTTTTGCGATGGGGACCATCATTGCAGTGGTGGCCGTGTTGCTGATCCACATGGAGAGGAATGCTGTCACCCCCATCAGTCCCAGTGTTAACCTGCGAGCAACAAGAACTTTAACAATTTGCCTATAATAATAATAATAATCCTTGCATTTGATACAGCGCTTTTCACGTCTTCTAGACGTCTCAAAGTGCTTCTCAGAATAGACTGTAAAGTGAATTGACTGTACATTTGTGGGCAAAATGCTGCAGCCGATTGCACACACCAGTGTCCCACAAACAGTTGTGGATTGAAGTGACCAATTTTTTATTATTATTTTTTTTGGAGGGATTATCAGGCGTGTGGAGTAAGGAAACTTGCCCAAAGCGAGTGCTCTAACCACTAAGCTACAGGACTCCACAAGCCCACAAGATGTAAGAGGTTGAGAGAGGCTCTCCCTTCTGCTCCCTCTCATTCTCAGCTACTACACTCCGAAAGAGAGGGAGCTCTTTCTGGATGTATTGTAGTCCAGGATCGATTTCAAGATCCTCTCAATCGTTTTCAAATCCCTTCATGCCCTCGCATCTCCCTACCTCTCCGATCTGTTCACACACCCCCAACCCTCTCCTCCACCCGCTGTCTCCGCTCTTCTGGTTCCGGCCTCCTGTTTGTCCCTCGTCCCCTCTGCTCCACCATCGATGACCGTGCCTTCAGTCCCTACGCCCCGAAACTGTAAAACTCTCTGCCTCAATCCTTCCGCCTTGGCCCCTTCCCTTGCTGCTTTCAAATCCCGCCTAAAGACCTTCCGTTTTGATCATGCTTAGGGTCACCTCCCCACCACCTCACTCTCCCCTTGGCTCAGTGTCAGACACCGCCACTGTCAAGTGCTCTAGCACACTAATGCGCGTGAAGGGCGCTATATCAATGTAGGTCATTGTTACCAAGCCGGCTTGACTCCAACATACAAGAGCACCCTCAATGCAATACGTTTGTGGAGGTTCCATTCTTCAATGGCGATAGCTACCATTAAACCGCCAACAAAGAGCATGGTCGTATCCTTCATGTACTGCAAAGCCACCTAGAACACAAAGAACCACATGGTAGCATTTCATTGGTGTGACTGTGTTACTGAGGCTGCCAGCTGTGTATTTGCTGTGTTATATAGGGTAAAGAATGTCCATCTGAACCAACAATAATAATACTTGATATAGTGCCTTCACAGCATATACTGTAGAGTGAATTGGTTGTATATTTTGTGGGTGAAATTGTCGGATAATGAAATGTCAGATAATTCTAAATGTTATAACTTAAGGTGTCTCACCATTTACTGGCGTCTCTCCCACAATACAATCTCTTATCTTTCAAGACTAATGTTAAAGCGGATGTGCTGTGCTTACTTATCCAATGAAGCTCTGCCATCATGAATGTAGATGGTAGGCATTGGACAGAAAGCCCTGTCGATTGTGGTGAAGCCAACACAATAGTAATGATGTGAATGTTTATGTTTTGTCACTGCCTGTGTGCGTCGAGAGGTATTTGTGACGTGATGATTGACTAGGCTGAACCTTGCTCACTTTTTCATTTGGCATGATTCCAAACATTGGGATGAGGACTATGGGAATGAGCGATGTGATGCCCAAAGGAATGACTTCCGTGCTCCAGAACACAGCCATGAGGAGAATGGTGTATCCACAAGTCGCTATCTGTAACAACAACATCACATCAGGAAGAAGTCCCAAGGCGTTGGACAGTCAAGGATTTGGACCCGAGCTGGGGGTTGGGACTGGGATCAGGAAGGGTGGACAGCAGGGAGGGTAGGGGTATAGGAGGGTGACCGAAAGCGTGGTTGACGAGGAGGGTCTGGAGGAGACAAAGGAGAAGATAAAGTGAATCAGCTCAAACTTCCTGTACTGGGCACCCACTGAGGTTCTGTGTCTGGCACCTCTGCCCCAACTCCAATTCTGATTGAAGGCTCAACCCCCAAACATCAACCAGTTTGTTTGCTGCAGACACTGATTGAGCTGTTGTGGATTTCCATTGGATTTCCACTAAACTCTCTTCCACCTGGAGGCTGAGTGCAATGGATGCAGAAGAAGGTAGGATGGATCTATTGGGGTGGGGGGGGTTGTCAGAGGACGGGTATATAACTAGAGTAGAAGTAAAGTATGTTAAAGATCTCACCTTGCTCGGTATCAGGAGGGGTAAAGGCAAAAGTATAATAGGCGTCAGGATTAAAACCAGATAGCTCCAGTTGGCCCTGAGAAACCTTAGGGTGGGAAGCAATGTGTCTGCAAACATTCCCACTCACTCACTCACACACTCACACACACACAGCGTGAGTCTCAGCAGTGAAGAGATGGAGAACCTGGTGTGTGCGGGTGTCCCTATCAGCCCAGTGTGTCCCAGAGATGGATTGGGGGCTTTTGCCCCGACTCTCCTGTCCTGTGTTCACAACCTGGGTCTGGAGATCAGGGGGACTGTCCAGGGGGATCTGTTTTGCTGATTGTCTTCTTGCTGATCATTCCCCTCCCAACTCCAGCTCAGTCTGTCCCAACCTCAGCTGTGACCGACATCACATTGATACCATGAGCTGGGACTTGATGCGTCAAAAGCGCATGAGCTGAGCGCACAGAGAGACAAACAGAGCATGTAAATAGCTGGGCAGTGTCATGCTGAACCACAGCTCAGACCCCCACCCCCCACACCCCCAGCCCCACCAATGTCTTGGTATTCATTTTCATTGACACCAAACCCCTCTGAACCAGGCAGCAAATGCTTCACGTTTGAGCTAACTTTAGGAGAAAATTAAAGGGATGATTCATTTAACTGAAAAAACCTCTTACACCAACATATTGCTGTCAAAATTAGAGCTAAAAGTGTCCCCAAGTCAGGCTGATTTTGAGACAGAGGAAGAGAGCACAAACCACATGCCTTTTACAGTCTGATCTTCACTATCCATTAAACCACCTCAGTCTGTGTATAAAAATCCCTTAAAAAAAGATAATCATAATAATAATTTGGTCATTCAATCCACAACTGTTTGTGGGACATCGCTGTGTGCAATTGTGTTTCACCTACAAAATGTACAGTCGATTCGCTATATGGTATATTCTGTGAATCACTTTGAGGCATCTCAGAGATGTGATCAGGCACTGTATGAAATGCAAGAATATTATTATTATTATTAATATCCAGCACTTTTTTTTATAGTTCGGGTGGACATTCACTGGCAGGAATGCCTTCACAAGAACTCATCACTGCCAGGTGTATGTTCACTACGTGTGTTTAGTACAGTATACTGTACATTCTAATTATACAATCAATGTCAGGCTTAACCTGCTGTGTACTCAAAGTCAAAATAAATACAATTCTTTCAGTTTATTACTGCAATTGTCCCTATTGTTGCTTCATTGCACATCGTGTCTGTCAGTGGGTTGACAATGAATACCGGCCATTAACCCTTCCAGAATCTTTGCAGAGGCATAGTGATGGCGGTAGCTCACATAGAACTCGAACCAGGACAGTGCGATCCTACTGAAGTGGATGAAGGCGAGGCAGTCGAGGAGGATGGCGTGATCAACACTGTTGAAAGCAGCGAAAAGGTTCAGCAGGACAAGGAGGCAGAGGGAGGCACACAGAGAGAGGACGTCATTTGTAACTTTGACACGCACTGGCTTGGTGCTGTGGGCAGGTCGGAACTCGGATTGGGGAGACTCGAGTAGGGAGTGGAGTCAACTTATCAATATATTAAAAATCATTAAAATCCCAGTAGTTGGACAGACATACATTTAATAATCATAACTGAGGAACTGCCATTAAACACCATTCCACAATCACTTTTAATGAGAATAAATAAGCAATAAATGGGAAAGGACCAGGACTCCAATAACTGCTGCCAACATTGCCTGACTGCAGGATATCACCATTAAGAATAACATAGAAGAGGTTGTAAGGTACTATAATTGACCCTAATGTAGAAGGAGGGAAGGGGTTTCACAGCTTGGTTTGGTGGAGTTTTTTGTTTTCTGGAGTTCATTGAACATATGGTATATTCTGATTGGCAGGCTTCAGTGTTCTTGGCGTGTAAGTAACCTCAAATAATGTTTGATACGAGGTATGGACGTGACTTTCTGAGCAGCTTGCCACATCATAAATTTGTAGTGTTTGCCCAGGCAGGAAATTGGTCCATATTGAAAAACATCCAACCCCAGGTATTGACGGATAGAGTAACGCAAACCACTCCCACCAGGTTCATAACGAACCCAGCCTTAACCTATAAAAGAAAAAGATAGTATTAGATTTATCAAATTAAAAGGTGAAGTCAAAGTTCCTAAGGAGTGGCATACCACAAACATAGAATAAAAGTGGTCCTTTTAAGGAATCATACTGAATTAACTCATTTAATAACAATGAATAATAATAATAATCCTTGCATTTGCGCCTTATCACAGCTTCAACACATGTCAAAGTGCTTTACAGAATATAATAATAATAATAATCCTTGCATTTGATATAGCGCTTTTCACGTCGGGAGGACGTCCCAAAGCGCTTCACAGAACACACTGTAAAGTGAATTGACTGTGTATTTTGTGGGCGAAACGCAGCAGCCAATTGGGCACAGCAGTGTCCACAAACGATCGTGGATTGAGTGACCACATCGTTTTTTTTAAAAAAAGAGTTATTACCCCCGAAATGCGATCTGCCAATCAACTAACAAACAAGTTGTTATTTACTGTCAGGTAAGCAGAGACATGTGGAGTAAGGAAACTTGCCTAACGTTTCACCCTGCCCGGGAATCGAACTCGGATCCTCTCACTTGCAACTCTTTGTACTACTTACCATGTCCATGACTGTCAAGTGCCCATAGGTGAAAACTATGGCATTGGGAGGAGTTGCTACAGGCAACATGAAGGAAAAGGAAGCAGTTACAGTGCAAGGAATCATTACATACAGAGGGTTGATCTTAAGCTTTACAGCCTGGAATGATAAGCAGAAAAGAAATTAGTTAGCAACAGATATCAACAGATATCTTTTACTTTGAGACAATGACTTACATTTATACAATGCTCCTCACGTCTTGAGGTGCTGTACTGTGGCAGGTCGGACACTGAACGAGGGAGAGGGAGAGGTGACCGCTTTAAAGCCCACCTAAACGCTTATATTGAAGACAAATTGAACTGGGAAAACTCACATTGAACCCTGAATGGTTTCCGTCTTACCATGCATCTTATATGATGTAGACTTGAGCAAGAGACAACTTGTGAAATAAATGAAAAGAGGCCCTGCTTACCAGTGAAGCCAGGATGGGGAGGAAGAGAGTGGCAGTGGCAGTGTTGCTGGTGAATTCTGTAAAGATGGATATCAGTAAGCATAATATAATCACGATGCCCCAGTGTGGGATGGTCTTCAGTGGGTTGAGCTGGTTACCCAACCATTTGGACAGACCTGATGCCTGAAAGTAGAACAGAATCATGTCACAATACCAGGGTCAGAGCTTCTAATTCTGTGGGAAATCTGTCTGGCTCCTGTCTCCGGATGCAACAAGAAGAATGACCAATCCAACCCAACTGCTTGACATCAGTTAGTCATCATCTATGAAGATGGGAAAACCACCTCCATGGGTGAGAGTTTGATTTGTGTGAGACAAGGTTTTCACTGAATGAGGAGATCGGGACCGAAAGTTGAACAGATTTGGCTTTGGGATTAGAAAGGGTTGAGCTCCTGTAAAATGGCTCTTTGGAAGTCCAGACTGGATTCAAATACAATCAATGAGTTCACCCGAACAAGTTCTTTTTCAGATCTTGATGTAGAGGGTTCTCTTTTAGACAGGACTGTTTGGGTTACTACACACAAAGTGTCGCTGAGCAAGTGTCATGCAGCCATTTCTGCTTGTGGAGGTGGACGGATAAGCATTTACAATTACCTCACAGCTCTTTGCCAAGGCAAAGCCTCCTCCCAATAACAGCATCACATTCCACGGCAGTTTATGTTGTACGACTTCCCAATCCAACAGTGTTGAAGGCTTTTCATCTGTTCAGCATTTAATAAAGAAATACAACAATAAACCAGCTTTGAAAATCACACGTTGACATTTTAATAACTTCTGGTTAGCCTTCCACTGCTGATGAGGGAGAAAGACCTAACTTACATTTCTATTATTAATAATAATAATAATCCTTGCATTTGATATAGCGCCTTATCACGTTGAGACATCTCAAAGTGCTTCACAGGATATCTGGAAAAGTGGATTGACTGTGTATTTTGTGGGTGAAATGCGGCAGCCAATTACACACAGCAGTGTATTGTGCCTTATCACATCAAACAGGGCAACCTTACAGACTGGTTACAGGTACTGTGTGTGTCAACTGCTGGGAGGAGGATCGTAACCTGGATACACACCTTGTATGTGCTGCTCAGTGCTGGATTTGTCTTTAAACAAGCTTTCCAATCGTGGTCTCTTTGATGGCAGAATGTACATGAGGAGCGCAATGAACATTACGGTTGTACCATCAGAAATATATCTGAAAAAAAGCAGTGAAGAATGGACTGTGAAGAACAATTTGCATTTATATGGCGCCTTTCACGTCAGGAGGACATCTCAAAAAGCGCTTCACCCAGCAGAATGCCTGAAAGTTGGCCCAGCAATGGTGAAGCGGATCAGAGGGGACATGAAGCACGCTAGTGCTGAGTGCAGGGAGTACCTCAAACAAGCACCGGGATTCCACAGTATCTGCGCCAGATGGATTGACCATCCATGCAGTTTGGTGTGACCAGCGACTGAGGGGTGTAGGCAAATGATGGGAGCCAAGCAGGAGAGCCTCTGTCTTTTCGGCATTCAGTAGTGGTGCAGGAGGAGAGCCGCTGTTCATGCAGGCCATGTTCATGACCATCCATACAGGCTTCTCCAAATCCCTGACTGTCCACAGCCTTGCATTGTCCTCCCGACGTGAAAGGTGCTACATAAATGTAATTTGTTGTTGTTTTTCTCAATTAAAAACCCCCCACTTATTTTGTTGGGTGTGCTAATCTCTCTGCTAATGCAACCCAACACCACGTTTGGCTCATTTGTTTGAGGATTAAAATACAGAACTTACTTTTTGCTTTTGCCGAAGATCACTGTAGCCCAGCCAGGCATGAATCCAGGATTCCGAGTGAACCACAGAAGCACCAGGAAGATGAAGAGGATGAGAACAAGGATTTCAGCAAAGGACATCTTGCCCAACTTCTTGTACTCCTCTTTGATGACCTGGTAGGCTGCTATCTCCTTCCACGTTTTCACTGATCCACAGCCCCACAATATTTTGAAACTGTTGGAACAAGATCCATCTCAGAATGCACTTCAATTTGCCCAAAAGTACACAGTCACTGTAAACTCTATGAAGCTCTTTGAAATATTCTCCTGACATGAAAGGTGCTTTATCCACTGCCATATTATGTAATGACACATTGTAGAAGGAAAGGTATGTGTCTGAACTGTGCCAGGAGGCTGGTGGCAGTGCCCTTTGGCATTTCATGCTGAGCTGTGCTGTTCACCAGATCGCTCACAGGAAGTTCCTGGAAGCTGCCATTCAGCTAATGAGGGCTCAAACCGAGGTAGATATCAACTGACTAACTCGTGGCTATCCTTCTTGGGGGAGAGATAAGCTATTTGGTCTCCTTGAGGCTGAACTAGGCTCAAAGAGATATGCTTGGCAATAGAATGTCGGAATAGCGACATGTCTCTGTGGTGGTCTGAGTAGTTTGGTTGCTGATGACAGACCAGTCATGGAAGGAGGGACTCTTCCATTTTTCCTCTTGTTCACCATGCAAGACAAAGCCCAAAAGATTGGGGTGGAGGGGGGGCGAGGGTTTGGGCTGGTTAAACTCCAGCAGAACTCCCAACACACACTCCGGCGTCCCTAAGCCTTAGCTTGGATAAATAGTAAAATACAAAGGGAGATGAAGAAAAGGAAGGTTTATAAAGTGTGTAGGGAGAAAGGAGAGATTGACCCTTGGGCTGAATACAAACCAGACTGTACAGAAGAGGTCAAACAAGAGATTAGGGGAGCTAAGAAAAATGGAAAGGGACATATCAAAAAATGCAAATCATAACCACAAAACATTCTTTCAATATTATAACAACAACTTACATTTATATAAGATATGATACTTACTTAAATCCCAGAAAATATATCTGCAGCCATATCCAGCAGAGAAACAGCATGATCAGCATGTTGGGGAAAGCGTACACAAACCACGAACTAAAAGTAATTACGCCCCCATTTTCTGGGAATAACCTTTTTAAATAAACACAAATATGTTAGACACAGAAATAGACAAGGAACACAAGCAGTGAGAATCCAGGAGGCTTCGGAAAGACAGTTGAGATCAACTAAAAGAAGCATTAGAGGCAGAGGAGACTAAAAAATGAGATTCATTGGGTTTACCTTATTAGAACATAAGTTCCAAATCCTTCGAATCAGACAAATGAAGAGAACATGCAAAGAATCTCGGCTACAAATGCATGTGTTTACGTGAAGGTGTCAGGGAGTGTTTAACCCACCAACTCTAAGCCTGATACTGGTTTTATCTGCACCGGTATTCTATTAGGATTTATATAACAGAATGGCTGTGTGCATCACAGAGTAATGTTATCCAGAGTGGGCGCTCTGGATTCTGACTATTTACAATGAAGCACAAGAGGGAATGAGAGCAATATTTCTGATGGGAGGCGGGTGAGAACCTCAGCTAATATTCTCACAGGGCAGAGAATGTTAGTGGACAGTTTGGGCAGTAATTCACAGCCTGGGATAGAGTTTAGGTAGCTTCAACACTTTCACGTAGATTGAGCCACTGAGAGTAGCTGTGTGAGCAATAGAAACGGCAGCACTCACTGGTTAAACTGTCCCTCCAACACCAGGTTGGGTCCTGTGCCGGTCAGGGTCGCTGTGCCACCGATGCTGGCGGAGTAACAGATGCACAGAGTGACCAGCTTGTAGAGATTCCTTCTCTCTCTGGTTGCCTTTTCATTGTCTGCTGAAACATTTCCATTTCAATTTTAATGTGGAGTGAGTGTGTCAGAAAATAACGAAACCACTGATAGGAGCTCAGACAGGACACTGGTAGCTGCACAATCATCCTGAAGGCCAAAGTCAACCCTACAAAAACAATCTGAACTCGTACAACACCCTTCACACGGGATAGTGTCTCGGAGCCCCTTACATCCCGGAGCATCCCGAGGCTTCTGTTTCCATCACCAACCACTTCCTCCCTCCTCCTGTTAGTGCCAGTCCTCCTGACGTGAAAGGCACCGCATGAAATTGTTGTTATTGAGGGCAAACTATAGAAGAAGAAATGCATTTCAAAGTCAAACAAGTCTTGCAAGCTGTTTTATGACTGTTACCTGGAAACATTTTCAAGACTGGTATTTCATCGGGTAGCAGGTTAAGTGATTGTTTTGTTTGCAGCTCCTCTTGACTTGTCTCGTCAAACCTATCCTCGCTCAGACTGAGCTGATCCAACACGGCTTGTGCGATGGGGACCATCATTGCAGTGGTGGCCGTGTTGCTGATCCACATTGAGAGGAATGCTGTCACCCCCATCAGTCCCATTATTAACCTGCGAGCAACAAGAACTTTAACAGTTTGCCCATAATAATAATAATCCTTGCATTTGATACAGCGCCTTTTCACTTTTCTCTGCTGGTTCCGGCCTCCTGTTTGTCCCTCGTCCCCTCTGCTCCACCATCGATGACCGTGCCTTCAGTCCCTACGCCCCGAAACTGTAAAACTCTCTGCCTCAATCCTTCCGCCTTGGCCCCTTCCCTTGCTGCTTTCAAATCCCGCCTAAAGACCTTCCTTTTTGATCATGCTTAGGGTCACCTCCCCACCACCTCACTCTCCCCTTGGCTCAGTGTCAGACACCGCCACTGTCAAGTGCTCTAGCACACTAATGCGCGTGAAGGGCGCTATATCAATGTAAGTCATTGTTACCAAGCCGGCCTGACTCCAACATACAAGAGCACCTTCAATGCAATACGTTTGTGGAGGTTCCATTCTTCAATGGCGATAGCTACCATTAAACCGCCAACAAAGAGTATGGTCGTATCCTTCATGTACTGCAAAGCCACCTAGAACACAAAGAACCACATGGTAGCATTTCATTGGTGTGACTGTGTTACTGAGGCTGCCAGCTGTGTATTTGCTGTGTTATGTAGGGTAAAGAATGTCCATCTGAACCAACAATAATAATACTTGATATAGTGCCTTTACAGCATATACTGTAGAGTGAATTGGTTGTATATTTTGTGGGTGAAATTGTCGGATAATGAAATGTCAGATAATTCTAAATGTTATAACTTAAGGTGTCTCACCATTTACTGGCGTTTCTCCCACAATACAATCTCTTATCTTTCAAGACTAATGTTAAAGCAGATGTGCTGTGCTTACTTATCCAATGAAGCTCTGCCATCATGAATGTAGATGGTAGGCATTGGACAGAAAGCCCTGTCGATTGTGGTGAAGCCAACACAATAGTAATGATGTGAATGTTTATGTTTTGTCACTGCCTGTGTGCGTCGAGAGGTATTTGTGACGTGATGATTGACTAGGCTGAACCTTGCTCACTTTTTCAGTTGTCATGATTCCAAACATTGGGATGAGGACTATGGGAATGAGCGATGTGATGCCCAAAGGAATGACTTCCGTGCTCCAGAACACAGCCATGAGGAGAATGGTGTATCCACAAGTCGCTATCTGTAACAACAACATCACATCAGGAAGAAGTCCCAAGGCGTTGGACAGTCAAGGATTTGGACCCGAGCTGGGGGTTGGGACTGGGATCAGGAAGGGTGGACAGCAGGGAGGGTAGGGGTATAGGAGGGTGACCGAAAGCGTGGTTGACGAGGAGGGTCTGGAGGAGACAAAGGAGAAGATAAAGTGAATCAGCTCAAACTTCCTGTACTGGGCACCCACTGAGGTTCTATGTCTGGCACCTCTGCCCCAACTCCAATTCTGATTGAAGGGTCAACCCCCAAACATCAACCAGTTTGTTTGCTGCAGACACTGATTGAGCTGTTGTGGATTTCCATTGGATTTCCACTAAACTCTCTTCCACCTGGAGGCTGAGTGCAATGGATGCAGAAGAAGGTAGGATGGATCTATTGGGGTGGGGGGGGGGGGGGGGGGGGGTTGTCAGAGGACGGGTATATAACTAGAGTAGAAGTAAAGTATGTTAAAGATCTCACCTTGCTCGGTATCAGGAGGGGTAAAGGCAAAAGTATAATAGGCGTCAGGATTAAAACCAGATAGCTCCAGTTGGCCCTGAGAAACCTTAGGGTGGGAAGCAATGTGTCTGCAAACATTCCCACTCACTCACTCACACACTCACACACACACAGCGTGAGTCTCAGCAGTGAAGAGATGGAGAACCTGGTGTGTGCGGGTGTCCCTATCAGCCCAGTGTGTCCCAGAGATGGATTGGGGGCTTTTGCCCCGACTCTCCTGTCCTGTGTTCACAACCTGGGTCTGGAGATCAGGGGGACTGTCCAGGGGGATCTGTTTTGCTGATTGTCTTCTTGCTGATCATTCCCCTCCCAACTCCAGCTCAGTCTGTCCCAACCTCAGCTGTGACCGACATCACATTGATACCATGAGCTGGGACTTGATGCGTCAAAAGCGCATGAGCTGAGCGCACAGAGAGACAAACAGAGCATATAAATAGCTGGGCAGTGTCATGCTGAACCACAGCTCAGACCCCCACCCCTCAATTTAGGAGAAAATTAAAGGGAATGATAATTTAACTTAAAAAGCCTCTTACATCAACATATTGCTGTCAAAACTAGAGCTAAAAGTGCCCCCAAATCAGGCTGATTTTGAGATTTTGAGGAAGAGAGGAAGAGAACACAAACCACATGCATTCTACAGTCTGATCTTCACTATCCATTAAACCACCTCAGTCTCAGTGTATAAAAATCCCTTAAAAAAAGATGATAATAATAATAATTTGGTCACTCAATCCACAACTGTCTGTGGGACATCACTGTGTGCAATTGTGTTTCACCTACAAAATATACAGTTGATTCACTATATGGTATATTCTGTGAATCACTTTGAGGCATCTCAGAGATGTGATCAGGCACTATATGAAATGCAAGAATATTATTATTATTAATATCTAGCACTGTGTTTTTTTACAGTTTGGGTGGACATTCACTGGCAGGAATGCTTCACAAGAGGAGAGATGAAGTTTCTGCTGTTTAAACTGTGTCTGTGTTAAGCATAGTTGAAGGAGTTCGCAAACATGGGGTGGGAGGGGCGATTGTGGGGGCATTTGAATGAGAGAACAAGGATCTTGAATGTGTTCTGCTAGTAGATGGGGAGCCAGTTGAGCTGAGTGAGTCTGGGATCGGTGGACTCGAGGAGCCTGGTGTGGGAGAGGACAGAGCAGCGGGGTTCTGGATCGTCTGTAGTCCGTGCCAAGGGAGAGAACTATTGAGACCATAAATAATCAGACCTTTTCATTAAAAGTTTATTAAACTTCATTTAAATCCTAGCAGTTTAGACAGATATCCGTTTAATGCTGGTAACATTAGTGAGAATATGTCAAACCCTCTTCCCCAATTACCTGAAGGAAAATAAGATCTACGAGAATGCACCTGAAGCCCACTGTCAAGGAGCCCACACACAATCCCTCTCCTTGAACATTCGCACGAGGCAAGGCAAGTCCATGATTGATTGGTAGCGTGTTTTCAGTTTTTCCTTGAAAATGTGTTGTGTTGGCCGACCATAAAGGTTGGTCAAGGCTAGATTCACAACTACGACTGATGTTCGATGAGGGTGGGTCTGCCTTCTGCACATTCTATGTGCTCAATATTGGCTGAATGTCTTCAGTGTCTCTCGTATAGAAATCAGCTCTGAGTTTGATACATAGCACGACTTGTCACCCTGAAGCAGCGAGCTGCATCATAGACTGGTCACGTTTGCCCAGGCGGGAAACGTGTCCAGATGGAACAGGATGTGACCCCAGGTGTTGATGGACAGAGTCACACAAATCACTCCCACCAGGTTCAAGATCATTCCTGTCTTAACCTGTCAGAACACAAAGATCAGTGTTAGATTCGACCTAAAAGGTACTTCAATGAGGCTAAATCATAGTTTAGTAGATAGACAGACAGACCAGGGTACAGAGGGCGTCTACATCTGAAGGAAGGCTTGCCACAAGCACAGCATTAGTGAAACCCGTACACTGACTCCTTTATGTACTTTAATATATACTTTACCAATATATTCTGTGTATATAATAATACTTTATATATTTTACATATACAATTTATATACTTTATAGTATATTCTGTGAAGCGCTTTGAGACATCTCAATGACGTGATAAGGCGCTATATCAAACCCATAGATTATTATTATTGTTATTATTGCTCTTGGCTCTTTAGGAATCCTGTAGCTCAGTGGTTAGAGCACTCCCCTGACAGGCGAGGGACCTGGGTTCGATTCCCGACAGGGCAAAAGCCATGAGCAAGTTTCCTTACTCTACCTGCCTGATAATAATCCCTCAAGAAAAAAAAACAATAATAAGTCTAGAAGACATGAAAAGCGCTATATCAAACTCAAGCATTATTTTTTGGGGGCATTGTTCAACTTGTGGATTAACCTGATGAATATAGTCTTTGTCGACCAAGTAACCAATGCCATTGCTGTTTTTGTGGCTAATTTAATTATTAACTAAATGGGTTGTGGGGAATCTCATAGCCCCCACCCCCCAACTCTCCCCCCACCACCCCACCTCCCCTCCCAGTTTTTTTTATGACAATGAGCAGCACCCTATTTCCTAATTTGAATGTTAAAACTCCCATAGGTAAATTCCACCTGTCCAGATTGTAGCATTTCAGAGTGTACAGAATTTGACAAATTATTTAATTCAGTTTTAACTTTAAAGTCAGTTTCTGTAAGTTCTTAAAAATGATATCAAAATTAAGAAGACTATTTAAGAATTCGACCAATTCTGGAAACTGAAATGCTGCGTTAATAGATTGAAGCTTGACCCAATTGAAATTTCCATCTTCAGTTGGGGGAAGGATGACCCTTTTCTCACATTGCCTCGATGTACTCACCATGTCCAGGACCTTGAGGTGCCCATAGGAGAAAACTATGGCATTGGGAGGCGTTGCTACAGGCAACATGAAGGCAAAGGAAGCACTTATGGTGGTAGGAATCATGACATACAAAGGGTTGATCTGAATGGATACAGCCTAGATTGACAAGTAGAAAAGACATTGGCAATGAAGTTAAATCTACCAACATATCCAAGGAACAGTTGAAGTTCTCGTTACTAAATCCCAAAGGAGCCATTGTGTCCCAATTAGACAACTTGTCAATATAATAAACTTTCATATTTGGCCCAATTTGGGACCCTATATTGTATCAATTTGGAGGGAAAGGGTCTTGAATGGAATATAATTTATGTGGACTAGTTGGTCGAATTACCTGTTCTGTGCTTGTATCATTCCATGTAACTAGAGAAATGAGGCATACCAGCCTGGCTGCATTTCATTCCAACAATCTATCTCTGGGATTTCCATGTGGAAGTGGTACCAACTGAGTCAAACTGACATCTGGACAAGATAACATAAAGTGGCATTAAAGAACTCCTGCTTTACCATTGAAGCCATGATGGGGAGGAAGATGGTGGCAGTAGCAATGTTGCTGGTGCACTCTGTGATGATGGACATCATCAAGCATAAAATAATCACTATGGCCCAGTGTGGGATGTTCTTGAGAGGTAACAGCTGATTACCCACCCATTCAGACATACCCGACACCTGAAAAACAATGGAATCATGTCTCAGCAAACAGAGTCACAGCTTCTTATTCTGTGGTAAATCTGGATCCTGTTTCTGGATGACAGACCTCCCACCAGTGGACAATATTTTAATCTTCTCTCAAGGGAATCGATTTATCATTTTGGGCAGGTTTTATCCAGACCTTCAGCACTGAGACACGGATTGCATCTCTTGCTGTAGAAACTATACCCAAAAGCTCTTCACTACACTGTGCGCTACAAGAGTGTCCTGTGAGCTTAACACTCGCTGTCCACTGGTGAGAGTACGGTAATCCAGTAACATACCATAACCGTGTACGCTGTGTTTTACATGCAATGAGAGTTATCAACAACAACAAATTATAGTTATATCTAAATATAATTTGTCCACCCCACACAAGGTTAGGTGGAGCAAGTCCATGGAGGGGTTTAAAAGTGAAGACAAGGATCTCGAACTTGATCCTTTGGGTTGGGGGATGGGAAGCCAGTGGATTCAGGTGTGGATGGGGCATTAAGTTTCTAGAGCCTGGTGCTGTGAAGACATGAGCCGCAGAATTTTGAATCATATTTGAATAGCAAAGAGTTACTCGAGCCTGGGGGGGGGGGATAAGGGGAGAGGCCGTGCAATTTTGCAAAGGTGGGGAAAACCTGAGAAGATCAAGGCACGGATACGTAAATGTAACTTGTCCCACCCCACACAAGGTAGGGTGGGGCAAGACCGTGGAGAGCTTTAAATGTGAGGACAAGGATCTTGAATTTGATCCTTTGGGTTGGGGGATGGGAAGCCAGTGTAGTCAGGCGAGGATGGGGGCATTATGTTCATAGAGCGGGGACAAGCTGCAGAATTTTGAAGGTGGCAAGGGAGGGGGGCGAGGTGGAGGGACTGCGGGATGGAGTTCCAGAGGGTGGGGGCAGAGCGGCAGAAGGTCCGCTTGCGAATAGTGGGGCGAGCGAGGCGGTGGAAGTAAAGCAGGTGGAGCCTGCTGAGCGGAGGGAGTGAGCAGGATGGTAGGGAGTTAGGAGGTCGCAGAGGTAGTGGGGAGTAAGACCATGGAAGGCTTTGAAGGTGAGGACCAGGATCTTGAACTGTATCCTCTGTGTGATGGGAAGCCAGTGGAGTTGGACAAGGATGGGAGTGATAGGGTCGCGGAGCCTAGTACGGAATAGGATACGGGCTGCAGATTTCTGGATGATCTGCAGCCTGTGGAGGAAGGAGTTGGGGAGGGTGACAAGCAATGAGTTTGCATAGTCGAGCCTCAATGTAATGAAGGCGTGTATGAGGGTTTTGGGGACCTGCGGTGTGGGACACTGTCGGAGTCGGGCAACTTTGCAGAGGTGGGGGAAGGCAGAGCGGGTCATGGCACAGATGTGGGGTAGAAAGGATAGTTGAGGGTCAAACAAGACCCCGAGGTTCCAGACTGGCTCTGTGAAGTGCTTTGGGACGTCCTCCCGACGTGAAAAGCGCTATATCAAATGCAAGGATTATTATTATTATTATTAGCAAGATGGCGTGTGCAACCATGGATGGTGATGCTGTCAGCGCCTGAGGTGAAAGGAAGTGGAAGATTACCAATAAAAATAACCTTAACAAATGACAACCAACATGGGATCACCAAAGGTAGGTCTACTTTGACTAATCTCACAGACATTTTTGAGGAGGTGACAGCCTCCAAGTGATTATAGGACGCCTTATGATGTAGTATATTGTAATCCCATTGCGTAGTGGTTAGTGTGATTGCCTCACAAGTAAGAGGACCCGGGTTCGATTCCTGGACGGGGTGAAACCTTAGGCAAGTTTCCTTACTCTACTCCATCACCTTTTCACCTCTGGCATTGATACCATCACTATACATGAATGCCCATTCTAGCCCACTAAGCCACCGTGGAACCTCAGTGTTTTGTTGGACTCTCAATTGTCCTTTTAAACCACATATCTGTGCCTTGACCTATTCAGCTTTTCCCCACCTTTGCAACATTGCTTGCCTCCATCACGGCCTCTCCCCACTATTCGCAAGCGGGCCTTCTGCCGCTCTGCCCCCATTCTCTGGAACTCCATCCCGCAGTCCCTCCACCTCGCCCCCCTCCCTTGCCACCTTCAAATCCCATCTCAAGACCCTCCTGTTCGACCATGCTTTCGATCTCCCTGCTTCCACCCCCTGCCCTCCCTGACCTCCAGCTCGGGTCCATAATTCTGGCTGTCCAGGGCCTTGGGATGTCCTCCCGACGTGAAAGCCCTATACGCATGTAATTTTGTTGTTGTTGTTGATGATTGACTAATGTTTTCCAATTCCAAATGAGCTGATCTGAAATGCTTCCATTTGAACCAGTTCCCTGTTCAGACCCTGTTGTAGAGGGTTCTATCTTGGACAGGTCTATTTGGGTTGCTTCACACAGTGTATCACTCAGCAAGTGTCATGCAGCCATTTCTGGAGGTGGAGGGATAATCATTTAGAATTACCTCACAGCTCTTTGCCAAGGCGAAACCTCCTCCCAATAACAGCACCACATTCCACGGCAGCTTGTGTTGCACTATATCCCACGTCAAGAGTGTCGAGGACCGAGGCTTCTGTTGCCCAACTGGTCAGCATTTAACAAAGAAACACAGTCAGTAATCAATGGGAATTTAATAACTTGTGAAAGAAATGAAAAAGAAGCATCGGAGTCCTTTGCAGTTTGCTGCCTCGTGAGAGAGAGAGAGAGCGGGCGCGAGAGATTTATTTTTGGATATACAATAACAACAACAACATTTTGCATTTATATAGCGCCTTTGATGTCAGGGTGACGTGTCAAGGTGCTGGACAGCAAAGGGTTTTACACTCGGGCTGGGGGTTCGAATTAAGAGGAATGGGTGGGGGCTAAGGGGGAATAGGGGGGGGATGCCCAAAGCCACGGTCATTGAGATGGGCCTTGAAGGAGGCAAAGGAGGGGGCAAGGCAGAGGGGCTATGGGTTGGAGTTCCAGAGGGTGGGGTTGAAACGCTGAAGGCCCAACTACCAAGAATTGGCCAGGAAGCTAAACCAACACTCGGTGCTGAAGCACTGTTGTAGTAATTGTTCTTTTGCTGGGGTTATTCAGTGTCCGCTCACTGTTAGACTTGGTTACCTCCTCACAGTCACGTTCCCCTGATAATCAGAATTGATTATTTAGGCAAAATAATAATGAAATAAAATTCACAGAGAAGAAGAAATCAAAATTGAAAGCAAGGATTCATCGAAACTCGTTGCAACTGAAATCAACGGCAAAAACACACTGATTGGTAACGGGGTGTTTTCAAGGCCGACAACGCTGACTGGCGACATGTACCGTGTGTGTAAAAGACTGGGAGGAAGATCGCACCCTCAATGCATACCTTGTGTGTTATTCATAGAGCTGGATTGGTCCAAGTTTCCCCATCGAGGTCTCTTCGATGGCAGGACAAACATGAGGATCGCAATGAATATAACAGTTGTTCCGTCAGAGATATATCTGAAACAAAGCAGGTCACCCACTGTGAGGAAGTGGTGCAGATTAACAAGTCATTTTTATCTCATTGGAAGTTAACCCGAGTCTCGCTGGTCTCACTCCCTCCTTAAACTAATTGTTTCAATTCCCTGTCTTGGGTCTTTTGCTGTACGTTCCCGTCTCATTCTCTCAGACTCTGTGTTATGTTGCGCTTGTCCATTGTTGATGGGGAGGATGTTTTTTTGCCAGTCAATTTGAGTAGGAAGTCTTGCTGATTTCTTCCATTTTTAGTTGTTTTGGGCTATTCCAGAGTCTGACTTTAGTCAGTGCTATAGTCAACAAGTTATAACAAGGATGTCAAAGGAAGGGGGGCTTAAATGAGAGGCACAGATGTCCTTGAACTTACTTCTTGTTTGCGGTAGAGAACAATACAGACCATCCAGGCATGAATCCAGGATCCCGAGTGAACCACAGTAGCACCAGGATGATGAAGAGGATGAGAACAAGGATTTCAGCAAAGGACATCTTGCCCAACTTCTTGTACTCCTCTCTGATGACCTGGTAGGCTGCTATCTCCTGCCACGTTTTCACTGATCCACAGCCCCACAATGTTTTAAAACTGTTGGTAAAAGGCCCATTTCATAATACACTTCAACGACTTCATTCATGTAACTGCACTCTGTAGATAGAAAGAGAGACCCTCTCCTACCTGCCAGAACCCTAGATGTTAATGCGCACAGCAGTGTCCCACAAACAGTCGTGCAATTGAGTGACCAAATGATTTATTTATTTTGGAAGGGATTATCACCCTCGGAAAGTGATCCGCCAATCAACTAACAACCAAGTTCCTATTTACTGCTAGGTAAACAGAGGCTTCTGGAGTGAGGAAACATGTCTGAGGTTTCTTTGATAGTTATAATATCTGCACTTCGGTACTTGAAGACAAACAAAGCTTTGTTCCATTTAAAGTGAGATACTTACTTAATTCCCAGAAATAAAATCTGCAGCCAGATCCAGCAGAGAAACAGCATCACCAGCATGTTGGGGAAAGCGTATGCAAACCACAAACTAAAGTTAACTACTCCTCCGTTCTGGGGAATAACCTTTGAAACAGACAAGAATTATACTAGAGTATCAATTTACAACGAAACATTCAAGGGAGCAAAGGTGCTGAGCACTGGAAGGAAGAGAGCAAGAGATCTGACTGTAGCAAATGGAATTCAATGAAAATGTTGGCTCTTTGTTGTGTTTTGGTCAGGTCAGCCAGTTGTCTGATAATGTGCAGAAACACATCACCAACTTAAAGAGTCTCCAAACTAGACTATGGAGAGTTACACATACACATGGACATTGCCCTGCATTTGAGAAAGAGTGGGCATTCTATCGCAGACACAGGGCAATGTGTTTACTCTGTTTAGCTAATGCTGGAAAGTACGAGGTGCAGGTTGTTGGTAAGAGCCAAGGCCCGGGGAACAGTGAGAAAACAGTGGGGAAAAGCATTCGAATGGATGGGAAAGTGGCAGAAATTATCAATTGAATTACAACAAATGGCATAAAGAGAACAAAGACAAGAATGGAAAATAGAAGAGTAAACTATTTACCGGGTTTACCCTATTAATAGAACAACTTGCACTTATACAGTGCCCTCCACACAGGGTAGAGTCTCAGAGTCCTTGCATCTTAACAGTAAGATGTATTCAATGCAAAGAATCTCCACTACAAATGGCTGTGTTTACGCGAAGGTGTTAAGGAGTGTTTAATCCATCAGCTCTTAAGCTGATACTGGCTTTATCTACACCGGTATCTAACAGGGCTTATAAGACAGAATGGCTGTGTGTGTCACACAGTAATGGGACTCAGGGCCTGCTTACAATGAAGGGTGGACTTTCCAGTGGAGCAGCAACAAACAGCGCAAGCTAGAACAAGAGCAATGTTTGTGATGGGAGAGCACAGGTGAGGTGGGTGAGAACCTCAGCTAATATCCTCACAGGGCAGAGAATGTTAGCGGACAGTTTGGGCAGTTATTCGCATTTCATTGACCGCTGCAGCCTAGGAAGCTAGGAAGTTCATGTCGATCGAGCCACTGAGAGCAGTTGTTTGTGTGAGCAATAGAAACGGCAACACTAACTGGCTAAACTGTCCCTGCATCACCAGGTTGGGTCCTGTGCCGGTCAGGGTCGCTGTGCCACCGATGCTGGCGGAGTAACAGATGCACAAACTGACCAGCTTGAAGAGATTCCTTTTCTGTCCGGCTGCCTTTCGGGGATCTGTTGAAATATTTCCATTTCAATTTTAACGGTGACAGAAAGTAACCAAACCAAACCACCGAGGCCACCGGGACACGCAGCTGTGCATAGGACAAAACGCCGAGCCCTGTGGTTTGTGCAGCCAGTTTCTAATCGTGACCACACTATGAATGGGAATGGCAAGTACTTACCTTGTGTAAGGCTAATCAACTAACTGGTAACCCTCTCTAAGCTCCTCAGTGTTTCTTCGGGGGCTGTTTGTAGAGCAATAAACATAAAAGCGTAGAAAGTGTAGAAGAGAACAATACATCTTATAGTCTCACTCTCTTTTATAGGACTGTTACCTGTTAGCTTCACATCATTATCTGTGGGGTGATTCTCAATTCTTATCTCATTGAATGACTCTGTTAATATTATTTCCTCCCGGGTTTCCTTGCCCACTTTGTCCTCGATCATACTGAGCTGTTCAACCGTGGCGTGTGCGATGGGGACCATCATGGCAGTGGTGGCCGTGTTGCTGATCCACATGGAGAGGAATGCTGTCACCCCCATCAGTCCCAGTGTTAACCTGCGAGCAACAAGAACTTTAGCACTTTGCTCATAATAATAATAATAATAATAATATTTGCATTTGATATCACGCCTTATCACGTCATTGAGACATCCCAAGGTGGGTCACAGAACATACTGTCAAGTGAAACTGTATTTTGTCGGCGAAATATGACAGTCAATTACACACAGCAGGGTCCCACAAACAATTGTGGATTCAATGACTAAATTATTTTTTTTATTATTATTATTAAAAGATTATTATCCCCAGTTAGTGATCCGCCAATCGACTATGATGGGCAGTGACCCAATCACTTCCCTCTGCTACCATCGTAGTGTTGCGCTTGACATCCCGACCACTTTCTGGAATAGAAAGCTTTCCTCCTCCCTAGGGTTGGAGAGTGTGTCCAATGATATTCAAGATCATTATCCATTGCTTGAGTGACACAATCTCAGTTGGGCCCTTATATCATTCTATCTGCCAGTATCTAGAATATATAGTTAATTTTTTTTTGGGTGCTTTATATCGAGATCCTTTCATACACAATAACTTTTTTTTGAATGGAAGTGTTACCAAGCGGGTTTGACTCCAACCAACAAGACCACCCTAAGTGCAATACGTTTGTGGAGGTTCCATTCTTCAATGGCTAGAGCCACCATTAACCCTCCAATAAAGAGCACATTTGCGTCCTTCATGTACTGCTGGGCCACCTGGAACACAAAGCAGTACATCATTGGTGTGATGGTGTTACTGAGGCTGGTCAGCTCTGCACTTGCTGTGTTACACAGGGTAAAGAATGTTCATCTGAATTGACAGATGATTCTAAATGTTATAATGTAAGATGTCTACCATTTACTGGTATTCTCTCCCCTATCCCCATGTGAACATGCGTAAAATAGCGCTATAAGGTTCTGCCATCATGATTTTGTGGGGGTCAACCTGGTGTCTGACACATGCACAAGCTGCCATTAGCATTATTTGTGATTTACTGTTTATTGTCACTGCTTGTTTTGTGTGCGTTGATGGGGTATTTGAACGTGATGGTCGACACCTTGCTTACTTCTTTAGCTGTCATGATTTCAAACATTGGGATGAGGACTAAGGGAATGAGCGATGTGATGCCCAGAGGAATGGATTCTGTGCTCCAGTACACAGCCATGAGGAGAATGATGTATCCACATGCTGCTATCTGTAAGAGAGAAGATAAAGTGAATTAGACCAACCTTCCTGTTATTGGATCACTGGGAACACTCAGCAGGTCAGGCAACATCTATGCAGAGAGGAAAGTAGGTTAAGGTTTCAGGTCAACGACCCCCAAATCCCTTTGCTCCTCAGTTCCTTCCAGGATACTGCCATTCAATATATATCTGTAATCCTCTCATTTTTTCTATCAAAACCTCACATTTCCCTGCATTAAACTTCATTTGCCACTGATCAGCCCATTGCGCTAATCTGTTTAAATCCTCTTGCAGTCTTTGCCATCTTCCTCACTATTCACTATACCTGCTAGTTTGGTATCATCCACATACTTTGATACCATACTCTCTATATCCAAGTCAAGCTCATTGATATCAATGGAAAATAGGAGCGGCCCTAGCACTAACCATCTTCCTCCAACCAGAAAAACGTTTCAGCCCTCTCTCTGCTTCCCATCCTACAATCATCTTTCTATCCAAACCCCCATTGTTTCCCCTGTTCCAGGTGCCCTGAGTTTCTCCACCAGTCTTCCATGTGATACCTTATCCGGCCAGGTTCTGGCCCAGGCTCCACTGGCTCCCCATCACCAAATGGATCGACTTCAAGATCCTCACTCTCGTGTTCAAATCCCTTCACTCCCTGGCACCTCTCTACCTCTCCGACCTCCTCACTCCCCAATCCAGCACCCGGCACCTCCGCTCGACTGGCACTGAGCTCCTGCTCGTCCCTCGCACCCTCCGCCCCACCATTGGAGGTCGCGCTTTCAGCCACTACACCCCAAAACTTTGGAACACTCTCCCTCAATCCCTCCGCCTTGTCCCATCTCTTCCCTCTTTCAAGTTCTGCCTGAAAATTTTTCTCTTCAACCGTGCTTACGGCCATCTCCCCCCTCCCCCATCTCGCAGTCAGGCTCCGCCATTGTTAAGGACTCTGAGACGCTACCCTGCATGGAGGGCACTATATAAGTGTAAGGTGTTGCTGTTGTTATCAAATCTTTGTAAATGCCATTGGGAGATCCTAGCACGACAATCCATAGCATTTTCACGTCTATACCTCTCAAAGTGCTTCACAGAATATACTATAAAGTGAACTGACTGTATATTTGTGGGCGAAACCCATCAAAGCCCTGTGATTTCTCAATTTTTAGTTCTTCTAACATTTCTAGTATTGTTTCCTTTTTGGATTCTTATCCCAAATAGCTGTTTCTCAATCCACCTTTAAACTCTATTGTGAGAGTATGCATCTCCTAGGTGACATGAGCAAAATACTCATTAAATAGCTCCGCCACCCACTCCTTCTCTACCACCGATTTACCGCATTTCTCCTGAAGTAGTGCAACCTCCTTCTGGGTTCTCCTTTTTAATTCTAAAATGCTTCTTGACGCTGATGTGTCTGTGTGAGTCTGCGTGTGGTTTTGGGTGGGGGAGGGCGGGTATATAAGTATAGTATAAGTAAGGTAAGTGAGTAAGTAAAGAGCTCACCTTGCCTGGTGTCAGCAGGGGTAAAGGCAAAAACACAACGGGAGTCAGGAAGAAAACCAGATAGTTCCAGTAGGTGCGGATAAATCTCAGGATACGATGCATTATGTCTGCACACACACTCCCTCACACACTCCCGAGTCTCCCGGCTGCTCAGTTGCTTGTGATTGAATGGCTGCGCTGGTGATTTCAGGAGTGAAGAGGTGGAGCCCTGGTGTGCAGGTGTCTCTATCAGCCCAGCACTGTCCAGCGATGAGCTCCGTGGTTCCTGAGATGGCTTTGCACAGACTCTTCTGCCCCGAGCCTGTCCTGTGTTCACAGCTTGGTCAAGCGCTTCGAGGCACCATGAAGGGCGCTATATAAATGCAAGTTGTTGTTGTTGTTGTTGTTGTTGTTGTTGAGATCAGGGATTGTCCAGGGATCTATTTATTGAGTTTCTTCTGCCCTCTTCTGATCATTCTCCCGATTCTGTCCCAATCTCAGGCAGAGTGACTGACAACTGAGACCATCAAATTGATAACATTAGCTGGGATTCTACATCAGCTGAGTGCACAAACAGACAGACAGACAGACAGACAGACAGTGTGTAGTGTCTTAAGCACTTTGAGACGCCCTTTCTACACGAAAAAGGCGCTGCGTAAATGTTATGTTACTGGAAGGAAAACACAAAACTATTGCTTAAGCTGCCAAGGGCATTTTTGAAACACGACATCCGGCTGTGGGCAGCCAAAAGATTGGACCACCCTAGACTACGTAAATTGAAGTCCCGCCGTGGGGCTTGAACTCACGTTGTGTTTTTGCCTTTACCCCTTCTCTCTGACTCAAAGGCGAGAGTGTTAGCATTGCGCCAGGCTGACAGAAAGTCTTAGCAAAGTTCTCCACACGAGAAAAAAGTTAAATACCGTGTGTGCTTACTCACTAGCACTCTGTTAATCCAACAGCTGTAGGAAGGCACAGACACAATTAATTGCGCAAATCAATCGAATTCACACCGCCCCAAGCTCCACAAAAGTAACTCCACTTCAAACAAAAATGGCTTGTTTCTTATGTGTCTTTCGACTCAAAATCTTTGACCCTGACCGTGATTTACTTTCACACAAGTTCAGCTGTAGCCACACAAACTCCCAAATAGCATTGCAACACCGAAGATTCTCAGCCAGATAACATTATAATTTCACTCTTTTTTAAATTTGTTATTGGTGAGCAAGGTTAGGCCCCATTCACCCTCACTTAAAGCGAATTAGAACGAAACACGAGTTGTCTCCGCAGACAAGCCCCAATCACCCCCCCCTCCCACCCCCCACCCCCCGAAAAAGAGCTCTCTGGACCCCAAATTGTCAAAGGACAATGCAGACCTGATGCCTGGCGTCTCGACCACCCAGGTAGGGCAGGTGATGGAATGGCTTCGCTGTCAGGGCATACCTGAACTGGTGATCAACTGCTCGAGCGAGCTCTGCATTGCACTCTCTCCTCGTTCCCTTTGTGGGCAGATCAGACTGTGCTCAGATCAGAAGCTCCGCGATACCGACCCGAACCAACAGAGGGCTGAAGTCATCGCTGTTGCCAAGACCTCAATCCTCCCATTACCCGTTATCGTAGGGGAAGATTTGGTTCAGGGGATGTGGAAACACGAGTGGATCTCAACAGGAGACATCTCCCGGCAGTTGCCGCCCCGAGGAGCAACTGATAAGAACGCCGACGGCACTCGATCTGAGCTAAAAGGATGAGAGGTGTTGGTAGAAACAGGTTCAATCACAACTTTCGAAAGAGAATTGCATTAGGTACTTGAAAAAGCGAAAAAAAAAATTGCAAGTCAATGGAGAAGGAGCGGGGAAGCGGGACTGGTTGGGGAGCTCTTCCAAAGCCGGCACAGGCACGATGGGTATAACGGCCTCCTTCTGTGCTGTAAAATTCTATGATTCTGCGAGGTGGTCTTTTAAACTCTTTTAAAAAACTGTGCCTTTTTTTTGAGGAGTTGTTTTGAACCTACAATGTTACCACCGTGGGTTACCTGCTGAGGTCATATTCTCGGTGAATACACAACATGAAACCCAGCAACATAGGGATTGTCAGGTTGGGGTCTGAAGCTGCACCATGACTGATACTTTATTGTTAGCACTGTCTGTTGATTGTTCCTCATAATATAACCAAGGGGAACATCAGCCCAACATAAGGCATGCCTAGAGTAAGAGACAAAAGAGGGATTGATGCTTCGAGATGTAATGGATTCCTACCCTCCAATACCCTGGGTTAATTCTGCTCACATCATCCTGGAGCATCTTCAACAACAAGAACTTGCATTTACACAGCGCCCTTCGTGTGTGGCAACGTTTCGGAGAGCTTAGCAGTGGCAAAGCATGACACCAAGTCGGGGGGGGGAGGTGTCGAGAGTAAGCACGGTCTTGGAGGAAGGTCTTCAGTCGTGATCTAAAAGAGGGGAAGAAGGGGCCAGGCAAGGCGGAGGGATTGGGGAAGAGGGTTCTAAAGCTTCAGGGCTAATCCCTCAGATGGAGTTCAGGTGGAGGGTTACTCTGTGTATGGCTGGACTGTGACTGACTTGGTCTTTGCTGTTGAGATTGAGCAACCAAAATGGAAAGAGTTGCAGCCATACATTCCCCAACCCTGACATCCCTCCCTTCAACAACCACAAACATTCGACACATGCAGAAAGACAATACAATGGCCTTCCAAGACCAGTTTAAACTTGTACAAACTGAGGCCTTTTTACATGGGTATATAATTCAATAAGAACCTCTCTCCCTTACTCAGGCAATTGACTATGCCGCAGACTAAGTAATGATGGTATAATTTGCTTTCACGTGAATAAGTACACCCCGTGTTTGTTACCTGTCATTCAGTGCTGGGTAATGAGATGTCTGGAATGGCAATGCTCCAAATTTGACCTATTTTCATTTGAAGGCTTTAGGAAAGAGAGTGTTAGACCCGGGGGAGAGAGAGTTAGACACGGTGTATTGGCTATCCTCCTGGGAGAGGCAAGCGAGGTCTCCTTGTGACCGAACTGGCAGCAAGGTGACACGCCTGGCAATGGAATGTTGGAATTGGCCACCCACAACGTGGATCTTCATAGTCCGGTTCGGAGCCAGGCATTGTTAGTGGGCCCTTTGCGCGCCAGGCGTGATTGGCGATGGTTGGATAATGCTGACAGCACTTGGCACAGTCTATGGAATAATAATAACAATAAAAATCCTTGCATTTGATATCACGTCATTGTGACATCTCAAAGTGCATCAGATAAAGTAGATTGACTGCGTATTTTGTGAACGAATTGGGCGGCAGCCGATTGCGCACTGCAAAGTCCCACAAACAGCCAGGGAGTGAGTGACCAATTTTTTCTGGAGGATTGTTGGCCAGGACACCGGGAGAGAGAAACTTCCCTTCTCTTTTCGAATAGTGCCGTGGGATATCTTTATGCGGCATTTCTACCCTAAAGACCCTGACATGACACTAACAGCGCCCTGCACAAGCTGGTCTGTAACTCCTGAAAAAGACCCACAAAATGAAAGGCTTATTAATTTATTCACATTTTAGTAAAAAGGAAATCGTTTAACAAATTATAAATATTTTACAGTGTTCCGTTGGCTCAAAGTCACTTATGCAGGGATGTAAGATTGTTTGAAGAACTAAGTTGACCACTTACGGAGGGGTGGCTGAAGGCACGGTCGAAGAGGAGGGACTTGAAGGAGGCGAGGGAGAGAGCGAGGCGAAGGGAATGTGGGATGGAGTTCCAAAGGGTGGGGACAGAAAGCCTGAAGGCCCAACCGGCGATGGTGGGGCTGGGCAGGGCGGTGGACAAAGCCCCAAAGAGGTAGTGAAATCGGACTGCACGCAACCAGTCAGATCCCACCACCTCACGGCTCACGCTGAGGGCTGAGCCTCATTGCCGGATCCGATTCTGGGATTCAGATCGCCATTGCTCATCAGTCTGCTCCTTCTCACACCAACACAGAGTTTTTTATTGTTTGTTCGACACTTTTCCTATTGTTTGTTCGACACCTCATCGGTTTGTACAATTTGATTATTTTTACAATACACCTTAACACAAAAAGCAGGTGGTTTTGTGTCTGGAAAAGGGAGCCCTTACATAGTGCTGTGCGTGTGGATATGCATGTGTGTGTGTGCGTGCATGTGGGTGCTTGTATGTGTGTACGGATGTGCGTGCATGTGTGTGTGTGCGCGCGCGCGCCCCGTGTGTGTAGGTGCATGCGCGTGTGTGGGTGCGCATACATGTGTACAGCATTAAATTTCCCATTTTTGAAAATAAATTGCATCCCTAAAGTGCGCTGCTTCAGTGGTACAATTTCACAGAAACATTTACATGAATTCAAAACAAATTAACAGCTCTGCTCAGCAGTCCGTCCAGAGCCCGCAGGTTTGGTTCATATCAGGGAATCTTGGTGCTGTTGGCCCAGGATGGGAAGGAGTCCAGGTTGAACAAGACTTGACCCCACGTGTTGATGGCCAGCGATATGGTGAGCACTCCCAGGATATTGACTATTATGCCCGTTTTGGCCTGTGTAACACAGGGAGAACAGTCAGCAAACAAGCTTACGGAAGCTTGCTGGTGGCAAGAACAAAATTTCTTTGGCATTTATCGTTTGACCCTACTTCTCTCCTGAAGACCATGACTTGTCTTGCGTACGCATCCACAGACACTGTATTTCACTCAAGTGACCATGCTTCGTGCGTGAGCCCAGATACTGCGTATCAATGAGCATTCAGGCACTGAATCCGCAGTCTGATTCTCTCTCCCCAAACGCCTTGTGCCTTTTTTCCCTCCCTTATAATCCCTTACATCCCGCTTAAAAACAAATCTCATTAACTGTGCTTTTCATCAACCCTTCAAATTCCTATCCTCTCCTCCCTGTTTGGTTACAAGATCACAAGATTGGTTTGGATGAAGAAGAACCTTTGGGCCATCAAATTCCCACCCCTCCAGAACACTCACCCTACCTTCCCCTCCGCACAGTGTCCAGCTGCTTTTTAAATGAGTCCATTATCCTGGCCTAAACTACCCTTCCCGGCAACCTGTTCTGGTGGTTAATTACTCTCTGGGTAAAGAAACACTTCCTGGTGTCTGTCCTGAAATCGTCCCGTTTTGCAACTCAAAACCGGTGTCCTCTTACTTTACAGTCTTGGTGAATCCTAATATTATTGTTCTGGGCTTTATTCCAGGTGAAAGGCACAATATAAGGCAGGTTGGTACCATTGTCAGTTTGGAAATGTTATCTTTGATACACTCACCATGTCCGACACCTTCAAGTAACCGTAGGAGAATACAATGGAGTTTGGTGGCGTGGCCACAGGCAGCATGAAAGCAAATGAAGCGCAGATTGTACACGGCAGCATGATGTACAGCGGGTGGATCCCGATACGCTGTGCCTGGAATCGGTCAAAAACAGATAACGGCTCTCAAAATCCAGGGACTCGAAACACACAGAACACACAAAAAGCATAGCGACAGCACAACACCAGAGACGAGGCTTTAGACTACTTCAGACAGGGATTGCTGGGAGAGAAAGTACGTGTGAGTGAGAGAGTTACGTGAAGTCCGTGTGAGTGTGCGTATTTGGTAAGCAAATGCGTCCATCCAGAGAAACGAATGCGCATTCCGTTCCAGACACATGGAAATTTGTGCGCACGGGCGTTGAGTGTCGGAGACAGCGAGTAGTCTTACCATGGAAGCCAGGATGGGCAGGAAGAGTGAGGTCGTGGCTGTGTTGCTGGCACATTCCGTGAAGGTCGCCACCAACAAACACAGGACGATTACGATGGCCCAGGGCGGGATATTCTGCAGAGGAATCAGCTGGCTTCCAAGCCAAGTGGAGAGCCCCGATTCCTTGAAGGAGAAGAAATGCACTGGTCATTGACCCCTACACTAAGCTGCTATAGACTGATCCCGAGGGAAAGCTTGATTGGATGACACTCTACCTCACTGCCTTCAGCCAGAGCAAAGCCACCTCCAAGTAGGATCACGACATTCCATGGTAACTTCTCCTGGATAAGCTTCCAGTTCAGCAGTGAGGGAGCTGGTCCATACTTGTGTTTGCTATCTGTGTGGGATAGAATATTGATTAGGGAACACAACAGGGGAGTCGTTTTTATTCTATACAATAGACACCTCTCTTCTGGGTTGTGGACACAAATCAAGGGCCTATTTTTGTGCCAGGTGTTATCAGTCTTGCTCTGGATAAAATATGTTCCCCAAACAATCAGGTCAAGGTCTGAAGGTGAATCGAGCCACACTGAAGGGTGGAGATGGAGGGATAGTCACACTGAAGGATGGAAGTGGGCGTACGGAAGGATTGGTGATGGAGAGAAATACTGAGGAATGGATAAAGGAGGTACAGACTGAGACTGTGGGTGAGCTCAGTGCCTGCCCCATCCATGTGCAAGTTTATAAGTAGAATTTTTCGCAAGGCTTTCTATTGGCATGTCCTGAACACTGCGTGTAATACTCAGTGATAATTATAGCTTATGATGAGATTGGGGAACTATAAAAAAGGAGACAATTGGCTGAGAGCCAATAGTGACTGTCTTGTGCCAAACCAAGGGACTGTATATCAAACACAATCACTTGTGCCCATGCCAAAGTATCCTTGAACTGATAGTTGGGATAATTGTGTGTCCAGGGAGCAATGGACAGTAAAGCTTGGGTGTTATTGAGACCATCTATTGCAATGACTGAAGGCTGTTGGGTTATCTCTACATCGGGTCCTTGTCCCATCCTCACCTGCTTCATCATCGCCATTGTGTAAACATGGGAGTCGTGGTTTGGCGGACGGGATAATAAACATAATCACACTGATGAAGATGACCACAGTGGCATCCGTCACAAAACTAAAACAGGAGTGAACAGTGAGATACAACACAATACAAAATTACATGCGTGCAGCGGCTTTCAGGTCGGGAGGACATCCCAGGGCGCTGGACAGTCAGGGATTTGGACCCGAGCATAACATTTTGAGAGATGTTAAAAAAAAATCTTTCGTTGGGGTTGGGGTGGGGGAAAGCTTGGAGCTGAAAAGTACTTAATAACAAGAGTTGGACTTACTCCTTATTGTTAGAGTTAAACAGGACTGATGCCCATCCAGGTATGAAGCCAGGGTCTCTGGTGAACCAGAGCAGTACCAGGAAAATGAAGAGGATGAGGACAGCAATCTCGGCAAAGGTCATGGGCCCCAGCTTTTTCACTTCTTGCTTAATGACTTCGTAAGCCGCTATCTCTTTCTTTGTCTGCAGCTTCCCGCAACCAAAGTTCTTTTTGAAACTGAAACAAAGAAAATTGCTAAGGATACGTCATAGTAAATCAGGTTTTAATGCAGAACCTTATCCCGTCGAAATAACTCGAAATGCTTCACAGAGTAGGTTACTTTTAGCCGCAGAGAATTGTGCACCGGCAAATGCGACAGCTCATTACTGTGGGAGGTTGCTGCCAGCTAACTTTGTACTGGCAATAAACAGTCACAGCAATGAGTTGAATGACCTGCCCTCTACCCCATTTTCTCCTTTGTCTTCCTTGCCTCCCCCCCAACCCCCACCCAACCTCTCTGTTAGCTCTTAAAAGCCTCTCCTCCCAACATGCCCCAGTTCTGACAAAGGGTCATGGACCCGAAACGTTGACTCACTTTCCTCTCTCCATAGATGCTGCCTGACCTGCGGAGTGTTCCCAGCCACTTCTGTTTTTGTTTCAGATGAATGACCAAATTGACTATACTCTGGTGATTTTGGGCGAGAGAGAAATATTAACCAAGACATCAAAATTGTGCCGAAGCCAAATGTTAGGGCTCTTGGATTCTACCCAGTACTGTAATAATAATCCTTACATTTGATATAGTGCCTTGAATAATAAGTAATTACATAATATGTTCCGGAATTAGTTAAGCAGGATGCATCCCTCCAGGGAGAGAATGCGCATTCCATCCCGACAATTTATCTCTGGGATTTCCAGGTGTAGGTGGGATGCATTGGAATTCTCAGTTTGGCTTGGATACTCCTAAGCACGGTGATGGGTTTCCGCATGCGTCAAAAAAAAAAAGTGTAGTGCCTTTCACGTCGAGAGGACGTCCCAAAGTACTTCACAGGATTTACTGTGAAATGGACTGACTCGGGGAGTGGTGCAACCTGATCGCACACAGCAACGTCCCACAAACAGCCATGAAACAAATAACCAATTTTATTTGGGGGATTGTTGGCCAGGACACCGGGAGACAGAAACTCCCTTCTCCTTTCGGATAGTGCTGTGGGATCTTTATTATCCACCTGGACAAGCAGACGGTTTAACACCTCATCCGAAGGACAGCATCTCTAAGATTGAAAGCCCTCCCAGCACTGCATTGTAGTGTCACGGTAGAGTCGAGACTATATGAGCTCAAGTTCCGATGTGGGATTTGAACCCATAACCTTCTGACCCAAGGCGAGAGTGTCAGCCTGCCTCAGTCAGGACCACAGAACCGTGGAAATTTACAGCAGACTTGCCTCTGCATCCGAACTCTTGAGATTGAGCCAAGCTGATGGTCATATCGCTGAAGGGAACAGATGATGGAGTGACCAACAACAACATCAACAGCTTGCATTTATGTAGCGGTCCTCACACAGTGTAGGGTCCAAGACCAACGGATGCGCAGACTTACTTAAATCCCAGGAACACAATCTGCAGCCATATCCAGGTCAGGAATAACATGATCAATGTCACCGGGAAGGAAAATCCAAACCAGGTCGCAAAATTCACAATGTCCCCACTGTCTGGGAAGAGTCTGAAAGTACAAGAGCATGGTTTGTGTTTCCTGCTCACAAAGAGCAGACTGAGAATAATATAATAATAATAATCCTTGCATTTGATATAGCGCCTTATCACGTCTTCGAGACGTCTCAAAGCGCTTCCCGGTATAAAAGGAATGAAAATGCAGTCGCGATATTGACAGCATGATGACTTAAGCGGCAGCGACAAGTCATGCCAGGGTCGAGTTATCAGGAGTTACCTGTACTGGGCTAACACGTAAAATACGTACTGTTTCAGCTGTCCCACCATGATCAGGTTCGGGGTTGTTCCAGTCAGAGTGGCAGCGCCCCCAATACTCGCTGAATAGCACACGGACAGGCTCATTCCTTTGGAGAGCTTGGTGTGCTCTTTTTCCTCTTTGCTTTGCTCTGCGAGCGTCTGACCGTTCTCATCTCCGATTGGACCGGTGTGACCGTTGCCTAAAGGAAGAGTTTGCTCACATTGGATTTCTGCTAATGGGGCGTTTTGGTCAGTTATTGTGCTTGGCAAGGTAATGGGACCCTGCTATTGGGAATGGGACTCCTCTCTTGCTCCTCCTCGGCTGGGTGGGGCGGGGAATGCTTTTTGTTGCTTATAATCACCTGATTTTCTTTGTGGGAAGAAATGGCCGCGCTTCCGGGTCATCAGGTCGCCAATGACATCACTTCGCAGCGCACAGGAAGTGACATCGGTATGACCCAGAAGTTGGCCGTGAGGGAAGTTGCCCGTGCCCCGGCAGCATTTCGAACCACCAATGGAGTGCACAGGGCACATTGTGGAACGTTTGGGAAGGAAAACGTCAGGGTAAATGGTTCGGTTCGGATTTTAAGGCTCTGCCCATTGTAACGATCCCTCTACCTGAGGGAGGAGTCGTCCACAATCTAACCTAACCTGTCATTTCCCTTCACAATGTTGAAAAGCGCCATTAACTTACCCCTTACTTCCTCTGATCTAAGGATATAACCTCACACTCATAGTCTCATTCCAAAGTCTACCCAGTCTCCACCCAGCCTCTCGTCATGGCTGAGCCCTTAGCCCAGGTATTAATTTAGTCATCTGTTGCCGGACGCTGACAACAGCTGTGACCTCTCTTACCTTCAAGTTCCAATTTTTTCTCGTTGGTCTCTTCCAGCTCTGTGCAGTAGATTTGTCCTGTTTTAGGAACAGGAAAAAAAAAAAATCACCGATCTGAAATCCATCCTCATTGAATTCCTTAATCCTTTTCTCCCCAAAATTCATCCAGGGCTCCCCATTGCAGTGCGGTGGAGCCCTCGGTAACAACACGGTGTGGCATCAGCAGCCACATTATCATCAGGAAGTGAATTGAATGTGCATTTTATGGGTCAAACGTGGCTGCCGATTGCGCACAGCAATGTCCCACAGTCATGGATTGAGTGACCAAATATATATATATTTTTAACCTTAAAAGTCCTGACCTCAAACACCCTCCCCTGAACCAGAGAGATATCTAACGAGGAGAATGGGGAAAGGGGCAGGTAACTGGGACTGAAAGGATTGCTCTTAAAAAGGGCCGGAATAGACTCCATGGGCCGAATGGCCTCTTCTGTGCTGTGAATTTGCAATGGGCAACCAACCAGGGCTTCTGCTCCACATCGCCATCCAGTGGCTATAACTGAAACGTGCACCTGAGTCTTGTTACAGCCAAACGCCGATCTGCTCGTCCCAAAGAGCCATCCACGGTAAACCCCTACGGAGGCTTTGCTCGGTGCCACCCTGAGCAGCTGGTGTGGCCCATGACTGAGCTGCTTACCGTCTGACATTTGGGAACCCTTTTCCGCCAGTTCCAAACCCTTATTGACGAAGCCATTTTCCAGTTCCTCATTTTCCAACTCTGAGCCGCTGACGTTGAGCTGGTCTAACACAGCCTGTGCGATGGGCACCATCATGGCAGTGGTGGCCGTGTTGCTGATCCACATGGAGAGGAATGCCGTCACCCCCATGAACCCCAGCATTAAACTGCAAATGAGGAGATCCTACAGTTAGCTTTGTAACATGAATTGAGAAGATCCAAATCAGGAGCTACTACAGGCAGCAGGACGGCGGGATGGTTAGGTTTATCCTTTGGACTGAACCAATAACTGTGATCTGGTTTTGGGAAACCTGAATTTCAGACCTTCTGTTGTCAGACTCTGCACCATTTTCCATTTAGCCTTTTCTTTTTGGTCAGCCGGGCGTCTGACACATGGGGAAACCCATCACCGTGCTTAAGAGAATCCAAACCAAACTGAGAATCCCATGCGTTTCCACCTACACATGGAAATCCCAGAGATAGAGTGTTGGAATGGAATGTGCACTCTCTCCCTGGAGGGACGCAGCCTGCTGTACCTGATTACAGAAAGTATTAGGCGCAGGTTGGCGAGAGCCAAGACTTGGAGACCCCAGAGTTCGCGTTGGGGTAACTGCTGGAGTCGAACCGGCTAAACCCTCATTGCTTGCCATTGATATCACGATTTGGCAAGGTTTCCTGGCGCTTGTCAAGAAAGGAATACTCCACCCAGTTGGGGCTTTGGCTTGCAGGATTTACAGGAGCTGAGTGGCAGGTAATGATTTACAAAACCAACAAAGTGATCTCCCCATTCCCATGTCACAGCAAACAAGGTATGAGTAGAGGCTTACAGTGCAGGCTTGACTCCCACAATGAGCAGCACCCTCAGGGCAATGCGCTTGTGCAGGTTCCATTGCTCGACCGCAATAGCCACCATCAAACCCCCAATAAGCAACATGTTGGTGTCCTTCAGATAATGCTTACACACCTGGAACAGAGAGCACAAAAAGAGATACCTTTACACTGTGCCCTGTGTACCACAGTACCTAGCTACATCCTTCTCTATTTGAAAAAAGATTAAAAGATTAAGGGAACATAATAAGGAAATGACTTTATTACTAAAATATACTCCCCGAGAGCAGTGACACTTCACAGCTTTATCTTCTGGAAATTTCTTCATTGGTTTCGATTCACAGCGGCCAGGAGATTGGGTAAATTAGTAAGAGTTCATGATGAATCAGTTATTATAAAATGATGCCCTCATTGGGCAGAATGGCCTTATATTTTCTAGACTAATGCGCTTGTCCAGTGGCTTTTACCACATCTACGTTTGCCAGCAAACCCTTAATTTTCCGCTTTTGTTCCTGTGCCTGGAACCATTCCCTGGTCAAGAGCGTATGTAGGTTACCTGTCCCAACGCTTCTATCATTGGGTGGGTGTTTCCCTCTCCCGGGGTCCTGGCCAACAATCTCCAAATAAAATCAGTCATTCACTTCATGGCTGTTTGTGGAACGTTGCCACCTTCGCCTACAAAATGCACAGTCATTTCACTTCACCATATATCTTGTGAAGCGCTTTCGGACATCCTCTCGGCGTGGAAAGCAGTTGCATCAAATGCAAGGATCATTATTATTTTATTACTATTTTTATTGGCCATAAAGAGATGGACCATAGCAGTTCTTGATGATTTATAAAGTCACGAGATTGGTTCGGGTGAAGAGGTCCTTCAGCCCATTCATCCTTCCAAAATCCCCACCTTCCCATCCTCCCGTTACAGCATCGAGTTGTTTCTTGAACGAATCTCACTGTCCTGACTTCAAACCCACTTCTGGGGTAACGCATTCCAGCTGTTACTTTTCCTCTGGGTAAAGAAATACTTCCTGGTATCTGTCCTGACTTCCCTTCACACTGTGATCATTCTTGTCTTCCTGCCTTAGCATAACTGAAATATTGTTCTGTATTGACTCAATGCTGTTAATATGTCACTGTGGCCTCGCTCGATCCCAGTTTAGGGAAAGGCTCAGATTTCAAGGGAGATATGACAAGGTGGAATTCCACATGACCTTGTCCACCTGGAGCAGAAACCTCCATCGAGATCTAGCTCTTTTCCCCTCCTATTTGTGCTCCCTGTGAAAGAGGGGGAATGGCGTGCAGTGCGGAACACTCACCTCTTGTGAAACCATGATTTTGAACATTGGGAAAAATAAGACAGGGATCAGAGCCGTGACGGCAAGCGGGAGAGCTTCTGTGCACCAGTAGAGAGCCATCACGATGATGGTGTACCCACAGGCGGCCTCCTGAAACACAAAGGACAGCGAGGGTCAGTTTGGGAAGAGTGTCAAGTCAGCCGAACTCTCTGGCCACTCCTTCCGCTCCACTATCTCGGGTCTGCTCCATGAGCCTCCTACTCACACGCCTTTTCCCAATCGCTCTCAATCCAAACCACCCTTCCTTTCCCAGTTTCTCACAACGACAGCAATTTATAATATTCATAATAATCCTTGCATTTGTTATAGCGCCTTATCGCGTCACTGAATCGTCTCAAAGTGTGCAGCAGAATATATTGCAAAGTGAATGGACTGTGTGTTTTGCGGGCGAAGCATGGCAGCCAAATGCACACAGCAGTGTCCCACAAACAGTTATTGTCCCACAAACAATAAGAGGGGTGGAGGCTGTGTGGAGTATAAACACCAACATGGCCTGTTTCTGGACTTTATCTCTGTGTAACTCACAAAAAGCCGTTTACCTAGCAGTAAGTAGGAACCCGGTGTTTGGTCAATTGGTGGATCATTTCCAGGAGTAATAATCCCTTCCAAAAAAAATTGGTCATTCAATCTACGACTATTTGTTGGCTGCCGTGTTTCGCCCCAAAATACACAGTCAAATCCAATGTACAATATATCGTGTGAAGCGCTTTGAGCCGTCTGAACCACGTAATAAGGCGCTATATCAAATGCAAGGATTATTATTACTATTATTATTATAACACCCTGACAAGCAGGGGAAAGAAAATCAACTCAAAAGTAAATGACTGGATGGAAGTGTGTCCTGTTAGTGAGAACCCCTGATCTCAGTGGGCACACACCTTGGTAGATTGGATATGGCTGTTTTCTGGGCACTGTAGAGGGTCTTTTAACAACTGATTGCTCAAAGCCTAAAGAGATGATTAAAAATAGAGCTCAGAGTCCCTCCCAATGAGAGTACTCGTCCCCAGAGTTGCCTTGATCTTTAGAAGTTGGACCTTTGTTTTCCAGTAATCTGGACACCGCAAGATGACGATCTTGATATTACAAAGTTGCTGATACATTAGCAGTTATTTTGGCTGTCACACATGTCTTCCATGTGACAGGGAGCAGACCGGTCGGGAGAACCTAAATGGGTCTCTCAGACATCGCTGTCAGGGCAAAAGTTCGGATCTTACATCAGGAGAAAGTGCCTTTGAGATTTCAAGAGGACACGGGATCAAGGGTGTGAAAGGCAATTTCAGGACAGACGCCACAGAGGTTTTTTTTTACTCCGAGGGTTAACCCACGACTGTAACAGATAACAGGAACGTGGTAGAGGCCAGGACACCTGGGGGAATCCGTCACAAACATGTAAAACCACGAGTAACTGAAACCTCAGCTACCTTTAATGTTCCTGGCCGATAACCAGTGGAGCATTGCCGTGCAATCAATAACAACAACATACAACTTGCTGTGCGCAATTGGCTGCCGCGTTCGCCCACAAATATACAGTCAATTCACTTTACAGTATATTCTGTGAAGCGCTTTGGGACGTCCAGAAGACGTGAAAAGCGCTATATCAAATGCAAGGATTATTATTATTTCGATAGCGTCTTTCGCGCAGGGGAAACAGCTCAGAGCGATGAATAATATTCTTGCATTTAATACAGCAACTAAAACTTCGAAAGGTCTCACAAATCCCCGACCTGCACCACCTCACACTGTCTCCCCCTCACTGTCTTCCTCTATATTGTGACTCCCACAGCTTGCTCTAAATCCCCAGCTTCTGCTGAAGACAGGCTGTAAACAGGCAACCAGCCCAGTGACACCTTAACCACTACCTCTCCTGTCGTCCCTCCGCTCCCTCTTTTCAATCTTGACACTTCACATCTTCATCTGAATGGAAGCACAACTCTGGACAGATTCAGACTCTCGGAAAGCCTCAGAAATAAAAGCAGTGGGAGAGAGAGATCGCTATAAGGCAGGCACGTTCCCTCTCACAAACAATTGGCAGTCAACAATCTATCTCAAAGTGTCTCAAATATTGACAGCATTAGCAGTGGAGTGTTTGTTCCTCGTCAATCGGTGCCAACTGTCAAGAGGTCTCTGCTGTGTGTATCTGCTGCCAGGTCCCAAAGAGACCTGTGTTGCTTACCGTGGTGGGAATAACCAGAGGGAGAGGGAGCATCACAATTGGAATCAGGAAAATAAGCAGTGGGTTTCGAAAAGCCCAGACGATTTGCCCAAACGATGCCATTTTTTTCCCCCCAAGCGATTTCACCACAGTATTTGTTCCTCCAGCCTGCTGTATCACTGCAGTGCCAGTAATGATTTGTTCTGCCGTATATAACTCAGGGGAAAATTAACGATTAACTTTTTGATTCCTGGTCTATTTTTTGTCCCCAACAGGACAGGTTGTACTTGCTGAAAGAAGCAAACACTGTTGAACCGCAGATAAACCTTTACAGCTCTTGAGATTGCTTTATTACACACTGGAAACGCCTAGAGCGGTTCAGCTTCATAACCTGATACTGTACACACTTACAAACGAGGTTGCACGCATTAATTGTTTGACCACAAACTTTAATGGTCAATCACTGCAATACTTGATGAATTGGAGGATGCAATGGAAATAGTCACTACATTTTGGCCGTGATTCCTGTGTAGCACTTTGAGGCGTCATAATGTGTGCTATATCAAATGAAGGATTATTACTTTTTAATCCCGACCACTGTTTCTCTCTCATTTTTCCCCTTGAATGGATCATCTCAGAATGAGTCAATCGGTCAGGGAACCACACAAGCAGGTCTGATCCTACCAGGTACTTAATCACATTGAAAAGTGAATGATTAACCTTTGCTTGCAAAATAACACAGTCACTACACTTTACACTAAAGTCCCGCGAAGGGCTTTGAGACGTGTCAAATAATAATAATCCTTACATTTGGTATGGAGCCTTATCACTTTGTTGAGACATCTCAAAGCGCTTCACAGGATTCACTGTAAAGCGCAGTGACTGTATATTTTGTGGACGGGTGCTGACAATATACTACAACAACAACAACTATAGAGCCCCTCACGCAGGGTTTGACAGATGGATCGTGATGAGTTATGACCTCGCTCTAAACTTTTTGACACCCTTTAGATGACAGATAGTCCTCCACCACCACCCCCAACACCACCAACACCAACAATTTGCATTTGAATGGCGTCCCAATGGCTGGGTGAGTAAACAGAGCACGTGATGTGCCTCTCAGCTGCATGATTCACTAATATCCTGGTACAGGAGCAAGACACTGGCTCATTCTTCTCCAGACTGAGAGGGACACTGAGAGCCTTGTAATGCCTCATTATAACGCCCCCCCCCCCCCCCGCTGAGATATCTCAGTGTGCACCAGGCAACAAGCAAAGGACAATCCCGTCAGTACCACATTACGTGATTCATTTCCTCCTAAGCTACTTGGGGTGTACTGGTTGTCAGCACTGGACAGAAGTGGTGCCAATCACTTTAGGGTACATTGGGCAGCAATTCAGTGCTTTTAGAGGAAAAGCCTCTAAAATTCAGCTCATCGGCTGTGACGTACAAGACATTTGTTGTACAGCGCTGTGGCACGTGTTCTGTCAGGAGCCAATCTGACCCCCAGATCTGCAATGAGCTTACATATTCCACTCTTCGAGCTACCAGGTAGTGGGGCAGGGGAAAGCTCCCGCTTCAAGGTTGACTCACCGAATAATCCCTTCTCTTCACCAGTTGAAAGGGGAAATGTGAAGCTAATAGCTCACAGCAGACAGAGGAGAATCCAATATTTATGTAGCACACCTATCACATCGAGAAGAACCCCAGAGCTTTACACTTATATAGTATATGCAGCTTGCACTTATATAGTGCCCTCCACACAGGGTAGCATCTCGGAGCGGTTAACAGTGGTGGAGCCCAACAATAACAGAGAGTTCCGGAGAACGGGGCCAGAAAGGCTGAAAGCCCAACCACCCATTGATGGTGGGAGGAGAGTATAGGTGATCTCATCCATCATTTTCCTGGCCAGTCACACTAGCCTTGTTTCCAAATCAAAGCTGCAGAGATAATATCCCCTTGAATCCAATTTTTCAATTGAGTTATTTATTCACGTACATAAACACCAAAGTTAACAATTTACTGGGTAAAATGGGTGAACAATAACCCTCTGTTCATTTATTGTTTTCTCGATTGGTTGTTGGATTAATTGTGGAAAGTAACCTATTGTACCTTTAGTATTGTCGAAAGAAAATACAAAGAAAATAAACAATTTCAAGTTGCGGTTAAGATCTGCCATGTGCTTTCTGCTGTGCTGAAGGCAGGAGTCGGACAGTTGCCCTGTGAAGTTCTGCAGACAGTTTAATCCACTCGGGTTCAAGGACTTCAGTCACGTGGAGAAACTAGAGAAGCTGGGATTGTTCTCCTTAGAGCAGAGAAGGTTAATAGAGATTTAATAGAGATGCTCAAAATTCTGAGGGGTTTTGATAAGAGTGACTAAGGAGAAACTGTTTCCACTGACAGTTGGGTCGGTAACCAGAGGACACACAGATTCAAGATAAATGGATTGAAAAAGCATTATCCAGGCTGTTGCTTGGAATGTTGGTCTTCTCCTAGGAAATCTCTCCATAGGAAGCCTTTGGGAGAGGGGAGTGGGGGGAGAGCGTGTGTCAGTGGGTCATTTCTTAAGGTGCAGCACCTGACCACACGTAACCAAACTCCTCTTAAGTGTTAATGGTGAGTTCCTGAATCAACTGGTGTCAGAAAGTTATCTAGTGACTGCAACCACTACACTGGATTTAGCTTTAACCAGTATTTACCAGCCTGAATCATTTACCTCTGTCGAGTGCATTCAAAGCAATAGTAGAATTTCTCTGAGATGTACACGCAGAACGTAGCTTTGAATTAACGCTGTGGAGACCTGCACTGAAGACAATAATACATAATAATTTTGACATTCCTTACAGCGCATTATCACGTCGTCAAAGCGCTTTACAGGGGTTCCAGTGAGTATGCGCATTTTGTAGGCGAATGTGGCACTCCCCATAGCCCTGATCAACCCCACTCCCACCGCTCTCTCCCCATAGCCCTGATCAACCCCACTCCCCCGCTCTCTCCCCATAGCCCTGATCAACCCCACTCCCCCGCTCTCTCCCCATAGCCCTGCAAACTTGTCCTCCCCAAATAAGTATCTACTTCTCTCTCAAAAGTCGTTATCGAATCGGAATAAGTTATTACACATTATTTATTACAATTCACTTTACCGTATATTATATACAGGGACGTCCCCCTGACGTGAAAAGCGCTACATCAAGTGCAAGGATTATTATTATTATTATTATTATTATTATTATATACAGCGGAGTCCTGTAGCTCAGTGGCGCGATCGCCCCCCCCCCCCCCCCGCCGAACCGCACGGGGATTATTTATTAGGGATTATTATCCTCCTTCCTCCACGTGGGGAGGGGCGGGGGGCGGGGCCTGCGTCGGGGAGGGCGGGGCCTGCGTTGGGGGGCGGCGTCTACGTGGGGGAGGGCGGGGCTTCGAAGGAGGAGAGGCGTGACGTCGGGCTACTTTGGGCTACTTTCGACGACGGCTCGGGCGACTTTGGGCTACAAAGCGGGTGGTGACCTCTGACCGCCTCGGAGGGGGGTGGCGGGAAGGGGGGCTGCAGCAATGGCGGACGCCGAGGCCCTCCCGACTCCGGCGGCGGTGGCGGCTCCGGCGACGGCTGAGCCCGAGGCTGAGCCCGAGGCTGTGCCGGGCCCGGGCCTGTGCGGCGGGGGGAGCCTGGGCCCTGCCCTGGGCCGGTGCCGGGCCGCGGTGACGGTGGAGCCGGTGCTGCTGCTGGCCATGGCGGCGCTGGTGCTGCAGGGCCCGCTCACCACGCAGTACATCTACCAGAGGAGCAGCGAGCGGCTCGGCTACGCCGGCAACTCCAGCCGCGGCTGCAACAGCACCGCCAGCCCCGGGGAGCGGCGGCTCCAGCAGGTCAGACACCGCCCCCCTCACACATAGACAGACACCCCCCCCCCCCACATAGACAGACACCCCCCCCCCCACATAGACAGACACCCCCCCCCCACATAGACAGACACCCCCCCCCACATAGACAGACACCGCCCCCCCCACATAGACAGACACCCCCCCCCCCACATAGACAGACACCCCCCCCCCACATAGACAGACACCCCCCCCACATAGATAGACACCCCCCCACCAGACAGATTCCCCCCCCACACACATAGACAGACCACCCCCCCCACAGACACCCCCCACCCCCCCACAGACAGATCCCCCCCAGACAGACCACCCCCCCCCACAGACCACAGACACCCCCCACCCCCCCACAGACAGATCCCCCCCCAGACAGACCACCACCCCCCCCCCCCCACAGACATCCCCCACCCCCCACAGACAGATTCCCCCCCCCAGACAGACCATTCCCCCCCAGACAGACAGACAGACCCCCCCCAGACACCGCCCCCCTCCAGACAGAGCACCCCCCCCGCCCCAGACAGATCCCCTCCACCCAAGACAGGCAGAGACAGACACGCCCCCACCCCCAGACAGACACAGACAGAGACATACAACCCTCCTCCCACAGACAGACAAACAGACACCACCCCCACAGACAGATACCCCCCCCCCCCCCACACCCACTGCGCCTCTCCGTACGCAGCCGAGCGTGATAGGGAGCCGTATAAATGCACGTTGTTGTTGTTGTTGTTGTTGACGACCGGTCGATTTGACGTCGGGTCCGAACCAAACCGTTGCCGTTTCTCCGGTGCAGGAGGTGGAGACGCTGACCGCACACTGGAACCTGTGCATAAACGGCGCCGGGTTTGCCGTGGGCCTGTTCTCGGCCACGCTGCTGGGCCCCTGGAGCGACAGCGTGGGTCGCAGACCCATCCTGCTCGTGCCCACCCTGGGCCTGGCTCTGCAGGCTGCCGTCTACCTCCTGGTGGTGTCCCTGAGCCTGCCCGTGGCTTGCCTCCTGGTCGGACGTCTGCTGAGCGGCGCGCTGGGCGACTTCAGCACCCTGCTCGCTGGCTGCTTCTCCTACATCGCGGACGTCAGTGACAAGGAGGCGCGGACCTTCCGCGTGGCCGTGCTGGAGGCCTGCCTGGGCCTCGCTGGGATGTTCGGCAGCGTTATCGGCGGGCAGTGGAGGAAGGCGCAGGGCTACACCAACCCGTTCTGGCTCGCGCTTGCCCTCTACTTGGCCGCGGGACTCTACGCTTTCTTCTTCGTCCGGGAGTCTGTGAGCGTCGCGGGCAGCAGCAAGCTGTTCACCACGGAGCACTACCGCTCTGTGTGGCGCTTGTTCGCCAGCCGGAGGGGGGAGAACGGAGGCCGGGGGCAGCTCTGCCTCTACGTCCTCTGCCTCTTCATCGTGATCACCGTGCATTTCGGGGTCAAGGATGTCCTGATCTTATTCGAGCTGAGTTCGCCGCTGTGCTGGCAGTCCGATCTGATCGGTTATGGCTCAGCCGCCGAGCACCTGACCTACCTGAGCAGCCTGCTCGGCCTGAAGCTGCTGCAGCAGTGCCTGGAGGACACCTGGATAGCGGAGCTCGGGCTCATGTCCAACATTGCGGGTTTGGTGGTCATTTCGGTGGCAACTACGATCCCCATCATGTTCACAGGTAACTTCTAACGCCAGGGTGAGGTGGGCCTGATATTGGTACTGTTCGTGCCTTGGGTAGAGGTCAGCAGGGTCTCCTTGGAGGGTGACATTTTGGCAATGGAATGTCAGAATCGAGCCAGCCCTCTAGTCTGATTCCTGAGCCAGGCAGGTCCGCTGTATTCCCGGGCACTCATGACCACCGCACAGCCCAGCCTGGCTCATCGGCAGGACCTGGAAGGGCAGACCAATCACTGGGGGCAGGGAGTCATCCCACTCAGCTCCTGTTAACCCTGCAGCCAAAGCCCTGATGGGTAGGGAGTCCTGTAGCTCAGTGGTTAGAGCACTCGCTTTGCAAGTGAGAGACCTGAGTTCATTTCCAGGCAGGGCGAAACCTTGGGCAAGTTTCCTTACTCCACACGCCTAATAATAATCCCTCCAAAAAAACAAAAAACAATAATAAATTGGTCATTTTCAATCTACAACTGTTTGTGGGACATTGCTGTGCGCAATTGGCTGCCGCGTTCGCCCACAAATATACAGTCAATTCACTTTACAGTGTGTTCTGTGAAGCGCTTTGGGACGTCCTCCTGACGTGAAAAGCGCTATATCAAATGCAAGGATTATTATTATTATTATTATTATTATTAGGGCTGGACAAACAGTGGGAACGCTTGCCAGGCAGCGATACCGATGGCAAGCTATAGGGTTCTAGCTGGTGAAGCAGTAAGTCACGCACACTCTCTCGGGTCCCCAAGCCTCGGCTCTTTCCAACCTGCGCCTAATATTTCTGGAATTGGGTAAGCAGGAAGCGTCTCTCCAGGAAGAGAGAGTGCGAGCAAACAGAGTGCGCGTTTCATTTGAACAAACCATCTCTGGAATTTCCACGTGAGAGTGGGATGCGTGGAACTTATCAGTTTGGTTTGGAGACTCTTTAGGCATAGCGATGGGTTTCTGCGTTTGTCGGACACCTGATTAGGGGGTGGCCAAAGGGAAGCTTGATCTGAACCTCCTTTGTGACCAGAGTAATGGCAAACACTTTAGAATGATGTGACACCGGTGTCGTCATTTTCTGGCAAAGAGCGATGGTGTGATCAATCACAGCTTCCTGGGGGAATGAATGTTCTGCTGCTCTGTGACCCAAAGACAAACACTGAGCTTTCTTTTTTTTCTTCTTCACTGTCACCAGGGTACGGACTGCGGATTCTCGCTATGGCAACCACCCCGGTGATCCGAGCCAAGATGTCGAAGCTGGCACAGGGGACCGAGCAAGGTAAGGCCATGGATGTAATCCTGCATCCTACAGTCACTGTGTGTGTGTGCGTGTTGAGAGGAGAATGAAATCTGCACAATTTCCTTTTCCAAGAACTATACCACTCCATCCCCCCGCACCACACACACAAAACTCAGTATAAGCGGCTTTCATGTCAGGAGGACGTGTCGAAGAGCTTCGTGGGATACACCGTAAAACGAAGTGACTGTGTGCTTTGTGGACAAACACAGCAGCCAATTTGCAAAAAAAAAAAGTTCCACAAATAGCTGTGAAGTGAGTGACCAATTTTAATTTGGGGGAATTGCTGGTTGGGACACTGGGAGAAATTCCTTTCTGTTTTCCAATAGTGCCATTGGGATCTTTAATGTTCACTTGAACGGGCAGAGAGGACCTCAGTTAACCATGATATCTGAAGGGCAGCACCTTAAACAATGAAGAGATTCCCCCAGCACTGCACTGCAGGTTCAGCCGACAGGAATTCAAAGTCTCCTGACGTGGGTTTGAACCTACAGCCTTCGGCCTCCCGAGTGTGAGAGCGCTACCGAGTGTGCCAGGGTGATACATATGCCATATGAAGGCAATAATAATAATCCTTGCATTTGATATAGCGCTTTTCACGTCGGGAGGACGTTCCAAAGCGCTTCACAGAACACACTGTAAAGTGAATTGACTGTATATTTGTGGGCGAACGCGGCAGCCAATTGCGCACAGCAATGTCCCACAGACAGTCGAGGATTGAAAATGACCAATTTATTATTGTTTTTGGTTTTGGAGGGATTATTATTAGGCTCTGTGTGGAGTAAGGAAACTTGCCCGAGGTTTCGCCCTCTGCCTGGAATTGAACTCTGGTCTCTCGCTTGCAAAGCGAGTGCTCTAACCACTGAGCTACAGGACTCCACGGCCAGGCAAGCACTTAGTCCAGGAGGTAAAATTAGCTTGGACATTGAACATCAATTTAGCAATGCGGAACTGCTGTGTTTCTACAGTTTAGGGTGTGTGTGACTGCTGCTGGGACAAAGGTTGGTATTGAAGCCCACGGCTCTCATCTCCCAGTGTACGTACGCGATCAGAGGCTGGAGGGGAGGTGGGGGGGTTGGCATTGATCCTATTGCGTGTTGTATTGATCAAGTTACGTAACTCTAAACTTTGCTCCTCGTGTTTGCAAAATGACTCTTAAAGGGCAAGTGTATTCACTGATGAATACGCAATTCAACCCTACCCTGGAGCTTCAGCTAACCTGAAATGTGAGCTGAACTAATGTTTATTTTAAAATTATGCAGTTGCGGTGAGCATATTCCTGGCTTTGATTTTTGAGGGCAGTTTCCTTCCCTAAACAATAGAAGCTTGATGGTAAATTGGGAAGAAACGTCACTGAAGAGGCAGGGAGCTGGATTAACGCCGACTTCAAGTGTCCTACAAATAACCCTCGGTTAATGAATTAATGAGTAGTGCCGTGTCTCTGTTTGCCTTTGATAAGGCTATTTTGGGCAGTAAATACAGGAGATTTACTCTTGCTAGCATGTGATTTCCTGCATTGTAATTTCTAGCTAGGGTTACGTCAAACCTGTGGGTCTCAAATATTTTCCAAGTCAATTCTAGTGGTCACTGTGTGCTTTGGGAATCTGGTGTCGGACCAACTGGAGAAAGCGAGGGAGCCAGGTTTGTCTCATCATTCAGAGCACAAGTGAAAACCTTCAGCATCTTGGGACACCCTCCTGACCTGAAAGGCACTATTATAAATGCAATTTGTTAGTGTGGAGAAGATTGTATGTTGGGGATGATGGAAGGATTTTCAGAAGTTCTTCGATAAAGTGCCACATGAGAGACTTGTGACTAAAATCAGGGCCATGTGGAACTGTGGGACAGCTTAGGTAACTGGACGAGACCATAGATGGACGACTAAGAGAGTGTGAGGGAACGCATTTTGGAAGGAAGAATAAGAGAGCAAGTTTAGAAAGCTAAAAAGAGTGGGCGAGCAGGAGACAACGGGCCACCTGTGGAGTGAGGTGCGTGGAGACCGTCCATTATTCAGCCACCAGACGCACAGCCACAAGGAGAGTAGAGAGATGCTGGAGGGTGAAGGAGGGCACAATCGGGAACAAACTGTTCTGTTTACGATCTGATCATGTCGGGACTTGAACTTGCACAGTGCAAACCGACACTCCGACCGAGCACTGGGGATTGTTGCCTTGTCGAAGGTGTCGCCTTTCAGGTGAGACGTTAAACCGAGGACCCGGCTGGCTGTTTACGTGGATGTTAAAGATCCAATGGCGCTATTGGAAAAGCGAAGGGAGTTTCTTCCATTGTCCTGCCCAATAATCCCCCAAATAATAATAAAAATAATAATCCTTGCATTTGATGCAGCGCCTTATCACGTCTTTGAGACGTACGACTCAAAGCGCTTCACAGAATATACTGTAAAGTGAATTGACTGTATTTTGTGGTCACTCACTTCATGGCTGTATGGGTGACATTGGATGCTAAAAATACACAGTGACTCCCAATTTACAGTATATCCTGTGAAGTACGTTGAGTCATATAGATAACTGATAAGACGCTGTACCAAATGCAAGGATTGTTATATAGATATAAGCTGTTGTATCTATCAAGTGGGGTGGGGGTTTAGGGGTTTAGCTGACACTGCAGCACAGGGAAGTACAAGACTTATCTCGCCAACCAATGCTGCCAACCTTTCTTTTCGTCTGCGCCTTTGGTCACCTCCCCCCCCCCCCCCCCCTCCCCCTGGCTCGGTCCCAGGATCCGAAACTGTAAAGCGCTCTGAGACGCCATCCGGCGTGGAGGGCATTATATAAATCCAAGTTGTCGTTTTTGTTGATGTGTCTCCCTATTGAAAGCCTTGAGAATTGTCAGCATTATCTGTAACCACCGTCTAGTCTGCTTGACAGTGTCACACTGTGCAGGAAGTGGTTTGTCTGTGCCTGTTTGCCCTCCTAAGACCTTCATACCCTGTGAAGCCCTTTGAGATATCTGAATGACATGACCTTGAATACAAAATGATAATATTAAGCAGTGGAGTTGGTGCATCATTAATAGTCTTCAGCTGTGGTCCTCGAGTTGAGGGTGGAGGCAGAGAGATAGAGTTGGGCGTCATCCACATACATGTGGAAGTTAATCCCATGCTGCAGTTCACAGCAGCTGGTCACTGAGGAGGACTTTGAGACCACTCAACAATGTGATAAGACACTATGTCGGGGTTATAGAGTGTCTCAGATCATCCTGGTCATGTTGTCCTCCCAACGCCGTTTTCCTGAGTAAACAATAAATTAATCTGCCATCCCATGCAATTAATTTGTTATCCAAGCAAGGCACTTGACGAACAAAGGTCGCGTTCATTACTGAGTTTGACTTTTCAACTGATAAAAAGTCTTATTGTGGAGCCTATAAATTCAAGGTTTATTAAGTGTCAGCCTTGACCTGAGGTAATCAGTCTCTCTCCTACACAATCTCCAAGTGTTGTAATTGGAACCAAAGCTTCCTCTTGACTTTGCTGGACAGTAGCATTGGGAAGCTACGAAGACTGAGCTGATTGTAGGTGAAGTTGTGAATTGTCCTGTCACTCGTCTCTTTTAGTGACTCTCGTCAGTGTGTGCTCAAAGCAATTGCTATTAATGCCTTGTTGTCAGGGTAATGCTTTACAACACACGGCAGAGATTTGCCCAATAAATTCTGAGTCATTCCACCTCAATTCTGATGAATAATAATTAATTATTGTTCATCAGAATAATTATTATTTGAAATAGCAACTTATCACGTCACTGAGATGTCTTGAAGCACTTCACAGAATATACTGTAAAGTGGTTGACTGTCTATTTTGTGGGTGAAACGCGGCAGCCAATTGCGCACAGCAGCGTCCCACAAACAGTCGTGGATTGAGTGACCAAATTATTATTTTATTTGTTTTTTTTTGAAGGGATTATTATCCCCGGAAAAGCGATACGACAATCGACTAACAACCGGGTTCCTACTTACTGCGAGGTAAACAGAGGCGCGTGGAGTAAGGAAACTTGCCTAAGGTTTCGCCCTGTCACACCCGGGTATTGAACCCGCTTGCGAGGCGAGTGCTCGATAACCGACACACTGCAGGACTCCACGAAGTCTATGCTGCGTTAAGTGTTGGATTGCGTAATAACCGCTGTCTCCTCTTTCTGTATACAGGTGCCCTCTTTGCAGCAGTGGCGTGTGTGGAGAGCTTGTGCTCGCTGATGTCCACCTGGATCTTCAGCTCTCTGTACCCGGCCACACTGCACTTTATGAAAGGTTTCACATTTGTTTTCGGAGCAGCGATGCTCCTCGTTCCCGCAGGACTCCTCGGGTACGTCAGATTCTCTTACCTAGACTAACGTAGAGTAATCTAGAGTAACCCGGAATAACCTAGAGTAACCCTAGATTAATTTAGAGTAACCCAGCATGGAAATGGGCCGTTCAAACAAATTAATCCTTGCCAAACTAAGAGCTCCGGGACACTACCCCGCGTGAGTGGCGTTATATAGATGTTAGTTGTTGTTATTTATTCCCCACCCCTCCTATTCCCCCCCCTGTGGTAATCTGCAGATACACGGAAGGAAGCCAATCACTGCCTTTCACAAACCTCCCCTCCACCCCCAACCCCCCACCTCCTTGCGTGTCTCTCGCAAAGAGTGCAGAGTTGCCTGCCCCGGTAACTGCTCTCCTGTTAACCCGTGTAAAGCCACTGTTTCGGAGAATCCAGGCCGTGTCTATATTAAGAATGTCATTGTCAGCGGACACAGATAGCTGTGTGTGTGGTGGAGTACTATCTATCATCATTGGGACACGAGAGGCATAAAGATAGGCACGTTATGGCTCACGTGAGAGCAGGGCAATAAAGGCAAAGTATCCCATCAGCAGAACCAGCCAGAGAACATGCTGGAGGGTGAGGGCTGGTGGTGAGGCTTTCTCTCAGCGTCTATCAATCTGAGAAACATCAGAAGCAGCACATGTCGGGATCCTTACCGGTATCGTAGGGAAGATTGCAGCTCGGATGAGCTCAGTGGGTGGCTCTGTTTTCATTACAATTCAGGATGGGCCTGAGATAGACACGGGCAGGACCTCAGGTGAAAGGGCAGAAAAGGGAGCTTTACTCTCGGAGTGTGGACGGATAGTGTAGAGGGAGCTTTACTCTCGTCTCTAACCCTGACCTGGGAGTGTGGACAGACAGTGTACAAGGGAGCTTTACTGTGTCACTCCCCGTGCTGTCACCGACTTGAGAGTCTGAATGATAACAACACTGCAATGAACAACGAACAAAATTTGGGGTGTGGTAGATTCACGCTCCCTTTCGAACCATTTTAACCAGTGTGTCTGGCAGAGTGCGCGCTCAGCTCACGAGGAGACGGCGCCCCCCTAGGGTTGATTTGCAGTGTGACATGCAGCCTCACGATCTCCGCGTATCTATCTGTTCTCAGGTTGCTGAAGTGCCGTGAGCCTGGTGGGCAGTACAGGCGTCTTGGAGATGCAGTGTGATAACTCCGGGCTCTTACTGCGATACGTCACAACCGAAAGCATCAGTCGCTGTGATCATCAGGAGAACACCAATGCAATTTACACAATGCAATTTACATTTATACAGTGCCTTTCACATTCCCAAAGGGCATCCCAGCTGGGGGTGGAAGCCAAAGGCGCCGGGGAAGGGGAAAGATAACCGAAAGCACAGTCAAAGACGTACGGCTTAACTTATGCAGAGTAACAATCAAGCCAGGTGTGAACTAATGTATTGAGAGCGATGTTAAAGACAGCTGAAGCTCAGGGGGAATTTGGTTGTGTGTGTGTGAGGGAATCTGCTGGCGGCTCCCAGAACACACACCGAGACACAGACTCTCTCTCTCTGGGTTTTCAACAGCTTTCTACTTTCAGCTGATTATATTTTAGAATCTTTAAAACATCGTCTCACCCGGTTTCGATCCCTGCAACTGATATTTCCAGAGAGAAAGAGGCCATTCGCAAAGTGAAAGGCACAGAGGATCCCTGCGTCTTGTACGTGAGGGACAGTCTCGGCCTCACACAGTGACGCTATAATAATAATAATAATAATCCTTGCATTTGATACAGAGCCTTATCACGTCTTCGAAACGTCTCATAAAGCGCTTCACAGGATACGCTATAAAGTGAATTGACTGTATATTTTATGGGCGAAACGATCACCTCACACTGCGCTAAGTCACACAGTGACTGTCACCTCACACTAATATTGTTCATTGTTAAATCTGTTCTCTCAGTGATTTCTGAGTGTAATTTGATGGCGGCTACGGTAATGTATAGCCGGGCTGCAGCGTGCCAAAGCTTTTGGAAAATGAGCCAGAGAGAAGCGGAATTGTGGCAATGATGATGATGATGTACCAGCAGAAATACAATCTTTTTATAATATTTAACAGAGAGCCTGAGAGTCTTCACTGCTCCTGCCTCCGTGGGGCGTTGGAAAAGACCCATGTCCCCCGGTGCCACCCAAACCGCTTCGGGTTTAACGTCTCGTCCCAAACATTGCCCTGGCCCGGTCCCTTGTGGGGAAGATTATAAAAGTTTATTAAATACCTCTTAACGGGAGGAGCTTTCTACAAAAATAAATGCAAACAGGCTTTCTATACAATTGGCAGAAGGAAGAACACAAAAGGGTTTGGGCTGTGAGTGCAAATCTTGAGTGGAGCTAAAACTGCCCTCCCAGTCTCGTTACTGTTATTGCAGGGGTTGAGGAGCTGGTTAGAGAGAGACACTGAAAGGGGCACGAGATGCTGAGTGATATTGGCTGTTTCTCTGCCAACCCCATTGACGTGGCATCTCCCAAACACATCTGAGAATACCCTCAATCCACACCCGTTTGTGGGACACCGATGTGCTTGTGAGGTGCCAGCCACCTTGATGTTCTCGAGGTCCAAGTCCAATGCAGGGTACCCGGCTGACTCAGCACCAGCTGCTCAATCCAGGTCCTCAAGGGGCTCTTGGCAAATAGACATACCCGCTGTGAAGCCACCTCTGCCTCCAGGGGTCTCAGTGACAGGTCAGTGTAGGCCTCCCTCCCTGCAGCTGCTTCCCGTGTTTGCCACCTCGTCGCTTGATCCTGGGCTTGGCAAACGAGCCGGAAGAAGCCTCTTCACTGCATCCCCTGAAGCTCGGATCCATAAAGGAAGACGGTTTGCACACAGTTCTCGTAGGCCACAAGCTCGACCTGCACTGGGACCTTGCTGTCCTTGAGCGATGAGTATGACCAGAGTGCCCTTTGCCCCCCGCCTCCCCCCTTCTCAGTGCGGTCCTTCAGGACAGTGTTCAGGCAAAGGTTGTTGTCCACCGCAACCTCCAGGTACTGGGAAGAATCAACCATTGGAACTGCGTCTTCCGATCAATTCCCTCGATGTCTCCCTCGGGCCGTGCGTGCAGAACCACCATCCGGCACTCGGGGGCGCTCACCACCACGTCTCACCCGGTGGCCCGGAGACGACACTTTTTCTGGGAGACACACAAGCGGCTGCACAGCGAGAGCGTCTTCGTGTGGAAATTAACAGCTCGGGTGAAGTTTGGCGCTTTCTACTGCATCAGGAATATCAGTGTATGGGAGCGACAAGGCACTAGGCAGGGGGGTAAGAGGGTGTTTGGTAAAGGAGTGACTTATTGCACCAGAGGAACGCAGTCATCGTGGGAGACAAGGTTGGGGGTGGAAGAGATGCAGGGGTATGGCGGGGGGTTGGCGGAGGGGAGAGATGGACTGGGGGAGGAGAGGGAGACCTTGGACACAGAGGTCAGGGATGCCTCACACAATGTCATGGTCCATGTCTCACGTGATCCTGAGGTTAGAAGCTGCTGAGGTTAGAAGATGCCTTCCTTCCATCCTGCCCTCACCCCCCCCCCACCCACCCCAGGCGCTGTCTCTCGTTGGGGATGAGAGGGTCCGGGGTCAGGGTGTCGAGGCATGCCTTTGGGGGCTGATGGCTTTCTCGCTGCTGTCCATTGTGACTATGGAGTTCCGGTGGGAAGGGTGGTAGAGAAAGCGCAGGATCTTCTCGATGGTGGCGTCCTGATATTCATGGCACCACCTGAATGTGAGGAGGAACGGAGAGCGAATGAGCCAGAACTACAATATGGACAACCACAGCACTGATCAGTACTCAGCAGTCACTCGCTTTCGTACAATCACTCACTCCCCTCGTTACAAGTGTAAGGAAGGAGCCAATATAAAATGTTAACTGCAGGAAAACATCATGTCCTTGCCTTGGTTGACTACTTCTGATAAGGAGAAGTGGGGGGGGGGGAAATTATTTAGTTGGCACGTGTTCAATCCTGCCACGGACTGAACACTGCTGGTAAATGTGCTTCACAGGAACGGGCCTGTGAGTTTTAACCAAAGGGTGTAGGTGCTATTTGATGGGTCTGGGCTTTATGCAATAACCAATAACAAATCAGGCATAAAAATAAAGAGTTCACGTCAAGATCAATGAGAGGCAGATCGAGCCATACCCTGTGCTGCCTCCTGCACTCCCAGGGACAGGTAACACTGATCAATACTTGATTCGTTGATAGCCCGGTTGCTCCCATTATTGCTTCTTACCGTAGAGAGTATTTGCTCATTGTATAATCATTGACTGAGGGACTACGATAATGGAAACGATTGCTTAACATCCAAATTGTGCACACATTCCCTCGTCAAATAATAAAAGTAGTTACCTTATACAATCTTCCCCCCCACTCCCCACCACCCCACACCCGACGCAGGGGAACAGAGGTCCAATTGGGTGGAGCCTGGTTGGTGTGAGGCAGGGGTGGGGGTGGAGAGAGAATCATGACAGGATCGGAGACTGGGTTACCTACATGATGCCGTTGAATTTCAGGATTCCCCTCATGTCTTCGGGCAAAGATCTGGAATCCGGCCAGGTAAAGTGGTCAGTCACAGGCACAATGTTCTTCCCGCTGTTCATGGCCATCACAATCTCCTGGGCAAAGTACAGAGGAACACGTCGATCTCTGCACTCAACTGGGGACCAAACCTCCAGGACACTTTGCTTTGGCCGATTCACATACAATGACCTGTATTTATACAGCGCCCTTTCATGCAGAATAATGTCTCAGGAGCACTGGACACTGCTGGGGATGGAGTGGGGGGGAAGTGACCGTAGACGTAGGGAAGAGGTTAAGTTGGATTTAAAGTGGGATTTAAAGTCAGAGGAGGCGAAGCGGAGGGATTGAGGTTTAGGGCGGGTGAAGGCACGGCCGCTGATGGTGGAGCGGAGGGGTTGGCGGATGGGGAGGAACTCAGCCTTGTGTTAGCGGAGTGTGGGGGGTGAGCAGAGGGGTGCCAGCAGGTCAGAGAGATGCCAGGGCAAGGACAACACACGTGACTCCCGGACATGCAACAACCACACTGCTGTGTCTCTGTCATTGTGCACCCAGCACACCCTCACCTTGTGCACCCAGTCCTTCATCTCGGTGTCCCCCATGCACTTGTCCAGCGCTTTTTCCGACAGAACCAGCACAAAGTTCTTCGCCTTCTTCACGCTTTGGATCAGTTTGTCCTCAAACTTCCCGGCCTCGAGCTTCTCCACGTCAATAAAGACGCTGAATCCTCTCAGCTGCAAATGGACCTTTAACAGACTGAGGGGCAGCAACAGGCAATTGACAGGGACTCACTCGATGGTCAGAGACCACATCCCAGCCCCAGTCACCCTCAACAACGAGGAGATTAACAGGGATTATTATAATTATAAGGATTATTATAATAGTAATGATAGTTAATGTTAATTCACTTTCCTCTCCATAGCTGCTCCCTGACCTGCTGAGTGTTCCCAGCCACTTCTGTTCTTATTTCAGATTTCCAGCATCTGCAGTATTTTGCCCTTAATAGTAATAACCACCCTCGCATTTGACATCTCAAAGCGCTTCGCAGAAGATGCTGTCAAGTATAGTGACTGTACATTATGAGCACAGCTCACCCACAAAATTAAACATCCGAGTGATCCAGACACCCATCATGAGATACCATAGGATCAAGAGCCCAAAGCTGGGACCCAGGACCTTGCTTGGGATGGAGATGGACTGAACCAATGGCTCTGGTCAAGCCCATAGGCCTTCTGGCCCTGAGACTATCCCAGCCCTAGATACAGATGTGCAAACCTGGCCAGCTGTGATCCTGTTGTCCTCCGGTAACTGATAAACACATCTGGCCCTTCCGAGCAGGAGTTATTACAGCTGTCGGGCAAACACGGCAGCAACAGCTCTGAAAATCAAACCCTTTCACGTTAGATTCTGGGAATGAAAAAGCCACAAGACGTCTCCACAGCCAACAGTCACCAGCCCTGAACTCTGCTCAGCACGGGGACTGGAGCAACGATATGACTGCCCCCCCATCCCCAGGCCCCTGGCTAGCTCCGACCTGTGTGTCAACAAAACCTCTCGACGGCTCAGTCCATCGCTGACCCAGGCATGGCGCTCCTTGCAGCATCTCACCTATGTCACCTATGTTCAATCCCCCCACCCTCTATACCATGCGTTCCCCCCCACTTCTCCCCCCATCCGGCATATAACTTCCCCCTGGCACACACATTCCCCACCCTCCTCGCATACTCTGGGTGCGAGTGTGGCAGGGAGGAGTGCGGGTGTGAGCGTGACGGGGAGAGAGACCCTGGGTGCGAGTGTGACAACGTGAGGACCTTTACCCCGGGCAGCGAGGAGGATACGAGCTCTGTGGAAGGCGAGGTGCACTCGGCAGTCGGTGAGCAGCTGGGTGTCGGTGACGGTGGGCAGGCTGGCACGGTCCATGCCCACCTGGACCAGGTGATAGGTGTACTGCCGGAAGCGGGGGTCGATGCTGCCCAGCCAGTCGGCCACGTTGCTGGGGTCACAGGTCGAGTAATTGGCGTACGTCTTCAACTCGGTCAGCTCCCGCAGAAACCTGCCGGTGAGACTCAGAGTGGGTCGGTTAAAGCGACAGACGCGAGCTCCCAGCTATACATAACCCCGGCCATCAGTCACATTGAGGTCCCTTTAATTCAGGATATTATTACGGATACAACGGCAGCATTTATGCGGCACTTTTCACCCAGGGCAACGTTTCGGAGCAGTTCGCAATGATGGGGTATGATGATGAGCTGAGGGGGAGGGGGAGGGGACCAGAGGCGTGGTCGAAGAGGTGAGACATGATTTAAAGACTGATAGAAAGAGAGGGGGCGAGACGGAGGTTCGACGGGTGTGTGGAGTTTGGTGGGGGTGAGGATGTGGGCGTTGGAGGTTTGGATTAGCCGCAGTTTATGGCTGGTGAGGATGGCGAGTTCCAGTCTACAGTGGGGTTTTAAGTGCAGGGAGAACGGAGCGTGGAGCCTGAGGTGATCAATATCTCTATATATAAATACGAGCAATTCCTCACCTTTTGCGAGTAATGCTGGATGTTATTCCCAGATCTTCCATTAAATCGGAATCAGATATGACCAGCAGCAGGTCTCCATCCACCTCCAGCTCCTGGGGATGTGATAATCCTGGTCAGTGTTCAGCTTCATCTCAACTAGGCTCGTCTCAACCCACACAACACGTCTACCAGAACAACCTACATCTACACAGTGCATTTCAGGTAAGTAATCATAATAATAATTATAATAATAATAATCCTTGCATTTGATACCGCGCCTTATCACGTTGTTGAGACGTCTCAAAGCGCTGCGCAGAATATACTGTAAAGTGGAGTGTCTGTGTATTTCATGGGCGAAGCGCGGCGGCCAACGACATCAACAACTTGCACTTGGAGAGCGTCCCTCACGCGGGGTAAAGTCCCAGAGCGCGTGACAGCGAGGAGCGCAAACAGCCGTGGATTGAGTGACCGAATTGAGTGTGTTCGCTGGTAATTGAGAAACCAGCTAAAACGGCGTGGCTTGCCATTGAGATCACTGTCTGGCAGGCTTTCCCACTGCTCCTCCACCCACCCGCTCCCTCTCCTCTCCCCCTTCTCCGCCGCTCACCAGGAACCTCTGGCAGTAGCTGCTCAGGCCTATCTGCTGGAGCCAGGTCTGCACCTCGCAGGGTTTCCAGTTGGGCACGGCCGGGGAGAGCCGGCGAGGAATGGCCTCCCCCATCATCTTCAGGCTCTTCTTGGCGAGTGCCGAGGTGGTGACGTTCCGGGAATAGCTCACGATCCGCTTGAGGCTCTGAACTGCTCCGATTTCATAGAATATCTGCAACGAGGGAGAGAGAGAGGAGAGAGATGGTGACCCGTCGGGTCTGTATGCCCACCCCCACACCCCAGACAACACCGAGCCGACCTCAGTCCCCACTCTTGGTCACGTATTCCAGCTGTTACTTCACCTCGGTGTAAAGAAGTACTTCCTGGTGTCTGTCCTGACCTTGTCCCTCAAACCCCAAGTCTCGTGTCACTCAGCAAACCCTCACCTTACTTAACGATCATCAACTCCACTTTTACACAGAGACTAACCTGTCCTGTCACGGACCTGGGAGTGTGGACGGACAGCGTAGAGAGGGAGTCTCTTACCCATGACCTGGGACCAGCCCTGCCCTCTCTCTCTCTCTCTCTCTCAGCCCTCACCTGGGTTTTGTGTTGCTCGCACTTGATGCCGGCCTCCACACACAGGTAGAAGGCCGCGATGCATTGAGCCTCCAGTCGTGGGCTGTCCAGCAGGAGCACCAGCCTCTGCAGGTCCTCGGGTGTGCGTCCCTGCGAGTTCTCCCCGCTGTCGAGCCAGCTCCGCGCAAACTCCTCGGGGTGAAGCGAGGCGATGAAGGGCTCCACCAGGTCCAGGGTCCCCGACCCCTCCACCTCCTTCTCGATCTCCCTGTTGGTGGCTAGCACGGTGATGGCCAGGCAGGCATGGAACCTGACCAGCTGGTCGCTGGAGAAGGCCAGTGGGAACAGCCAATTCGCTGCGTTCTTCTCGATCATGAGCCGCTGGTTCTTGTGGCCGGCGTGCATGGCACAGTTGGCCAGGGCCATGGCACAGTGCCGCAGCAGGGCTGAGTCCGTGCCCCGGCACCAGTATAGGATGGCGTCCAGCCCGCCGTTGGCGATCAGCAGGTACGAGGTCTCCTCCGAGTGCTTGAACATGTGCTGCAGGATCCCGGACATGACCCTGGCCATCGGCACGTCCTCGCGCTCCCTCACCAGCTCCAGGATCAAGCCCAGCCCGTGCGAGCCACACGGTCCCTGTGGGAGAGACGCCAGTCACAGAGAGCCCATCGGCACAACTAGACCCCGGCAGCCAACCCGCCACCACCACCTGACTGCCCCCTAACCCCCACCCCAGTCACCCCACCCACACCAACCCCAACACCTTCCCCCCTCCCCCACCCCCTCTCAACACTGTCACTGGCACCTGACATTACGAGGCCCCTCTGATTAACACAAACACCAATGACAATGAAGCCCCCGCGCTCAGAAACATTACCCCCCCCCCCTCGCCCCCCCATCTCTCCCCCACCCCTTGGAAAGAATGCATGTTATTGCTTTGTTGTTGAACCGGATTCGAAGGCAAAGCGGCGCTAACCGATGCCTTCACACGTCAGAGGATGTGGTTTTTACTGTATGTGTCGCTCAGAATTTCCTCAAATAACCGGGTTTCGCAATGGCCTCTCTCAGTTATAGATATTGTTGTTGGGGAAATAAAGGAAGAGATTTTACTAAACTCGTCAATGTGTGTGTGCGGGGGGTGGGGGGGTGGGGGGGGGGGTGGGCTGTGGGGGTGTGGGGGGTGGGGGTGGGGGGGTGGAATGAGGTGGGGGTTACGAAAGGGGAGAAAACTGACGGCTAATAACAATAACAATAATAATCCTTGTGTTTGACCCGGCGCCCAAATCACGTCTTCGAGACGTCTCCAAGTGCCCCCCAACCATCTCCCCCCACCCAACCCCATCTCCCCCCACCCCCATCTCCCCCCACCCCATCTCCCCCCACCCCCACCCCCATCTCCCCCACCCCAACCCCCATCTCCCCCCACCCCCCCCATCTCCCCCCACCCCCACCCCATCTCCCCCCCACCCCCACCCCCATCTCCCCCCACCCCACCCCCATCTCCCCCACCCCAACCCCCATCTCCCCCACCCCAACCCCCATCTCCCCCACCCCAACCCCCATCTCCCCCACCCCAACCCCCATCTCCCCCACCCCAACCCCCATCTCCCCCCACCCCACCCCATCTCCCCCCACCCCCACCCCCATCTCCCCCCACCCCCACCCCCATCTCCCCCCACCCCACCCCCATCTCCCCCACCCCCACCCCCATCTCCCCCACCCCCACCCCCATCTCCCCCCACCCCCACCCCCATCTCCCCCACCCCAACCCCCATCTCCCCCACCCCAACCCCCATCTCCCCCACCCCAACCCCATCTCCCCCACCCCAACCCCCATCTCCCCCACCCCAACCCCCATCTCCCCCCACCCCAACCCCCATCTCCCCCACCCCCACCCCATCTACCCCCACCCCACCCCCATCTCCCCCTCCCCCTCCCCCCCCCCCCCCCCTCACCTGTTCTCGGTGACCAGTACCTGCTCCAGCAGTCTGGCCGCCCGGTACCTGATCTCCGCGGTCGGGGACCTGAGCAGCTCCAGGAGACGGTCCAGACCTCCCTCCAGACGGATGAGGTCGCAGAGAGCGGCGGCCACCCCCCGGCCCAGGGCCGCCAGACCCCACCCCTCCAGCACCAGCCCCTGGATCTCGGCCATCAGCCGCTGCTGCTCCTCCCCGGAGCCGCGGGCCGCTCGGAGGGCGCTCAGAGCGCGTCGGAGAGGCGCTGAGAGGCGCTGCGTGGCTGCCATCGCCTCCTCGTTGGGGCTGGGGGGGCGGGGGCGGGGGCTGGGGGGGATGGGGTTGGGGGGATGGGGCTGGGGGGGTTGGGGTTGGAGGGGATGGGGTTGGAGGGGTTGGGGGGGTTGGGGTTGGAGGGATGGGGTTGGAGGGGTTGGGGCTGGACCCCGGCATTGAGAGATGCTGCTCTGAGCCCAACATGGCGAGAAACCAGAGCAGTTTGGACCTGAGAGACATGCGCTACAGGAACATCCAACTGCTGCCTCCCCTTCCTCTCCCTCCTTCCCCTTCCTCTCCCTCCTTCCCCTTCCTCTCCCTCCTTCCCCTTCCTCTCCCTCCTTCCCCTTCCTCTCCCTCCTTCCCTTCCTCTCCCTCCTTCCCCTTCCTCTCCCTCCTTCCCTTCCTCTCCCTCCTTCCCTTTCCTCTCCCTCCTCCCCTTCCTCTCCCTCCTTCCCTTCCTCTCCCTCCTTCCCTTCCTCTCCCTCCTTCCCCTTCCTCTCCCTCCTCCCCTTCCTCTCCCTCCTTCCCTTCCTCTCCTCCTTCCCTCCTCTCCCTCCTTCCCCTTCCTCTCCCTCCTTCCCTTCCTCTCCCTCCTTCCCTTCCTCTCCCTCCTTCCCTCCCTCTCCCTCCTTCCCTTCCTCCTCCTCTCTCTCTCTCTCTCCACGTCTGTCTCTCACTGCGAGAAGACAGAGGGCTTTACATCACAGCACAGGAACATCCAACTGCTTCCTCCCTCTCTCTCTCTCTCTCCCTCTTTTGCTCTGTCTGTCTCAGTGCAGTCACATCAGATGCTTTAAGGCACAGGACAAGAACATCAACTTCTCTCTCTCTCTCTGTCTCTGTCTCTCTCTGTCTCCCTCTCTCTCTGTCTCTGTCTCTCTCTCTCTCTCTCTGTCTCTCTCTCTCTGTCTCACTGCAACCAACACAGGAGACTGCACTGGAGCATCCACAGCGCCTCTGCACAAAGCATTACATCATCCACAATGCAGCATCGCCTCTCACCCTCTCTCCCTCCCCTCTGGGTGTCTCTGCTCTGCGCACCCCCCACCCTCCCATCTCCGGCTCCTGTCCCCGCCTGCAGTCCCCCACCGCAGCCGCTGCCCGGAGGCAGGACCTTCCCGACCACCCAAGTTATTCTTAATTAATTAATAATTATTTCCCGCTATTAGCATTTACACCCCATGGCCTGCGATACACAGGGCCTCATCGCGCCTTCGGGACGCCTCAAAGCGCTTCACGGAATAGACTGTAAAGTGTGGTGACTGCGTGTGTTTTTAGTTGTCTTGGAAAGTAACCCCGGCTTCAGGACAGCACAGTTCCTCACAGAGAGAGAGAGAGAGAGAGAGAGAGGCAGAAGCACTCAGGTTGACTTTGTGTGTTTATTGGTTGCTGTGGAGGACTCGGGTACGTGTGTGAGCTGTGGTCGGCCGGAGGTCCTCCTCTCCAATAGGGTTCACAGTGTGTGTCTTGGCCACAGTTGATGCAGATATCAGGTCAGTCCGGGTCTCACTCCGACTCGCGGCACTTGAACCAGTATCTGGCGATGGACCGGGGGTACGGCGGGTCCACGAGCGCCACTTGCTTGGACTCCAGGTCCACGCGGTAATACTCGTCTGTAACGAGAAAAGGGTTAGTCAGGCCCCTGCAGCTGAGAGACACACACAGACTGTCCGAGAGAATGAGAGACACACACAGACTGTCCGAGAGAATGAGAGACACACACAGACTGTCCGAGAGAATGAGAGACACACACAGACTGTCCGAGAGAATGAGAGACACACACAGACTGTCCGAGAGAATGAGAGACACACACAGACTGTCCGAGAGAATGAGAGACACACACAGACTGTCCGAGAGAATGAAAGATACACACAGACTGTCAGAGAGAATGAAAGATACACACACAGACTGTCAGAGAGAATGAAAGATACACACAGACTGTCAGAGAGAATGAAAGATGCACACACAGACGCAGGATAGTGTCCCAGAGCATTGGACCTGAGAGACATGCGCTAGCGGAGCCTGACTCCAAGCCGGAGGGGGGTGGGGGGGCTGGGTCTGGGTGACCGTAAACACGGTCGAAAAGTAAGGTTTTCAGGCGGGACTTGAAAAAGGGGAGAGAGGGGGCAAGGCGGAGGGATTGAGGGAGAGTGTTCCAAAGTTTTGAGGTGTAATGGCTGAAAGCCTGACCTCCGTGGTGGACCTGGGGAGACCGGCGAGGAGGGAGTGGGGATAGGGCAGGGCGGTGGGGTTGGATGAACAGCTTGCTTTGAGAGTCTCGATGGATGTGAATGATTCTGGTTTAAACGCCAGGACGATACCTTGAGCAAAGAAGTAGACACTCTGACTGGGAACCAATCCAGGAGGCATGTAGAAGTCAAATTCCATGCTGGAGGAATGATGCTTCTTTTTCTTCCACCTTCTGCTCTTTGGTTTGTTCCTACCCCTCTGTCGGATGAGAACATCTTGTCGAATCATCAAGAGCTTTCCGGTCATCGCGGCGTCCACATGAGAGGGAAGTCCCAGCCAGTCCCGGGAGACAGAGCCTGGTCCAATGGCGCCATCTAGAACACAAAGTCATCATCGACCCTCACAATAATACTCTTACATTTCATACAGCGACTTCCAGGACTCACTGTCAAGTGCAGTGACTGTGTAGTTTGGAGCCAATGCGGAAGCCAATTTGCACACAGCAATGTCCCACAAACAGCCGTGGAGTGATTGATGGATTGGATTTTTAAGGGATTGTCGGACAGGACACCGGGAGAGAGAAACTCCCTTTGTTTTTCAAATAGCGCTGTGGGACCGTAACACCGTAACTCCATAGCACCGTTTCAGCGCTTTGGGATGTCGTCCCGACGTGAAAGGTCCTCTATAAATGTCATTTTGCTGTTGTTCTTGTGGGATCTTTAACATCCGCCTGAACAGGCAGATGGGTTCTCAGTTGAACCTTTAATCCGAAGGACGGCACCTCCAACAACTCAGCGCTCCCCCAGCACTGCATCGCAGTGTCAGCTTGGACTACGTGGGTTCAAAGTCCTGACTTTGGGCTTGAACCCACAATAGTCCGACTCAGAGGCGAGAGTGCTACTGACTGAGTCAGGTTGATACCCTAATGACCAATTAATTTGGGGGATTGTTAGCGAGGACATCACAAAACTCCCTTCTCGTTTCTAATAGCACAGATTGGCTGGGGAGGGAGGGGAGTGGAGGACAGAGGGTGGGGAGAGGGGAGTTGGGGGGAGAGGTACAAAGAGATTGCTCGTACAAACATTACCACCAGATACAGAGCTTTGAAATAGCACTTCAAAAAGACTTTCCCACGGGTCCAACATTGTTATAGCATATCTCTGGAAGGGCACAGACTCCGATGTTTTCAGGCACTCTGACCGTTTGGGCTGATTTTCAAAAACGTACTGCCAGTACTGATTTCCTACAGAAAAAATATTTTGATGAAAATAACGTGAGCATTAGGAGTGACGACTCTGTGGAGGGTTTATGTGCATTGGGCAGTGCTGGAATTTGTTGTTTACCTTTGAAGAAGTAAGCTCGCTCGTTGCCATTAATGTTGGAGGCGGGCAATGCGAAGGAGGCATCCAAGTTTGACGGAATGCCGGGAAAACCTCTCTTGATCTTTCTTGGGTATCTGGGATCCAGTTTGCCATCGTCAAAACGCCAGTAGCTATCACCCTGGGTAGAGCAGAAAGTAAAATATTTACTAGTGGCAAATAAGACTCTTTCTCTTTCCTCGTTCACACTCAACCACTCACACTCTCTGTGTCTCTCTCTCTCACCTATGGGCAATATGGAAAAGGTCTTACCTGCAAATGAAGGTGGGAAGGAACAACTAATACTTTATGTTTGTGGATGAGTCTTTCTCTCTGTCTTTCCCTTCCTCACTTCTTGCTCCTGCCCCCCTCACCATGTACATAAATGATTTGGACTCAGATATAGAAATTTACAAATTTTGGAATCACACCCCCAGGGATGTGGTGAGTGATGAAGACGATTGCAAAGAAGATACAGGAAGGCAAACAGGTTTGCAGAATGGGCAGGGAGATGGCAGATGCAGTTTAATACAGAACAAAGCGAAGTGATTGACTTTGGTGGGAGCAATAAAGAAGCCATTTTATCTTAGATGCTAAGAACTTAAGAGATTCAGCTGAATAAAGTCTCTAAAATTAGTAACAAAGGTGGTCAAGGCCATAAATAGTGCAAACAGAGAACCGGGCTTAATGTTGAGAGGATCACAGTATAAAAGTGGGGAAGTAATGTTCAATTTGTATAAAACCTTGTTCAGACCACATGGAGATGCCGTGTGCAGTTCTGGTCACCTTACTGCAGGGAGGAGGTTGTGGCAATGGAGAGAGAGTGCAGTGTGGATTTACCAAGATGTTACCAGAGGCTGAGTGATTACAACTAGCAGGAAATACAAAACAAAGTCACTCCGCATTGCAGTATATCCTGCGAGGCGCTTTGAGATGTCTCGCAGACCTGATAAGGCGCTATTCCAAATGTAAGGATTATTATTATGATTATATTGTAAAGGCTGGAGTGGTTTACAGCTTCAGATTATGATATTCCATGCTGGGAACGTCACCTTGGAGCCAGCTGGATGTCTTGTGGACACAATTCCTGGCTCAGGCATGGAGAGAGGCCGCCCGGCTGAGGTGGTGCTGGGGAGCAAACCCCGTCACCAGTCAGCACCGAGGAGCAAGAGAATAAAGGGAGCCGACCAGAGTTTACCTTGAAGATGTACGTCTTGCCCTCACAGTTTAAACGTGTAAAGGCCGTATCAATGGGGCCTGGGATGCCCCAGACATCACTGATGCGTTTAGGATATCCTTCGCGAAAGCTGTAACTGTCCAGTTCATAAAAGTAGTCTCCTGTGAAGAGAGAGACAGGCAGTGGGGGTGAGTGCGGGGGTGAGTGTGTGGGGGCGAGTGTGTGGGGGAGACAACAACAGCAACAAACTACATTTGTAAAGCGCTTTTCACGTCGGGAGGATGTCCCAAGATGCTGGACAGTCAGGGATTTTGACCCGAGCCGAGGATTGGGATCAGGGTGTGGGGGGCTGGAGGGCAGGGAGGATGGGCGTAGGAGGGTGGTCGAACGCACGGTCAAAGAGGAAGGTCTTGAGACGCTCTTTGAATGAGGTAAGGCAGGGGGAATGATGCATGGACTGGGAATAGACAGTGTGGGGGAGACGGTGTGGTGACGAAACGTGGGATTTGGATGTTACCGTAGCTTGGCACGTGCAGCAAAGTATGCCGGGGCCCAGTGAGTTCAGAACCTCAGACAGACAGGGGAACCAGCAAGGGGTGGGACAGGAATTCTAACACAGGTGATAAACCATCAGATAACAGCCTTGTAAGTGTAATTAATGGCACAAGCGACAGCTATTGAGATCAATGTGTGCGCGCCCTGGGAGACAGACACCATTATGCTGGAGCCTGAAGTGCAGTACAACAATAGTCCTCAGTGTCCCCGGATGGGAAGAGGTCAGACCAGTCAAGGCTCCTGCTGCCGTTCGCTATCAGATGACACCTGCTGGAAAAGTGCACGTCTGTGTGTATGTGTGTGAATGCTGAATGCTCTTACCTCTGAAAGCAAATATGGATCCATTTTTTAGGTCAGTGAAGGCATCAAAGGATTCTTTGTCGGAACACAGGTCATTGGGTTTGGGTTCTGGTTCCAGAGTCGTCGTTGCCGGTTCTGTTGCTGTCTCTGGTACCGTTGTCGTTCTCAACAAGGCTGTTGTTGAAGCGGCAGATGGAAGACTGGAGCCTGTAACTCCCCCAATAATGTCAACATCAAACTCTTCGTCATCCTCAGGCACAGTAAAGACATCGCCGCGGGCTGGGGCAGCAATCACCAGGAGAGAAACACATGGTTAGGCTTCTCCTCACTTCTACTCTTTCTTTAAAAAAATATGAACCTTCATAACAAGAGTTCTCAGTGTCCTTCCTCACACAGTGCTCCAGGCAGTGACTGACACAGAGCTACACCAGCAAAAGGGCACTCTGGGGATCTCCTCTCAATTTAACGGGACAAGCCACGCCTCCGACATACCAGTTGGAGCTTTGAGAGTGAAGCTCCCTCTACACCGTGCGTCCACGCTCCCAGGTCAGTGACAGTGGGTTAGAGACACTCTAAAGCTCCCTCTACACTGTGTTCAGTATTTCCATGAGTGAGAGTGATGCTGCCTTTGTGCCACTTTCTTTACCTCGCCTGCACACGGTGCTATAATCCACACAGCAGCTCTTGTAGAAGTGGCAGAGATTGTCGCACTGGCACTTATGGGTATCGTTGAAGCCATCAGCACAGCGGCCGACACAGGAACCTGTGCCACAGGAGGCAAAAACAAGTGGAAATCTGCGTCATTACAGAAAGCAACATCCTCAGAGTTCCTGCCAGCCTCAATCACCTCACTCCTCTGTGTGTTAGCCTAGACTGTCAGCGGGGTATTTAATATCCCTAGAAGTTGGGCTGAAATGACCACACATGCACTATCCAGCAGGAGCAAGTGCTCAAGGGCACCAAAGTCAACCGTAACACCCACACTATCCTCCCCGCTGTAATCAGCAAATTCAGCCCAGACAGCCATGTTACCCTGGGACCTTTTGGATTCTGGGGATCAGCTCAACTGCGCACTAACCAGTGGTTAGCACATTGAGGCACTGCCTGAAACACAAGTAACGGCAAACCCGGGGCAAATATGAGCAGCCCCAGAGAGAGACGGGGAGCGAGAGAGAAGGAGAGTGCACGGGAGATTCGGGTTTGAGTTGCCTTCAACTCTCTCATAGGAGCAGGAGGAGGCCATTCAGTCCGTCAATCCTGTTCCACCAGTTAATCAGACCCTGGCACATCTTTTGAAACTATTTCCCTGCCTTTACCCCACGCTCCTTTATCCCCATGACGTCCCGGGAATCTAGCCGTCAGCCTTTTCAACACCGCGATGGTCCCTCAGTGAAGTGCTGTAGAGCCTGATGGATTGTAAGCCCGTTTCCCCCTTACCCTGGTCGGTGGACGCTGGGCAGACGAAGGAGCCGAGGAGAATGACCACCGCCAGCCACCTCATGTCCGCAGTCGATTCCTATGGGTTCTGGAATGTTCCTTCTGTGTTTACCCAGAGCTTGTTTGCCTGTTCTGCCTGTTCAAACAACTGTGTTGATTTTCAATAATGGTTAATCTGAGTTGGGAGCCGATGTACAATCTGTTTTTCTGCTGGGGAAATAAAAGCAAACATTTTACACAAGGTTGTTTCCCCGAAATAAGTAACAGTAATCGAGAACCAACTGCTGTATTATTTGTACGATAATCCTTGCATTTGATACAGCGCTTTTCAGGTTGGGAGAACATCTCAAAGTGCTTCACAGCATTATAGTAATATTATTATGATGTTAATAGTAATAACAATTATATAGCATCTTATTACCTCGTTGAGATGTCCGCAAGCTCTTTACAAGATATACAGTAAAGTGGATTGACTGTGTGTTTGGTGGGCAAAACCCAGGAGCCAGTTTGCATACAGTAATGCGCCACAAACAGTCATGAAGTGAGCGACCAATTTTATTTAGTGGATTTGGTGCAGAGGAGAGCAACGAGGACGATCCCCAGTGTTAGAGGAATGAGCTCTGAGCAATGTCTTTCACCTTGTCTCCCCCCCTCCCCCCCCCCCACCCACACACACGCCCACCAATCTCTCCTAAAGACTTGTGCTGGCGTTCAAATCGCCAGTTGTTGACAGCACTTCAACTAAGCGGCCGTTCTTCATACGAGAGCGTGGTTAGTGAGTGTGAGGGGCTGTTTGACCATGAACGAGGACCTTGGAGGCTGATCCTGTACTGACCTGGAGGCCACATAAATGCACCGCGCGCCAGGAGTCACAAGATGATGAGCAAGAACATGAACCTGATTCATCCTGCGTAGCTCACTAGTGGAATAGTGAAGCCGACTGCTACGTCACATCCAAAAGTGTGACCACACGGATATGTTTACCCGGATTATAAGCCTCAGCATTTCAATGCGACATTAATGCACGTTGTTTTGTGGATGAACCTGGTTAAAAAGGCAAAGTAGCACCAACCGATGCCTTGACAACCAGCGGATGTGTGTTTTACTGTGTTTTTCGCTCAGAATTTCCTAAACAACCTGACTGGCTCCATGATGCGCTGTTAGTTACAGGTATTGTTATGGGGGAGATAAAGGAAGTGGATTTACAAAACTTGTCAATGTGTGTGTGCGAGGGGGTGGGGTTGGGGGTGGGGGCTTTACAAAACAGGAGTAAACTAGCTAATAATAATAATCCCCGCATTTGATACAGCACCTTATCGTACCTTCGGGACGCTTCAAAGCGCTTCACGAAATAGACTGTAAAGTGTGGTGACTGCGTGTGTTTTTAATTATCTTGGAAAGTAACCCCGGCTTCAGGACAGCACAGTTCCTAACAGAGAGAGAGAGACACAGAACCACTCAGGTTGACTTTGTGTGTTTATTGGTTGCTGTGGAGGACTCGGGTACGTGTGTGAGCTGTGGTCGGCCGGAGGTCCTCCTCTCCAATAGGGTTCACAGTGTGTGTCTTGGCCACAGTTGATGCAGATATCAGGTCAGTCCGGGTCTCACTCCGACTCGCGGCACTTGAACCAGTATCTGGCGATGGACCGGGGGTACGGCGGGTCCACGAGCGCCACTTGCTTGGACTCCAGGTCCACGCGGTAATACTCGTCTGTAACGAGAAAAGGGTTAGTCAGGCCCCCTGCAGCTGAGAGACACACACAGACTGTCCGAGAGAATGAGAGACACACACAGACCGTCCGAGAGAATGAGAGACACACACAGACTGTCCGAGAGAATGAGAGACACACACAGACTGTCCGAGAGAATGAGAGACACACACAGACTGTCCGAGAGAATGAGAGACACACACAGACTGTCCGAGAGAATGAGAGACACACACAGACTGTCCGAGAGAATGAGAGACACACACAGACTGTCCGAGAGAATGAGAGACACACACAGACTGTCCGAGAGAATGAGAGACACACACAGACTGTCCGAGAGAATGAGAGACACACACAGACTGTCCGAGAGAATGAGAGACACACACAGACTGTTAAAGTAGTTGAAAGAGACACAGAGAGAGATACACACACAGACTGCTAGGAAGAGAAAGAAAGAGAGACACACACCCACACTTAGTGGCAGAGCCTGACTTCAGGAAAGACGCTGAAGCCTTGGCGGGGGTGCAGAGGAGGTTATGAGAATCAATCCAAGACTGAGGGGTTACAGTAGGAGGAGAGACTGGAGAAGTTGGGTCTGTTGTCATTGGACCAGAGAAGCAAAATGGGCAGAAGCTGCTTCCACTGGTCAGGCAATCAGTAACTGGAGGACACGAATATAAGATAATCACAAGGCGAGCAAAAGGAGAGTTTAGAGAAAATATGTTCACACACAGAGTTGCTGGGTTGTGGAACCTCCTGACAAGTGAGGTGGCAGAGACAGTGGCCAATGTAGAGTCAGAGAGAAGTAGACAGGTATATGAAAGTTAGAGACATGCAAGCGGATGAGATGGCAGGGCAGTGAGGATGGATGAACAGCTTCCTTTGGGAGACTCAATGCGTCGAATGGCCTCCTTCTGCGCTGTGAAGCTAAATGATTCTATGATTCTGTTTAAACGCCAGGACGACACCTTGAGCAAAGAAGTAGATACTCTGACTGGGAACCAATCCAGGACGCTTGTGAAAGTAAAATTCCATGCTGGAGGAATGATGCTTCTTTTTCTTCCCCTTTCTCTTCTTTGGTTTCTTCCTACCCCTCTGTCGATCGGGAACATCTTGTGAAATCATCAAGAGCTTTCCGGACATCGCGGCATCCACATTAGAGGGAAGTCCCAGCCAGTCCCGGGAGACAGAGCCTGGTCCAATGGCGCCATCTAGAACACAAAGTCATCACCGAGCCTCACAATAACACTCGTACATTTCATACAGCGACTTCCAGGACTCACTGTCAAGTGCAGTGACTGTGTAGTTTGGAGCCAATGCGGAAGCCAATTTGCACACAGCAATGTCCCACAAACAGCCGTGGAGTGATTGATGGATTAGATTTTTGGGGATTGTCGGACAGGACACCGGGAGAGAGAAACTCCCTTTGTTTTTCCAATAGCGCTGTGAGACCGTAACACCATAACTCCATAGCGCCGTTTCAGCACTTTGGGATGTCGTCCTGACGTGAAAGGTCCTCTATAAATGTCATTTTGTTGTTGGTCTTGTGGGATCTTTAACATCCGCCTGAACAGGCAGACGGGTTCTCAGTTGAACCTCTCATCCGAAGGACGGCACCTCCAACAACTCAGCGCTCCCCCAGCACTGCATCGCAGTGTCAGCTTGGACTACGTGGGTTCAAAGTCCTGACTTGGGCTTGAACCCACAATCTTCCGACTCAGAGGCGAGAGTGCTACTGACTGAGTCAGATTGATACCCTAATGACCAATTAATTTGGGGGATTGTTAGCGAGGACATCACAAAACTCCCTTCTCTTTTCTAATAGCGCAGATTGGCTGGGGAGGGAGGGGAGTGGAGGACAGAGGGTGGGGAGAGGGGAGTTGGGGGGAGAGGTACAAAGAGATTACTTGTACAAACATTACCACCAGATGCAGAGCTTTGAAATAGCAATTCATAAAGACTTTCCCACGGGTCCAACATTGTTATAGCATATCTCTGGAAGGGCACAGACTCCGATGTTTTCAGGCACTCTGACCGTTTGGGCTGATGTTTGAAAACGTACTGCCAGTACTGATTTCCTACAGAAAAAATATTTTGATGAAAATAACGTGAGCCTTAGGAGTGACGACTCTGTGGAGGGTTTATGTGCGTTGGGCAGTGCTGGAATTTGCTGGTTACCTTTGAAGAAGTAAGCTCGCTCGTTGCCATTAATGTTGGAGGCGGGCAATGCGAAGGAGGCATCCAAGTTTGATGGAATGCCGGGAAAACCTAACTTGATCTTGTTTGGGAATCCTGGATCCAGTTTGCCATCGTCAAAACGCCAGTAGCTATCACCCTGGGTAGAGCAGAAAGTAAAATATTTACTAATGGCAAATAAGACTATCTTTCTCTTTCCTCGTTCACACTCAACCACTCACACTCTCTGTGTCTCTCTCTCTCACCTATCCCACGATGGGCAATATGGAAAAGGTCTTACCTGCAAATGAAGGTGGGAAGGAACAACTAATACTTTATGTTTGTGGATGAGTCTTTCTCTCTGTCTTTCCCTTCCTCACTTCTTGCTCCTGCCCCCCTCACCATGTACATAAATGATTTGGACTCAGATATAGAAATTTACAAATTTTGGAATCACATCCCCAGGGATGTGGTGAGTGATGAAGACAATTGCAAAGAAGATACAGGAAGGCAAACAGGTTTGCAGAATGGGCAGGTAGATGGCAGATGCAGATGCAGTTTAATACAGAACAAAGCGAAGTGATTCCTGTGACGTGCTTTGAGATGTCTCGCACACCTGATAAGGCGCTATTCCAAATGTAAGGATTATTATTATGATTATATTGTAAAGGCTGGAGTGGTTTACAGCTTCAGATTATGACATTCCATGCTGGGAACGTCACCTTGGAGCCAGCTGGATGTCTTGTGGACACAATTCCTGGCTCAGGCGTGGAGAGAGGCCGCCTGGCTGAGGTGGTGCTCGGGAGCAAACCCCATCACCAGTCAGCACCGAGGAGCAAGAGAATAAAGGAAGCTGATCAGAATTTACCTTGAAGATGTACGTCTTGCCCTCACAGTTTATCCGTGTAAAGGCCGTATCAATGGGGCCTGGGATGCCCCAGACATCACTGGTGCGTTTAGGATATCCTTCGCGAAAGCTGTAACTGTCCAGTTCATAAAAGTATTCCCCTGAGAAGAGAGAGACAGGCAGTGTGGGGGTGAGTGCGGGGGTGAGTGTGTGGCGGAGACAATGTGAGGGTGACTGTGTGTGAATGCTGAAAGCTCTTACCTCTGAAAGCAAAGATGGATCCATTTTTTAGGTCAGTGAAGGCATCAAAGGATTCTTTGTCGGAACACAGATCATTGGGTTTCGGTCCTGGTTTCAGAGCCATTGCCAGTTCTGTTGCTGTCTCTGGTTCCAGAGTCATTGCCAGTTCTGTTGCTGTCTCTGGTTCTCGAATCATTGCCAGTTCTGTTGCTGTCTCTGGTTCCAGAGTCATTGCCAGTTCTGTTGCTGTCTCTGGTTCCGGAGTCATTGCCAGTTCTGTTGCTGTCTCTGGTTCCAGAGTCATTGCCAGTTCTGTTGCTGTCTCTGGTTCCAGAATCATTGTCAGTTCTGTTGCTGTCTCTGGTTCCAGAGCCATTGCCAGTTCTGTTGCTGTCTCTGGTTCCAGAATCATTGCCAGTTCTGTTGCTGTCTCTGGTTCCAGAGCCATTGCCAGTTCTGTTGCTGTCTCTGGTTCCAGAGCCATTGCCAGTTCTGTTGCTGTCTCTGGTTCCGGAGTCATTGCCAGTTCTGTTGCTGTCTCTAGTTCCAGAATCATTGTCAGTTCTGTTGCTGTCTCTGGTTCCAGAGCCATTGCCAGTTCTGTTGCTGTCTCTGGTTCCAGAATCATTGCCAGTTCTGTTGCTGTCTCTGGTTCCAGAGCCATTGCCAGTTCTGTTGCTGTCTCTGGTTCCAGAGCCATTGCCAGTTCTGTTGCTGTCTCTGGTTCTGTTGTATTTCTCAACGAGACAAATGGAAGACTGGAGCCTGTAACTCCCCCATTAATATCATCATCAAACTCATCGTCATCATCGTCATGTTCATCCTCAGGCACAGTAAAGACATCGCCGTGGGCTGGGGCAGCAATCATCAGGAGAGAAACACATGGTTAGGCTTCTCCTCACTTCCACTCTTTCTTTAAAAAAACATGAACCTGCATAACAAGAGTTCTCAGTCCTTCCTCACACAGTGCTCCAGGCAGTGACTGACACAGAGCTACACCAAATAATAATAATAATCCTTGCATTTGATATAGCGCCTTGTCACGTCTTCGAGACGTCTCAAAGCGCTTCACAGAATATGCTGTATGCAGAATTGACTGTATATTTGTGGGCGAAACATGGAAGCCAATTGCGCACAGCAGCGTCCACAAACAGATGTGGATTGAAAATGACCGATCTATTATTGTTTTTTTTTGGAGGGATTATTATCAGGTGTGCAGAGTAAGGAAACTTGCCCAAGGTTTCGCCCTGCCTGGAATTGAACCCAGTTGTCTTGCTTGCAAGGCGAGTGCTCTAACCACTGAGCTACAGGACTCCACCAACCACCAAACGGTACTCTGGGGATCTCCTCTCAGTTCAAAGGGCCAAGCCATACCTCCAACATAGCAGCTGGAGCTTTGAGAGTAAAGACGCCCTCTACACTGTCCGTCCACACTCCCAGGTCAGGGTTAGAGACACTCTAAAGCTCCCTCTGCAGTGTTCAGTATTTCCATGAGTGAGAGTGATGCTGCCTTTGTGCCACTTTCTTTACCTCGCCTGCACACGGTGCTATAATCCACACAGCAGCTCTTGTAGAAGTGGCAGAGATTGTCGCACTGGCACTTATGGGTCTCGTTGAAGCCATCAGCACAGCGGCCGACACAGGAACCTGTGCCACAGGAGGCAAAAACAAGTGGAAATCTGCGTCATTACAGAAAGCAACATCCTCAGAGTCCTTCCATTCCTGCCAGCCTCAATCACCTCACCTGTGTGTTAGCCCAGACTGTCAGCGGGGTATTTAATATCCCTAGAAGTTGGGCTGAAATGGCAACACATGCTCCAGCAGGAGCAAGAGCCTGAGGTCAACTGGAATACCCATACTATCGCCAGGCCACCTCCGGCGAATTGGCCAACTCAACCCAGACAGCCATGTTATTCTGGGACTTTTTGGATTCCGTACAGCTCAACTGCACACTAGCCAGTGGTTAACACACTGAGGCACTGCCTGAAGTATGGCAAACCGAGGGAGACAGCCAGAGAGATGTAGAGAGAGAGGAGAGTGCAGGGAGATTGGAGTATGAGTTGTCTTCAACTCACCTCTCTCTCATAAGAACAGGAGGAGTGGCCTTTTCCCCACGCTCCTTTATCCCCATGATTGCCAGGAATCTAGCCGTCTCCCTTTTAAACTCTCTGGTCCCTCAGTGAAGTGCTGTAGAGCCTGATGGCTTGTAAGCCCGTTTCCCCTTACCCTGGTCGGTGGACGCTGGACAGACGAAGGAGCCGAGGAGAATGACCACCGCCAGCCACCTCATGTCCGCAGTGGATTCTTCTAGGTTCTGGAATGTTCCTTCTGTATTTACCCAGAGCTTGTTTGTCGCTTCTGCCTGTTCAAACAACTGTGATGAATTTCAATAATGGTTAATCTGAATTGGGAGCCGATGTACAACCTGTTTTTCAGTTGGGAAAAAAACAACCACTTTACGTAAAGTTTTTTTTCCAGGAAATAAGTTAAGAGGTTGAGAACGAACTGCTGTATTTGTATGAGACAGTTTGCGTACGACTGTTTGTGGGGACGCTGCTGTGCGCAATTGGCTGCCGCGTTTCGCCCGCAAATATACAGTCAATTCACTTTACACTCTATTTTGTGAAGCGCTTCGAGACGGCGAGAAGGTGTGAAAAGCGCTATATCAAATGCAAGGCTTATTATTATTATTATTATTATTATTATTATATTCACATCGTCTGAAGTTGATCAGAAATCCCGCCCAACTCCTTATTGTCCAACTTGAGACTATCTTCCCGGGTGGGTGGGGGGGGGGGGGGGGCAAAATATAAAGGGGTTTCTTTGGAGCTGAACTGAGTGCAAGGTGCATGTTTGGCAATGGAATTTCAAGATAGAATCGAGTCCACCCCCTGCATATATTGTATATGGGTGTGTGCGGGGGGGGTGGGGGGGATTGTAGCTGGGGGGGGCATTGCTGTGGGACATCTCTCTTGGGTGGGCTTTCTGGGGGATATCTCTCAGGGGGGGGATGTCTCTGGGGGGGGCGGGGTACGTCTCTCGGGTTGTGGGTACGTCTCTCGGGTTGGGGGGGGATGTCTCGGGGGGGGGGCGGGGAATGTCTCTCGGGTTGTGGGGACGTCTCTCGGGTTGGGGGGGATGTCTCGGGGGGGGCGGGGAATGTCTCTCGGGTGGGGGGGGATGTCTCTGTGGGGGGGTGGGGTACGTCTCTCGGGTTGTGGGGACGTCTCTCGGGTGGGGGGGATGTCTCTGGGGGGGGCGGGGAATGTCTCTTGGGTGGGGGGGCTTTCTGGAGAGTCTCTTGGGGAGGGTTTTTTTTTGGGTGGGGTTTTTTTTGTGGAGGAGGTGGGGTTTTTCTTGTTGGGGGTGGGGGGGGATGGGGAGGGCTATCTGTCATCATTGGCTTAGAGTCCTCCCAACACGGAGACCTCCAGTATCCCAGGGTGCTGCGGGGGGCGGGGTGTCATGACTGGCTTCGAGTCCTCCAACACGGAGACCTCCAGTATCCCAGGGTGCTTGCCGCGGGGGGGAGGGAGGGGGTAGCAGTTGATGCTGGCAGCGGCTCAGCCTGTGACAGGGAACTCAGACGACACCGCGGCCTGTGAGGGGATGGGTGGGGGGGAGAGAGAGAGCCGGATAATGTGAGAGGAGAAGCGGGAGCCGGCGGCGATGGGCAGTGAGCCGAGCACAGGCCGGGGTGGAGCGGGGCCCGAGCAGCCCGGGAGGACACGGCAGGTGATCCTCTCTCTTCCCCCCCCCTCCCTCCCCACACACACCCCCACACACCCCCAGACACACACACCCACACCCACACAACCCCCCCACACACACACCCACACACACAAACCCACACACACACACCCCCCCACACACACCCAGACACACACACCCCCACCACACACCCCCCCACCACACACTCACACACACACCCCCCCACACACCCCCCACACACACAACCCCCTCCACACCCCCCCCCACACACCCACACCCACCCACACCCCCCACACCCCCCCACACACACTGCCCCCCCACACACACATACCCCCCACACACACACACACCCACACCCACACACACACCCACACACACACGCAACCAGGCCCGAGGCCTTAACCCTGTGAGAGCAGTGCTGGGGGTGACGGTTGGTGACCCCTTGAACCTCGTGCAGAGCGCTCGCGCGTGCGTGTGCGCGTATATATATATATATAATATATATATAATTATAATAATAATAATCGTAGTTGTCTTTGACGTAGCGCCTTATCGCGCCCCCGAGGCGCCCCCAGCAAAGCGCTTTTCGCGGGACCTGCGTGGGTTGGTGCAGCCCCCCCCCTCCTCGCGCAGGGTCGGGCGGGCCCCGGCCCCCCGGGCAAAGGTTAGCCGCGCGGTGCAGCGGCCGCAGCGGCGTCCCCACAAGCAGTCGTGGGTTGAGCGGTCCCCTGGGTTACTGTCGCTTATTTTTTGAAAAGAAAACGCCGGGGGTGGGGGGGGGGTTCGTTACCGCCCCGAAAAGAGATCCGACCGCCCTTTCGTTTCGCTGAAAATAGGCAACAGGTGAAAGAGGGTTGGGAGAAAATTATGTATTTGTCGTTTGTATTATCTGTGACGTTGATTCTAATGTGTTGCGTGAGCGTTGTAAACAGTGCGCGGCATTGGTGGTGTTCTCCTGCTGATTTAACAGAGAGGTCATCTGACCAAGAAAGAAGCCGCGGCCTCCAAGTGGAAAAGCGTCTTGTCCAGCGTGGGTCTCTCCGTCTCCGGCTGGTACACCCTCGGACCCTTTCAAGCAGCCCGCAAGCCCTTTCCGGACCCCTTGCAGATCTGTGAGAAAAGAGCGCAGACCGTTGATGCTGCGTGCCCTCCAGAATGGCCTTTCCCCCGCTTCGTCTCGCTCTTCTTCCCGGAGTTCCCCTTCCGATCGCAGCCTTTGGAGCAACAGTTTGAGGTAGTGAGCCCTGATGGGTTTATTATTCTACCCGCCACTAAGTTCTATGGTATCTTTTCCTGCTGGTATTTAAATGAGTTTAAGAGGAGAGACAGTAAGACAACGTCTTTTCTTTATAAATCGTATGATCATCCAAAACGCACACGTTTTAAAAATGCGCCCGAGTTCCATTCAGTTTCCTGTCAAAACCACTTAGATTTCTTTGCCCTAGTTGTATTTTATAAGCAAATCATCTCCTAACTCAAAATACCACTCCCCTATCCCCTATTATCCCCTTGATGCATACACTTTTATCAGCTACAGTGACTGATGTGAATATAGGTGTAGTGTAGAAAACAACTTTGGTGTAAACCTATTTATAGTTATAGATAATAATAATAATAATTTATAAAATGTAATTCTATGATCTAATGAGTTATTTAATTATAGGGTTTTCCTATTTTTTATGTAAATATATAATATATATTTATATTTACTTTATAGTTTTTATAGTAGCCTATTATATTATCAGTTATGGGGTGTAACCTGTCATACTGTGACTCAGTCTGTAGTAATGAAATCGGAGGTTGTATAAACAAAACGCGTGTGATCCAAATCTAACAACAACAAATTATACTTGTACAGCGCCTTTCATGTCGGGAAGACGTTCCAAGGTGCTGGACAGTCAGGGACCCAAATTCCTGGGATGAAAGATACAGAGGAGGTGTGCTCATGCATCTTCAATGGTAACTCTGATTTCTCACTGCTTTAGGTTCTGGCATTCATCGCAAAAGGTTCGTCTGGATCGATTTTGAAAGTGTCTCAAGGGACTGAGAAGAAGATATACGCTGTAAAAGTAAGTGCAATTTAGTTTGAAAGGTTGGAGGTGAAAAGACGTTAGTAGCTCAGATGGGTTTACAATTAACTTTACATTGTGACCAATTGACATTTGGAAAATAGGCCCACAGTATTGTTAATTTATACTTGTACCTAAAGTGCTGGAGAACTTGAGTTTGCCCTAGGGAGGGAGTTTTAGTCTTCGTCAGATATTGAGATTCCTTTGTCTAAATCAAACATTGTGACCAACGTGACTACTGTTTTGCTCAGGCTGGCTTAGGTGTGTGAGGGAATAGTCTTATGGCTTTGTAACTCTACTCTTAGGCTTCGCAGCACTGTGCTGATTCGATTTGTGTGCCTTTTCTCTAGGTGTTGCTGAAAACAGAGGTTCTGCAGCAAGACGTCCTTCAGCAATGCAAGGATGAAGTTATTATCCAGGTAACTAACCAGCAGCTTGCTGTACGGGACACTAATACCTCTCTCTGATCGCTTGTCTGTTGGTCTGAGAGTTGAGTCTGCCATAGGTAATGGAGCACCAGCAGCACAATCCCAGCACTGCCAGGATGAGATTATTGCAAGCTCGTTTTCACATTGAATTCTTCTCTTGAAGTGTTTATGAAGTTGGTCTGGGTTCATCTTTACTTTACAATTTCAGGAAGAGAAAGTAAAACACATGCAGGAATTATTATCAATATCTGCGTTTTTTTTCTCTCTCCCCCCACCTCCTTCTCCCCCACCCATCTCTCCTAAAGACTTGTCAACCACGGTTCCCTTCATCCATCAAGCTATTGGGAAAGTTTCCATCAACGTATAACCTGACCCAGTTCTTTTTCCTTCTCTGGGTTTCATTGCTAGTAACTATCACATTCTTTCCATCAGTTGGGAAGGCAGGATCAATAGATACTCGCTCTGCGTCCGGTTGTGAAGACTCTTAGTCTGATCCTCACTGACTGCTCAGTAGATGCTGTTGTTTTTGTTGGTTTGATTCCCTCGTGCTCCAGTCTCCTCCTCTCTCCCATCGGTGAGTTGGGAGCAGTTTCCGGAAATGCTTTTCTTCTCATTCTCCTTCCCAGAAACAGGTTCGGCATCCGTTTGTGCTGAGTTTACTGGAGTGTTGGCAGACATCACGGCAGCTCTTTATTAGTGAGTTGACTGACAGATGTATTGGCGTTTTGGTGCAATTGCTTTGTGTTAGCTGCTACCCTCTAGAGTAGCCTCCTTCCACAGAGCTCTTGTGATATACTAGTTTACACAAATAGTCTTCAAAAGATGCCAACCAACCCAATAATAGAGCTACCATTGTGGATAATGTGAAAATTTACCTCCAGGGCTCCTGGGGAATAAGGTAGTGGGGTGAGTGAGCTAGGATGGGTGGAGCACATATTGAGGTGTTTGGACATTACTGTCGGGACCTAAATTCTATGCAGTATGGCTCCTAAGTTTTTCAGGAGCGAGAGAAGGGTCTTTGATTTCTTTGACCTGTAATAATCCCAATAGATATAGCTTTTACTGGCTCCGCTTGTGTTTACTTCATGGGAAAATGGAATAGAGGCACCAAAGTGTGGTGATGTGCAAAGGGGTGAACATGTCAAGGGAGCGCTTTCTCTCATCAATTGTTTAACCGCAGTGACCTGCCCTCTATGCAATGTTTATAGAGCATTGTAACAGGGTGTTGGGGAAAAAACAACCTGTAAGGATCTGCGGACTGCTGGGCTTGTTTCAGTCCCAATTGGTTCGAGCTGAAATTTACAGGAAGAGTAAAGAATTCTTTGACTATCGGGCTGAAACCAAATGACTGATCTGTTTTGAGGAGGGGGTCTTTCAGCTTATCCACACTGGTGAGTTGGCTGGCATTGTTTGTGTGGTAGAAGCGAATGGAGAAGGCCATCCTTCACTTTGCACTGGGCACTGGATCTGCCTTCTGTAAAGTAGGAGCCCGTACTCTGAAAGATGTGCTGAGATTGTACTTCGCTCGGACTGGTGAGAAACTTGTTCAAGATAAAAAGCAGAATAGATACCGCAATCATTTACTCATCTGGGGGTGTGGGATGTATAAGATCAATTTCCCGTTCCCCCCTTCAGACTGTAAACCAACTAATTTCCCCCACTCACACACACAAGAGTAAACCAGGCATGTGTTCTTTTATTCTATTTCCTATCGCTGTTGCCCACATCATGCCAGGTTGGTCTTGGTGTGTTATGGAGGGGCTGGGCTCAGTGCGCTCCCTTGCTCAGTGTTTCCTGTTTAACCTGTCACCACGAGATACGCATGCGCAACCTCACTGCCCTAAAATAAAAACAGTGGCTGGAAACACTCAGCAAGTCAGGCAGCATCTATAGAGAGACGAAAGTGAGTTAACGTTTCATGTCGATAACCATTCGTAGGAACTATCTGTAAGGAAATGCTTGACACCCCTCAGTGATTCCCAATGTAATGTAGCTCAGATAGGCAATGGGAGGGGCGGGCGGGTGGGTGGAGGGAGGATAAATTTCACTGGAAACATTTTTTTCCTCCTGGAAACTGCATAAAGATATGCGATTTCAAATGCAGGACCAGTTTTGCTTCATTGAGAATACTCTAAACTGGCTTGATTTTGCTTGTCGTGGAGCACGCCAGCTGTTTTAGAATATTTGTTGCACATCTGTATGCGTTTGTGTGTCGCACTGTTTATCGAGCCTTTGGGCGTAGCTGACGCAGACGCAGGGTGAGACTGGGGCTGCTCCAACTCCCTTGCATCATTTCTGTACACCTCAGTTTCTTTTAGCAGACGTCATGTTAACAGCAGTGTGATGGGAAGTGTGGAATTGAACCAATCTGTCCCACAAACAGCCATGAAGTGAATGTGACCAAAAAAAAATTTGTCGGGTGGATGGATTGTTGGCCAGGACACCGGGGGAAAGCCCCCCCCTCTCTTTAACATCCACCTGAACAGGCATGTAGCATTCTTCCCGTTGTTTTTTGTCGGTGAAATTGATTTGAATGCGCATCATCTGAATTGGTGCTGTGGCACGATTGCAGGTAGGACTTTAATTTGCGCTCTTATTTCTCCACACTGGTTTACAATGAGCGAAAAGCATCTCACTGAGTTTCTGTCGCTGCACTGCCTGGGAGTGAAGCGCTCATTCACACTGCCCTCCAGTGTCAAAAGGTTTCATGCAAAGCCCCTCCCTGCCACGGGACGAGTTTGGCTGTGTGTTCCCTACCGCTGAGCGCCTTGTGTTTTGTTCTGGTTCTGTAGTGTGCGACTACTGCTCCACTGGTGACCTCTTCATGCTTTGGTCCACCCACGGGCCGTTCGCCGAGGGGAAGCTCCGAGTGTTTGCAGCCGAGCTGGGCTCTGCGTTGGGTGAGTCGTTGTTCTGCAGCTTTTATTTTGTGTGTATAAATATATCTAAATTATGTAAATATGTCTTTTTATTTTATAAACAAACATGCAAACAAACAAATGGATACAATAATTATTCTTGCATTTGATATGCAACAGCAACTTGCATTTATACAGCGTCCTCTGGTAGCATCCAGGGTGCTTGAGAGTGGTGGAGTCCGCCACCAAGCCAGAGAGGGAGGGGGGAGGTATCAGACTCCAGCAGCCAATTTGCGCACAGCAGTCTCGGGACCCCCACGAAAGGGAGGAGGCTCTGGGGGCTGCCCTTTATTTTTACCTGGAAACACATTGCAATCTCAATCCTAGGGAGATACTGGTAGTTGTTATCCTTGGTTTTCCACTCTATTTCAGGGTTTCTCCATGACTTCGGAGTCATTCATCGCGACGTGAAGGTAAGAGACGTTTGCATTCAATCCTTCGGCCGATTTCCTGTGTCCGAATACGAGCGGCTTGATGAAGTATTGTGGGCGATGCAGCCCTCCCCCAGTACTGGTGTCAGCCAAGACTCTGAATTCATGACCTTCGGATTCAGAGGCAGCTGAGCCAGGCTGACACACTTACAAGTTATGTTTGGCTCACCAGCCATGACTGAGAACTGGCTGAGTGCTGCACCTCTCAGGTGATCACTCGCTGAGAACTGGAGATTTTGTTCACTCAAAACATTGTGACACTCAGACTTGTCCGCACACAGCCACGGGGGGAGGGGGGTGGGTGCGGGAAAAGGCCTTGGTCCATTCTGCAGGGAGGGTAAGAGAAAAGACCCAGGCTCTTTTTGGGAGAGGGAGAGGAGAGCCTGTGGCCTGTTTCCACCAAATTCCGTGTCATCTCAATGAACTCTGATCTCTAACCTTTCACTCTTTCAGATGGAGAATATTCTTATCAACGACAAAGGTAAGCTTGAATCCATCCAAAAATCTGACGTAAAAGGTATTTATTCCCCAAAGAATTAGCCATTATTGGATTTTAAATCAAATGTGTTCCTGGGAGGAGAACTTTGTGAGCGCAAATGGTTCCCAATAAATTCAATTCCACTAATTGAATCGCTGGCCTGAGTGTAGCCTTCCTTTTGGAGACCTGCTTTAGTCATGTCCTCAATCATTCCCTCCAGACAGGTTGAATTAGAGCGAGGCCGGTAACTCAACTGTGAACTCTTGAGGTAATGCTTATTTCCTGCAGATCTCATTGTGTGTATATTATATGCTGTCAACAGCACTGTACATGGCTGTCACTCTGGCTGAGTAATTCACAATGTATAACTTACTCTCAGCATTGTGCTGAGTTGAGGCACAAGGCCTCTGTTTTCGTTGTAGTAGGTGGTGCTGGTAGTGATGAGAGTCTCTGTATCTCAGGCCACCTGAAGTTGACTGACTTCGGTCTGTCACACAGACTACGCCGGGGAGAGCGAGCATACACCATCTGTGGGACAATGCAGTACATGGGTAAGCTGGGGGCTGGCAGAGGGAGTATGTGGGAGTCGGGGTTGGAGGGTGGGTGGGGGGGTGGAAACGAGTGAGAGTGACCTATTGGAAACAAAGTGGCCGAGGGCAAGCGATGCCAACCAGGTCGTGGAATCAAATCAACTGAATCGATCGGGGAAACCTGAGCAAGATGGTCAACGCAGGAATGAAATGGATCTTAAAATTGGAAGATCATCAATTCAGTATATTGGTGAATGCGGGGACTACTTTGTGAAGGGTGTATAACGATGGGGGTGATGGGAAGGGGGCTGTGGTGGGGGTTCCATTGTGTGATGGTCAGAGCTGCTGCTTGCTCTACGCTGGACCCTCTGAACTGATGTTTGTTGTTGCTGCTGTTCGGTAGCCCCTGAAGTGCTGAGTGGAGGGCCCTACAATCACTCCTCAGACTGGTGGTCGCTGGGAATACTGCTGCACGTGTTGGCAACCAACCGGGTAAGGACAGCACTGTCACACACCTCACTTTCTTTGCTCTGACACATTTTAAATTGAATGTCTTTTTTTGAGGTCAGTGGCTGAGCAGGTTTGTGCAATGTGATAACGCTCCCTCCTTGCCTGTAGTCTTCACGGTCGAGCCGTTGAATTCAGTTGGCGTGATTATAAATAGAGTGAATGTTGGCGTGATTTATCCCTTCTCTCGGGACGAACTTGATGTTTATGGATTGTTTGGAATTGCTCACTCCTTCAGCTCATGCAGTTTTTTTTTCTTCCTCCATCTCTGGCTAGTTTCCTGTGGAGCCTGAAACCGACCATTCCGCAATGCTGGTCAGCGTACAGATGGCCGACTTAACACCTCCAGCGACTGTCAGCCACAGCCTTGCCCTCCTACTTGCAGAGGTAGGATAATCCTATAGTTAGTATGACAGAAATGAGCAGCAAAGAAGGTCATTCGACCTATCATGTTTGTGCTGCGCAGGGAGTTAAGAGTTGCTCAGCACAAACATGATAGTGTAATATTGACATACAATTCACGCTGTTGTGTTATATTATTAATGTGCGATATTGATATACAGTGTGATATTCATACTGCATTGTGAGCCACACAGAACAGCAAGGTTGCTACTGGTCTCTGGTATTAGAGATTCTTTGATGACAATGGAGTATGAGTGCTCATTAACCTGGGCTTTGGAGGGGGAACGTGGGCCTGGATTTTCTGCTCCCGGTGACTTTCCAGAGCCCGCTGCAGTAAGTGGCTTTAGAGTAGGACCCGCTCCATACTTGCCAACACTCACAAATTAAAACGGTCACTGAAGTGAGGTTCTGGAAGACACCTGGTGCCCATAGAACTGTACAGCAAAACATAGTCGTAGTCCAGCACAGAGCACCACTTTCAAGAGACAGAGAAGTACAACAGAGAATATACTGACCTGGTTTATTGGAAGCAGTTGTCTGCATTGTTTAATGTTTACCTTATTACGTGCCCTGATCTGCACACGTGCTTCACCGCATTTGTGATCGTGTTTCAGCTCCTGTGCAAGAACCCCCTGCGTCGTCTGCGACTCCTCGACCACTTCGCACACCAGCACTTCTTCCAGGGCTTGTCCTTCGATCCAGACTTACTGCAGAAACTTCCCATGGACTCCCCGCTCTCCGCCGAGAAACTCACAGCCCTTCCCGATCCCTTCCGAGATTTTGACGGCGACTTCTTAGGGGAGGAGAGACTGACGCTGCCTTTGGCAGGGTGATCAGAGAGCCTGAGGGCTCGCACGTGTCATTACACCAGGGCCAATTGGGAGCTTTGGGTTTTAGCTCTGAAATGTCCAGAGCTCCGGGAGCCACACTTCTCGCTACTATCTCTGGAAATGTTTTTGTCTTAGACGCACAGGCTGTAGAACAAGAGGACAGGACAGCGAGCCGGTAGACCGTAGATCAGTACAGGTTGTGTAAATTAACTGTTTGGGAGTAAAATAACACGTCAGTCGAGCCTGGAATCATTCCAGAATGTGTAAAATGTGTAACTAAACATGTCTGAATAAAACAACTAAGAAGGCTGGATTTACGGTGGTGTGATGTTCTTAATACAAGAAGGCGGAACTTGTGACTGAAAGATCCCAATTCAAGTCATAGAATTTCATGTATTTTCTGGCCTGACAGCGATGGTTCAAGCTGGTTCTGTGGGCACCGGGGGAAGTGGGGGGGGGGGGGGGGGTTGCTTTCTAATGACCACCATTGACCCAACTGAAATAAAGCAGCTACCAGGACCTCGAATAATCACTCGCTAATTACCGTGGATGTTTTGCTCCAATTATTTGACAAAACTTGGAGTTACCAACCAGTCTTAATATCCTTGCATTTGATACAGTATCATCGAGTCATCGAAACACCTCAAAGTGCTTTGTGGGACTTGCTGTATAGTGCAGTGACTGTATTTGTAAACCAATGCAGTAACCAATTTTGTTCACAAACAGCCGTAATGTAGAGAACTAATTTTATCCGGGGGATTTGTTTGCCAGGACACCAGGAGAAAGAAACTCCCTTTTTGAATAGTGCCATAGGATGTTTAACATTCACCTGAACGGACAGATGGGCCCTCAGTTTAATGTCTCTTTCAAGAGTGTGTCTCTTCCAGCACTGCACTAGGACATCAGCCCGGGCCGTGAGCTCGGAAGTCTCAATGTGGGGGTGGAACTAATACAATAATAATAATAATCCTTGCATTTGATATAGCGCTTTTCACGTCGGGAGGACGTCCCAAAGCGCTTCACAGAACACACTGTCAAGTGAATTGACTGTAAACTTGTGGGCGGACGCGGGAGCGTTCGTTAACCTTTTGACTCAGTGGCCAGAGTTCTGCCAACCGGGTCCTGAGGGACAGTGTTCCCGGCATTCGGGAAAATTCCATTCAGACTGCGATATTAGTGTTTGCCCGGACTGGGGTGGGGGTGGGAGTAGGGGGGCAGGAGGTGTGGGGGGCATGAGGGGGGGGGGGTTGGTTGCAGGTTTAAATTTAAAAGATATAGAAATTAAGCACCAACCCCCCCCCCCCCCCACCCACCACCCCACGCCCAGCGCAACACCGACCCGCCCAAATTGGGCGTGAAACCCGCCCAAGTGGGGGCGGGGGTGGGGGGGGTGGAGTCTGGGCGCGGCAGTCACTCCGGGGCGAGTTGTGGTCGGCCCCGCCTTTGCTCCACGTCGCTGCTGCCGCTGTTGCGGCGGTGTCGGCGGTGATGGTTAAACGCCGGGAGTGGGTTCGGTCGGCCCGCGCGGGGACGGACGGACGGAGGCCTGACAGCTCCTCCAGGGCCGCCCGGTGTCAGGTGAGGGGAGAGGCCGCGGACGGCGAGGCCCGAGGCCCGAGGCCCTCCCCCCCACTATGGTGCTGATGCTGGCCGTCCTGTGCCTGCTCCTCCTGGCCCTCAGCGTCTTGTTTCTCGGCCGGTGAGTGTGTGAGTGAGGGAGGGGAGGGGAGTGGAGGGGAAGAGGGAGGGAGTGGGGGGGGTGAGGGAGGGAGTGTGTGAGGGAGGGAGGGAGTGTGTGAGGGAGGGAGTGAGTGGGGGGGAGTGTGAGGGAGTGTGTGAGGGAGGGAGGGAGTGGGGGGGGTGAGGGAGGGAGGGAGTGTGTGAGTGAGGGAGGGAGTGTGTGAGGGAGGGAGGGAGTGTGTGAGGGAGGGAGGGAGGGAGTGTGTGAGGGAGGGAGGGAGGAGAGTGTGTGAGGGAGGGAGGGAGGGAGTGGGGGGGGAGTGTGTGAGGGAGGGAGGGAGTGGGGGGGGGAGTGTGTGAGTGAATGAGGGGAGGGAGTGTGTGAGTGGGGGGGAGTGTGTGAGTGAATGAGGGGGGGAGTGTGAGTGAGGGAGGGGGGGGAGTGTGTGAGTGAGGAGGGAGTGTGTGAGTGAGAGGGGAGGGAGGGAGGGAGTGGGGGGGGAGTGTGTGAGTGAGGGAGGGAGTGTGTGAGTGAAGGAGGGAGGGAGTGAAGGAGGGAGGGAGGCGCGGGCTATAACACTGCACTAACTTTAGTTATGAGTTGCTTCCATCACCTCCTCCCCCTCCCCCCCCTCCCCCCCCCCCGTCAGGCAGATGGTAACAACAATAACAATAATAACAACAATAATAACAACAATAATAATAACAATAATATTAACAACAATAATAATAATAATAACAATCCTGGCGTTTGACCCCCAGCGCCTCATCACGTCTTCGAGACGTCTCAAAGCGCTTCACGGGAATATACACACCGTAGAGCGTAGTGACCGCGTGCGCGTTGTGGGCGAAACGCGGCGGACGATCGATGATCATTGTTGTTATTATTTTGATGTGAGAACCGGGTGTGACGGAGCCCTAATTCTCAACCCCCCCCCGTCCCGTTCCCCCCCCCGTCCCGTCCCCCCCCCGTCCCGTCCCGTCCCCCCCCGTCCTGTCCCGTCCCCCATGCGTTTTAATGAACAACATTCCAAAAGTGGAGCAGTGAACACCCACTGTGCGTCGTCGGGAGTTGTTAAACTCGTTCTGAAAAGGATTCTCTGCGTTTCTCTCTTCTCACTTACTCTCCTTCTCTTCCCTCCTCCCTTCTCTCTCTCTCTCTCTCTCTCTGCAGGTGGCTGTTATCAAAGCTCGCCACACATATTGCCCACAACAGGCTGAAGGTGGAGTTAAAAATCGGTTCCATCGGCTTCTTCTCCCTGCACAATGTCATCATCAAATTCCAGGGACACCAGACCTTGGTAAGTTCCTTCCAGGGGCGGGGGATAGAGGTGGCGCCCGTTTTGCGGGAGTGGGCAGGGTGGTGAGGGGGGAAGAGGCTTGTCCTGTCTTGATTGTGGGGCAGTGTCATCGTACAGTAAAGGAGGGAATGTGGGACGGAGTTGAGTTTGGGGGGTTCAGCCAGCGTTTTGGGGTGAAAGTTACTGTGGGGGGGGGGGGGTTGCGACGGTGAGTGAGCGCATGAGCGAATGACCCGCACCATTTGTTACTTGCAGGAAGTGGACAAGATCTGGATTTCCTGCCGGCTGATCAACTACACGTTACCGTAAGTATTCATCAGCTGTGCGCTGGGATGTGGACTAGCGAGGTGTGGGGAGCGGGGGCTGAGGGGTGGGGAGTGGGGGTTGGGGTTAGTGCAGGCATTTTGCCGGGGGAAGGGGCGGTGAACATGGGCGGGCTATATCCAACCCTCTCGCTTTCCTCCGCAGTCTCTACTTCGCTCTGTGTGTTGGAGAAATCCGTCTACGAGCTGACCTACAGGCATGTCAGGAAGGTCCACCTCCCAGAACCAGCTCCGCGGAGAGGAAACAGGTGTCCATCAACCCCTCAGTTCTGCGCATCCTGGCCCAGGTGACTTGTTACTCATCTCGCTCAATCCATTCCACGGTTAGGAAGTTGTGAGAAACTTTGATTCGATCAGCGGTGGTTATAACCTCAGAAATATTAACTGTGTGATGGAGAGAAGGCACCTTTTGATTGAAATGAATCCATCTCAGGGTTGGGTCTCAGTGGAGACTAACGGTGGGTGGGTGAGTGAAAATCTCACTGTTTATTTGAACACTGAACAATACTCAGCCTCAATTAAAGTAAAAACCGAAGTCGCCGGGAACACTCAGCAGCTCAGGCAGCATCTATGGAGAGAGGAACGAAAGCGAGTTAATGTTTCAGGTCGATGACCTTTCGTCAGAACTTGCACCTCAACTTGCAGTTATATAACTTGCACTTGTTATACAGTTCTTTTCACATTATCGGGCTCTCGCAGAGAGTTTCACAGGATTTACTGTGAAGTGTAGCGACCGCATATATATATATATATACATTTTTAGCACCGTTCGACCAAATGAAAAGCAGATGTCATTGAGTATCCGGGTTGATGAGTAGTGGCTGAAATTGCCTGTAATGGTGGAAACCGATTCAATAACAACTTTCCAAAGGGAATTGTATAGGTAGTTGAAAATAAAATTTGCAGGGGTATGAGGAAAGAGTGGGGGAGTCGGACTAATTGGGTAGCTCTTCCAAAGAGCCAGCACAGACACGATGGGCCGAATGCCCTCTTTCTGTGCTGTAATATTCTGTGATTCTAATCACTGACTGATCGATGCTGAATGGTGTAAACAAGAACACAACTCTACCTCTCTCTCTCTCTCTCCCTCTACAGTTCTGCTCATTACACATTGGTTCCGTGAATGTGATGGTATTAAACGCTGTAGTCCCAGAGTCTCTCTGGCATCTGTCTATCACAACCACCAAATTTCTCCTGAACACACGAGGGAACAGGTGAGTTACTCCACACAGCGCACCGACTTGCTGAGACCCTGCAGTACTGGCAGGGGGCCAGTGCTGGGGGAAGCCTTTGATCGCTAAGGTAGGTTTGGCTGGAACCTTTGCTGATTGCTAAACAGACCGCTTTCTTCCTCCTTCTCCTGAGCCCGGTTCAGTTGTTGTGTTGGTTTGGGCGATAAGGAGCTCGCGCTCTGCTGGAGAGTGTCGGTTCACACTGGGCTGCTTTGTTGTTTCAGAGTGATTTGCCAGGCCGTTATCAGCCGGATGAGCAGTAAAATACTGAAGAGTAGCCAGCTGGTGAGTGAATGCTGGTCAACTAAGGTACAGAGGGAGGCCATTCCATTCTCTCTCTTTCTCTGTAAGAGCCGGTTACAGGCAAGATGGGCTGAACGGCCTCTCTCTGTACTGCGCTGTACATTTCCACAATTCTTTGGGAACTCAGTCCCTTTCTCCTGCCTTCCCTCGCTTCCCTTCCCTTACAATTCTCCCCCTCATCGTGTCCTTCCGATATCCTCGCCAAACGTCAGCCGCACGTTTTCTTTGTTTACTCTCTCTCCCAGGACTCCTGCCTCGCCGAAGTGTCTCTGAACCTCGATGTACGTCTGGATTTATTGTTGCCAGAGCTGAAGCCCGTCAACGTGCAGCTCAACCTGCAGACCCTGCAGTCGGAGTTAAACGAAGGGTTTTTCCATTGGAACCTGCAGAGAGCAGCGGAGACTAAGCCAGAGCCCAGCGATGGGCACCTTCTGCAGGAGCCACCTGCTACCGTTGCTGCTTCTCCCCCAGCACCGAGCTCCTCACCGGGGAGTGGAGACCCCAGAGAGGCTGGTAAGAATCTGCATAGTGGAGTCCTGTAGCTGAGTGGTTAGAGCACTCGTCTCGCAAGTGAGAGGACCTGGGATTGATTCCCGGGCAGGGCGAAACGTTGGGCAAGTTTCCTTACTCCACACGCCTCTGTTTACCTAGCAATAAGTAGGAATCTGGTTGTTAATCGATTGTCGGATCGCTTTTCCGGGGGTAATACAAGTGCATGTTGTTGTAATAATCCCTCCAAAAAAAAAATTATATTAATTTGCATTGAAGTGTCTGATTGCTTGCTTTTTATTGGCAGAAAACGCCGATCGCAATATTTCCCCAGCGTCCAACTCCACTTTCCTCCGGTACTTGCCTCCAAACCTTTCCCTGAAGATAGACAGCAGCTCAGTTGGCTTGTCTCTGAACAGCCAACAAAGGTAAGGCTTGAGGGGTCAGGAGAACAAGAACCTGATTTAATATGGTCATGTGGAGATGTGGGACTGTTTTGTGTCCAGGAGGAACTGATTTGTGGTCTCTTCCTAGACGCATGAACTGGACTCTGAAGACCTTCCAATTCCAGTACAGCTGTGACAGCGACTCGTTTCCTAACTTCATGCCATCCACTGACTTGCCATTCATGGACATGCAGCTGGGGTTAGAAGGTTGGTAACATGGGAGAGGGGACTGTACTGTATTACTGTAATGCAGGACAGGGGGAGAGATCACACTTTACAGGACAAGGGAGAGATTGTATTGGTGTCAGTGATAAGAGCTGCAATGGCTGAGTTTGTAGGTGACGTGTTGTGTTTGTGTCTCTGCTCTCTCACAGGTGGATTGCTGCTTTCTCCGAGCCGGCAGAGAATTGTAACTCTCAACAGTCTGCAAAGCACTTTCCAAGTAAGTCACAGTCCTCCCACTTGCACTGTTCCACAACCTAGACTATAAGCTCAGAACCCCGTTAAACGTGAGACTTGAACCCACAAAACTTCTGACTTGGAGGCCAAAGTACTACCGACTGAGCCAGGCTGACGGCTCATTCCCCTGAGTTTGACCTGTACTGATCCTGTGTATGCCTCTCGCTCCGCAGGTCACCCCAAACAGCACTGCCATTTCGGTCAATGTGAACACCTTTATCGTACACTACCGACACGCTGAGTTTGCTGACTGGGTGGATTTATTGCTGTTGAAACGACCACTGTATTCAGTGCCTAAAACCACAAACAGGTTAGAACCCTTTGGCCTGAGCAACAGTTACCGGGCCTGTCTGTGAGTCAGGGAGTCACACACTAATATTAATAGCCTGGGCTGGCTACCCATTGAGCCAGGTTGTCAGCTGCTGTACATAGTGTTGAAATAATACACTTACTGAATCACTACACGTTTCAGAATCTTATCAGCATTGATGTTAATCTGAGCAAAACAACAAATTGCCTTTCCACAGCGCCTTTCAGGGGTTTGCGTCCGAGCTGTCGGGATGGATCACAGGGAGAGGTCCGGGTGGAGAAGCCTCTTCGAGACATTATTCACTCCACTATCTTCACTTTACAACGTCGAGCTGTTTATGAAACACGTCCAGGGTCTTGGCCTCAACAACCACTTGCATTTATATCGTGCCCTTCACTCAGGGGTAGCGTCCCGGAGCGCTTAACTCCCTCGTCTGGTTTTCTGCTTCTGTGCCCTGCCCACGCATGTCAATGAGCGTTATCATTTGGCGGTCGCTGTTCTTGCTAGCGATGACTGGCACGGTGTTGTGCCCGTAGAACCGCTGGCTGTTTCACACTTGTGTTGTGTGTCTGACCAGGCAGCATCCTCTGCTCTCCACCCACGTCCTGCTCAACATCTCCCTGAGGAACCTGAGCCTGTCGGTGCAGTTTGAGGACACGCCGGCCTTTGCTCTGAGCTTTGCTTCTGTCTTGGCAGGTAGGAAAGCACTTGGTGTGCTCGTGCGCGAGGCTGAGAAAGTAAAGCCAGCAATATGCGTGTTAGAATAAACAAAACACAGTGTGGGCACATTGCAGTAAAGCCAACGTCTGTGTGTCTGTGGGTGCGTGTGGTATATGTGTTGTAGGAAAGCCAGTACTCTCTGTAGGTGGGTGTTGGAGTAAAGCCAGCTCTGTGTATGTGTCTGTGTGTTGGAGTAAAGCCACCTCTTTGTCTTTCTGTCCGGCAGACATGGAATACCTGAAGATACACCATGTTCACAGTCGCGGAAACCTGTCCTTGGAGCTCCTGGTGTGGCGGGTGGGGGAGGGGTCTCAAATCCAGAAGGCGCCCTCTCCTCCCAGTGTACACACCTGGGGAGATGCGCTTGTCGTGCACTTGGTGACGATACAGGTAAATCCTTGCCCTGTTCTAGGCTGTGATCAGGGGAGTGAACTGTCCTCTTTGGGGGGAGATAAACGGAGTCTCACTGGAGCTGACATGGCTACTGCTTGCTGGAGTCATTTGAAAATCGAGTCAACCCTCTGCGGTGGTCTTGGTAGTCCGGTTCCTGAGCCAGGTGGGTCCGCAGTACTCCAGGACACTGCAATGACAGGCCAGCCCGTCACTGGGGACAGGGAATCCGCCCACTCAGCTCCTGCTAACCCTGCAATCCAAAGCCTTAATGGGCAGGGTGGTCCTAGCAGAGGGAAAACAGCCAGTGCTCTGAATTGGCAAGTTGTGTGGTTTTAGCTGGTCAGACTCCCATCAGTTACCCCAATACACACACTGGGGTCCCCAAGCCCCAAAATGTTGGCTCTTGCCAACCTGCGCCTAATACTTTCCGGAATTAGGTAAGCAGGATGCTCCCTCCAGGGAGGGAGGGAGAGAGAGAGAGTGTGCATTCCATCCCAGACACACAGAAGGTGCCATAAATATGCTTTTTTAAGCACGGTGATGGGTTTCCATGTATCAGACAACTGGCTGAAGCCTCAAACAAAAATTCTGGGGAGTCATGGTGGAGGTGGTGAGGTGAGATGGTGGGGCACCTGGGATTTTGAGACAATTAAGGATGGAGGGGATGTGATGGGGGTGTGTTCCTCATTGTGGGAGGGGGGAATGTGACTGGAGTGTTGGCTGTTCCTCTCAGCTTCTTCTTCTCCTCTCTCAGGGAGGTTTCAATCAGGCCGAGTCCTATTCCAACATCCTCCACCTGGACGTCTCCGTCCACGGGCTGCAGGCTGAATCCTCGGAGACCTGCATCCAGTGCTTGGCCAAAATGCTGACTCTGGTCCGCGCCGAGATCCAGAGGATGTCCAGACCCAAGCTGGCGCTGGGCACCCCCAGTCCCATCAATTTCTCCTCGCCCGCCTCGCAAATCGGGTCAGACACTCCGCAGTGGAAGCTGGACGTTAAGCTGGAAGATGTGAGCATGTTTACTGTGTGCCGGACAGCAGGTGAGTGAGTGCCTGTTACAGGAGCTTCGTTTCACTTTCACGCAGCACCCATGATCCACCTTTACAGACACCCCCTCTCCCTCCCCGCGCGCCCCCCCCTCCCCCACCACCCCCCCGCCCTCACTTCACCTTTACACAGCGGCTTTCCTGTCAACGAAATGTTTTGAGGCATTTTAAAGAACTCAAAGTTGAAGTTAATGTTACAGGACTGTTTGTAACTGTTTGTGGGACGTTCTCCTACAAATTCGCAGTCACCATTCTTTATATGATGTCAAATGCAAGGATTATCATCATTATTATTGTTATTGTGCACTGTAAACCCTCCCTCCTCCCCTCTTGCGCAGGTGCCTGTGCGGTGCGTGTGAATCGCATGACCGTCTCTGGTGGGCTGGACAGTGTGAGCTATGAGGTGCAGGAGCTGTCCGTGGTGCTGGTGCAGACACTGGAGGATAATGTGAAAACCCTGGGCATTCCTGAGCCCATCCTCTCCCTGGCCTCCTTCTCAGTCACCTACTACACGAACACCTCGACACTCGAGGTGAGCAGCCGGCCGGCCCGCAGCTCTCTGTTTAAACTCCCGTGTCCTCTGAACACTTAACGAGTTCAAAGTTTCAAAAACCTCTATTGACAAATAGCTGTTGCTCCCTCCCTCTCTACCCATGGCTGCTGCCCTGTAAGTGAATGATATAGTATCAGCCATTCCGACAACTCCTGGGTACACACTGGTGAGTAAACTCTGGGTGACTAATTGACTGTGTTTGTGTGCGTGCGTGATTTTAATATGTGTGGCTGGTGTGTGTGTGTGTGGAGTAGGTGTACTTAGGTTAGTGTATGTAGTGTGTGTGTGTGGGCGCAGGGTGGGGTGGGGGGGTGGCAGGAGTAAAGAGCTAGAGCTCGAGCAGTACTGAACATGGGACCTTCCCGCTGTGTACAGCCCACAACCCACTGAACCAACTTGCTTTTTGTTAATGACGATTCATCTCTTGAGCGGAGCGGAGTGAGGGCTGGACAGTGACTGCCGGTCTCATGTGTTAGAGCATCCCCTGGGGAAGTCGCTGTGCTCAGACCCCTTCCTTTCTCTGCAATCTTGTGAGGTTCCATGTCTCTGTGCTACTGGACAGGAGCCAGTGTGACTGAGAGGGGCTTCCCTCTGACCACGCTCTCTCTCTCTCCTTTTCAGGTGGCTTTCTACGAAGACGTCAGCGTACGCTGGACCCCCAGTCACCACATGTACCTCTTCCAACACGTCACCGAAGCCCTCCGTTACCGCGAGACCCTGACCCAGCCCGGCGACCACCCCAACCTCATCCCCACCGCTGCCTCCCAGCAGTCGGACCGCAGGAAGGCGAAGATTCTGCTTCTGGATGTGGAGCTGAAGAGCGCTAAAGTCAACCTGTGCCTGACAGACAGGAACTTCATCCAGTTCCGGGTGGACAACCTGGGCCTGACGAGCAGCGGGTCTGCCCTGCAGGTCAGGGCCTCGCAGTTCGTCTGCAACTTTGACGGGTTTGACATCTTCACGCTGAGCGGAGGGAGCGTGCGGGCCCTGCAGGACGACAAGGAGCTGCAGCAGCAGCGAAGTCTCTACCCCTCGCTGAAGACACAAAGGAACCGGATCTGGGTCGTGGCTCTGGCCAGCGCCACCGTCACCTTCCCCTTCCGTTACAACTTCTCCAGCACCTTCGACAAGGGAGTCACCGTGCAGAAATGGCTGAAGGGGCTGCACAGGACGGGGGAGACGAAGGAGGGGGAGGGGGCCGCCCCCAAGCCCCTGCCTCCGCTTCCCCCTGACCTGGTCTTCCTGGTCGAGCAGTTCTCCTTCGTCTTCCTCGACGACGTGTTTGAGGTGAAGCTGCGCGACAACTACGAGCTGATGAAGGACGAGAGCAAGGAGAGCGCCAAGCGGCTGCTGCTGCTGGACTCCAGGGTGGCCGCGCTCAGGAAACAGCACGGGGAACTCCTGCCCGCCCGCAAGATCGAGGAGCTGTACGCCTCCCTGGAGCAAACCAACATCAACATGTACGTGCAGCGTTCCAAGCGCCTGTACGCCAACACGCCCATGAGGAGGGCTCTGCTCACCTGGACCATGGGGGAACTGGAGATCTGGGCCTTGGCCGACCAGTCCTTCCACGGCCCCCAGCAGGTGCTCCAGCACATGAGGGAGATCGACCCCCTCAGCCCTCTCCCCGACAGCGGGCTAAACCTCGTCATCCAGTGGTGCCGGCTGGTCAGATTCAGCGTCAAGGCCTTTCTGGGTGAGTTGTCCCGAGTTATCCACGCTCCTCTGTTTACTTAGTAGTAAGTAGGTTGTTAATCAATCGGCACACAGAGAGGGTAATAATCCCTCTGACCCTCCCAAAAAATTAGTCGCTTATTCCACGGCTGTTTGTGGGGACGCTGCTGTGCGCAATCAGCTGCCGCGTTTCGCCCACAAAATACACCGTCACTACACTTTAGGGTATATTCTGCGAAGCACTTTGAGACGCCTCAATGATGTGGATAAGGCGCTATATCAAATGCAAGGATTTGGTTTTACCCTCACAGCGTCACGTGCCTGACTGATATTCCTCTCTCTCCAGTTCGGATCCGGGATTATCCACGGTACCTGTTTGAGATCCGGGACTGGAAGCTGTCCGGGCGGCTGATCGGGAGCGAGCAGGATGGACACCCGCTGGCCCTACGCACGGAGAAGCTGCTGCTGGGCGCTCCCTGGGGCAATGTCACCGTCCACAGGAACATGCCTCCACTCAAGTGGTACCATGATTTCCACTGTGAGTACTGGCCAGTCTATGCAGGGTCTGGGACTGGGGGAGGGAAGGTGGGGTGGCGGGGGGCGGTTGTGTTTGCTGAGCCTCTGAGTCAGATCTGAAGGTTGTGGGTTCAAACCCTGTTCAGGTGGACCCTAAAGATCCCATCGGCGCAACTCGATGTGAGAAGGGAGTTTCTCTCTCTGCCAGCCAGGCCAGCAATCCCAGCCAGATAAAATCGGTCACTCGCTCTGTGGCACTGACTGAGTTCACCTACAAAATACACAGTCACCACGCTTCATAGAAATGCCGTGAAGCCTTTTGTGGCATTTCAGTGTAATGTGCACTGCATTAACTGTATTAAGGTTGGGTTTGCTCTGTCCTTTCAGCGGATATCTCCCTCTTCACTATCGTGTGGGGACCATGCTGGGACCCCGCCTGGACTCTGATCGGACAGGCTGTCGACCTCCTGACCAAGCCCACCTTTGACCCCAGCCCACCTCTGACCTGGTGGGACAAGAGCCGCCTGCTCTTCCACGGCTGCTGGGCAATGGACATCGATCAATCCAATTTGCACCAGCTCGCAACGGAGGTGTGGACAACAGCCTAAGCCAGGGTTTACACAGTGTGAGATTACGGTTAGACTTAACCAAAGTTACACAACAACTACAACTTACATTTGTACAGCTCCGTTCACGTCAGGCGGACGTCCCAAAGCCTGAGCCGAGGTGACACAGTGTGAAATCACAGTCAGACAGTGCTGCGTTACTTTGGGAACCACAGTGAGAATCGGGAACGCGAGGGGCTTGTTTACACGCTGCGCGAGCGCGCTCGGGAATTTGCAGCTGTCCTTAATGGCAAACACTTTTCCTGCAGGATCCGTACAACACCACCGAGAACATGCACTGGGAGTGGAACAAGCTGAAGTTCAGCTGGAATCCCTGTCAGTTTGTCTTCAAGGGGGACCTGGACATTAACGTCCGCACGGCTTCAAAGTAAGTCACTGACCAACGGTTATCGCCAAACCCTGTGGTGTATCAGCCTGGGGGTGGGGGGGTTCACCAACACACAGGCTGTCCCACCCGCCCGCCTGGGAATGAGCGTCTCGTGATGTTAGTCTAGTAATTTTGTGATGTTCTTTGTTTAAAAAAAAAGCGCTGTAGAAATCCTTCACGAAAATTAGGCCCCGACTTTAAGACGTTTTCACTATTCTACGTAATCTTAGATTTTGAGCGCGTGGCGTTAATGAGCCTGGGGAGATTTCAGGCCCCAGCGCTGAGCTCGCTTGCTCACTCTTGCTCACACTCTCTCTCTCTCTCGCTCTCTCTCTGTCTGGGTTAACGTTGCTGTGTTTCTGTCCTGGTCCAGGTATGATGACTGCTGTTTCCTCCACCTGCCTGATCTCTGCATGACCTACAACCTGCAATGGCTGTGCAGTGGTGACCCTCACAACCACCACAGTGTTATGCTGTGCTCACCAGACAGCGTGACTCAGGTGCCCAACACACAGAGGCACGACTCGTACCGAGTGTTCCGTTCCGAGAACGTCAACCTGTCCATAACCATGGATCTGAACTGGCCAGGAAGGGGTGAGCTGGGATGCACAGGAATATATCTGCCAGAGTGTGTGAGACACGTGTGTGTATGTCTGTGCGTGTGAGTGAGTGAAAAACTGTGTGAAGAGAGAGAGACACTGAGTGCGTGTGTGAGACACTGTGTGTATGTGGTTAAGACTGTGGGTGAGACACTGTGTGTGTGTGTGAGACACTGTGTGTGTGTGTGTGTGAGAGACTGTGTGTGAGAGAGAAAGATGCTGTGTGTGGGGGTGGTGTTTGTTTGCTCAGTGAGTTGTGTGTGTGTTTTCTGTAGAGAGCACAGAGCCCCGGGTGTTGCTGTACAGCAGTACACTGCGCTGGATGCAGAACTTCTGGGCCACGTGGACGAGTGTCTCCCGGCCAATCTGCCGTGGCAAGCTCTTCAGCAACCTCAAACCCGGCAAGAAGAAGCTGAGTCAGCACTACAAGCAGCTCTCCTACAATCCGCTCTTCCCACAGCTCCAGGTAATACAGTAATACACAGTAATACAGGCACACAGCGACAGGCACACAGCGACACACAGACATACAACTACAGGCACATAGCTACACACAGGTACACACACACAGCGACACACACAGGCACACAAAGAGCTATAGTTACATGACATGCGCACACCCAGCTACAGCTCCACAGCTCATCCACTGCACAGCCACAGCTGCCGTTCCTGTACGTGGCTCTTCTTCAGGCTCTCTGCTCTGCTCTCCCTCCAGGTCCATTACTGGGCGTCGTTCGCACAGCAGCGCGGCATCGAGGTGCAGTGCAGCCAAGGCCACGTGTTCACACGAGGAACCCAGAGGTTCATCCCCCAGAGTAAGGGGCAAAGTGCAGAGGGCAACATCCTCACGCTGGGCAGCTAGGGCCGGGGGCAGGGGGCAGGATCAGGGGGGCAGGGTAAATGGCGTCAAGTTAGCTGACCACACGGCTCTTGCAGTGTTTGTTGTCAGCCGAGTGTCTGACATGGAGAAACCTATCACCACGCTTAAGAAGAGCCTCCAAATCAAACTGAGCTCCATTTCGCCCACAAAATACATAGTCACTACCCTTTACAGTGTATCCTGTGAAGCGCTTTGAGACTTCCCAAAGATGTGATCAGGCGCTATATCAAATACAAGGATTATTATTATTGTTTTACGGACGTCACAGCCATAGAGGGGGCGCAGGGGAGATTTGAAGGGAGAGCTGATCGAGGGCCACAAAACAATGAGGGGTTTTGATGGTCAATAGGGAGAAATGGTTTCCGAGAGGGGGAGGGGCATCAGGGTTGACGGGCTGGGGGAGGGTGGGGTGTCAGGGCTGAGGGGGTGGTGAGGGTATGTGTGGGTCGGGGTTGGAAGGCAGCTGGTTACTGACAGTGCTGTCCGTGTGCCCAGCGGGAGCTGTGCTGCGTCGCCTGATCTGGGAATGGAACATCACGGAGATGCGCAGTGACCTGAGTCTGGTGACGGTTTTCCTCATGGCCTCCACGGCTGATGACAGCGCGGAGCACGGGCTGAACAACCAAGTCACCAAGACCCACCTGCTCAGCGTCTCGTCCCTCAGCTACCAGCGCCTGAGCAACAGGATGGAGGAGGTGATGGCCGTTCATGTTCTCTCCCTCGCGATAATAACTGCAGTTCCCAAGTGAAGCTCTTGCAAGCCCTGTCCATTGTCTGCTCCATAGTTTGCACAGACTAGAACAAACTGAGGCAGTCTGTGCTGCCTGTCTGTATCTGTCTCTGACTGTCTCTCTGTTTGTGCCTATTTATCTGTGTGTCTGTCTGTGGTCTCTCTGACTGTGTCTGTCTGTCTGTGTGTTTCTCTCTCTCTCTCTCTGTGGGCTCTCTGCGTCTTTCTGCCCGTCTCTCTGTGTTGGTCGATGTCTATCTGTTCGTCTCTGTGTCTCTGTCTGCGTTATCTGTGCCTGTCTCTCTGCGCCTGTGTCTCTGTGCCAGTTGGTGTCCGCCTGCCTGAGTCTGTGTGCGTCTCTGTCTGTGGTACCAGCCTGTTTCTCTGTGTGTCTGTGGTGACGGCCTGTATCTGTGTCAGGAGATGGCTGTGAAAGAGGACAGGAATTACACGCACAAACTGTGCCTCGTTGACCTGAGAGCCTCCTGGACGACGACCAATCGCAACATAGCCTTTGGGCTGTACGACGGGTACAAAAAGGCGGCTATGCTGAAGCGGAACCTGTCGACGGAGGCACTGAAGGGGTTAAAGATCGACGCCAACTTGCAGGCCAAGAAGCTCAAGCGGTCAATGGTGCCGAACTTGCCGACTATCCTCAAAACAGCCGAGAGCCCCGAGCTGAGGCAACGGGACGGTAGGAGGCAGCAACGACTTGCATTTACACAGCGCCCCTCATGCAGGGTAGCGTCCCAGAGCCCTCGACAGTGGCAGAGCACGATGCCGAACTGGTGGGTGGGGGGGGGGGGGGGGGGAAGAGAGGTGGGGGAGGAGGAGGTGACCACAGGTACGGTAGAAGAGGAAGGTCTTCAGGCGCGATCTGAAGATGGGGAAGGAAAGGACGAGGCGGAGGGTTGGAGAACGAGTGTTCCACGGTTTCGGGGTGTCGTGGCTGAGAGTATATTCTGTGACGAGCTCTGAGACATCCCGAAGCCGTGACAAGGCGTTACATCAAACGTGACCGTTAATATATTGTTATGGAGTGAAGGTTGGAGGCTGAGTGATGGGAGTGTCACCTGTCCCACTCGTTAGAAGTGGGAGCCCGGGGCTGATTTGTAACAGTGTGCCGGTGCCCTCCAGCTCACTGCCCGCTGTTCTCTCTGCCTCTCCCAGGCACCTCCATGCTGCAGAAGCTGATCGAAGAGACGGACAGGTTTGTGGTGTTCACTGAGGAGGAGTCGGGAGTGCGTGACCAGCTGTACGGCAGCGCTGCCTGTCAAGCAGACGATGTGATTAACAGGAACTGGCTGATTGAGTTAGTCAACTCCCAGGTAAAAACATTTTGTTTACGAAATGCTTTGTTGCTTCCCCCACAAAATACACAGTCCCTCCGCTTGATAATACATCCCGTGAAGCGCTTTGAGATATCTCAACGACGTGATAAGGTTCTATATCAAATGCGAGGATTATTATTATTATTAATAATGAGAGCTCAGCTCTGGCAGTGAGCAGCGCAGAACACAGGAGCCTGTCCCATATTTGGTTACATCCGTGATTGACCTGAACCGAAGACTGGTCCTGAAGCTCTGATCTGGGTTAGTAAGACACTGTGTGTTCCAGTGCTTGTGCTCTCGACAAAGAGAAGGGAGTTTCTCTCTCCCAGTGTCCTGGCTGACAACACCCCACCCCCTCCTCCCCACCCAAGTAAAATTGGTCGCTCACTCCATGGCTGTGTGGGACATTACTATGTGCAAACTGGCTGCCGGGTTTGACTACACAATGAAGTAATAATAATCCTTGGATTTGATACAGCGCCTTATGTCTTCGAGACGTCTCAAAACGCTTCACAGGATACACTGTAAGTGAACTGACTGTATGTTTTTGTGGGTGAAACGCGGCAGCCAATTGCGCACAAATGCACAGTTGCTACATTTACAGTGAATCCTGTGCAACGACTGGGGACGTCCTCCCGCGTGAAAGGCTCTGTACCCGATGCGAGGATTATTATGATCTGCAGCTTGCTGGTGTTTTCAGCATTAAGTGGTTTGGTGTGTGGCCTCTGCTCTGCACTAGGTGATGCTGCGCGGGGCGGAGACGGAAGGCTGTGTGTTTGTGAGCGCGGCGAAGGCTCAGCTGTGGCAGTGTCAGCACTACCCCTCCTGGTACAGCCACGCTCTCAAACAGAAGACCACCTGGACCTGCCTGCTGGACGGGATGCAGTATTTCGCTACCATGGAGACAAAGCCCGCGGAGAAGGAGGAGGAATACCAGCTGTGGCTGGAGGTGAGCTGGCACACTGTACCTCACAGCTCAGGGTGGGATTCACACACACACAGACACACGGTACCCTGACCCAGCCTGCTGTACTGGGAACGGATGGATGGGTGAGGGTAGGGGGACAGACAAACATTCCCTAAGGATTATTATCTTCTGAAGGCACTGACTGCCGCTGGGATTTTGTTCTACGCAGGTGAAAAACATCGAGGAACACCGGGAGAGGAACCTGGATTCAGTGGCGGAGCTGATGGAGAGCGGCCAGGCGGTGGGGGGGATGGTCAGCACCACCACAGGTCAGAGCCGACCCACAGCCACACTGCGGGGCGGGGGCTGTGGGACTCGCTCACCTACTCCCGACTTCCCGGTATCACTGATCTCAATGTGTCACCTAACCATCTGGGAGTGTGGACGGATGGGCAGGGTAGAGGGAACCTTACTGTGTCTCTAACTGTGACCTAGGAGTATGGACGAACATTGTAGAGGGAGCTTTACTCTGACTCTAACCCTGACCTGGGCAATGTGGACAGACAATGTAGAGGGAGCTTTACTGTGTCTCTAACCCAGGCTGTAGCTGACCTGGGAGTGCTGGGCGCTGGTACCTGAGTGAATACAGTGATGTCTTGCTGTGATGTTAGTGTGTGAGATCTCAGTCTCTCATGTTCCCAGATTGGAATCTGCCGGCTCAGGAGCACCAGACGCAGCAGGTCCAGAGGATCATTTCTCGCTGTAGCTGCCGGATGTATTACGTCAGCTACAGCCACGACATCGACCCCGAGCTGGCCACGCAGATCAAACTGCCCGAAGTCAGGCAGGATCAGAAGGAAGACCTGCTGAAGAAGCAAGATGGTGGGTTTGGGCAGGGATTCATTTATTATTGATTGTATGTGTGTCAGCCTGGCTCAGTCTGTGTGTGTGTGTGTGTGTGTGCGTTAGCCTGGCTCTGTGTGTGTGTGTGTGCGTGTCAGCCCGGCTCAGTGTGATATAAACACGGTATTAATCCCGCTCACGTTTCTCTCCTGATCCAGGGGCTGTGGACACGTTCACTTTGATGCATCATGACCTGGAGATCTCCACCAACCCAGTGCAGTACGCCATGATCCTGGACATCGTCAACAACCTGCTGCTCCTCGTGGAGCCAAAGCGTAAGGTATGTCTCTCCGTCCGTCTCCGTTACCTGGAGCTTCGCATCGTAAACCGTGACGCTGTGAATCCCAATAATTCCCGTCCCTTTCAAATCCCTCCTCGGCCTCGCCTCGGTGACCTCCTGCGACTCAGTGGGCACGTGCCCTGCCCTTGCCTGCCCCCTCATCGGCGGGCGAGCTTTCCCCCCCTCCCCACTGTGCGAAGCTGTTTGCGATGCCATCGCTGTACGAATGGTGATTGTTGCTCTCATGTTAACCTTCGTTTATCCAGCGCCTCGGAGCGACAGTCAGGGGAGTGAGGGGGTGACGGTCAGAGAGGGAGCGAGGGGGTGATGGGTCTGTGCCCGCGAGGCGCATTCCCGTTGACGTTGGGCTGTGATTTCAGGAGCACAGCGAGCGGAAGCAGAGGGTGAGATTCCAGCTGGAAATCTCCAGCAATCCCGAGGAGCAGCGGAACAGCATCCTCCACCTGCAGGACGCAGTGAGGAAGCACGTGGTGCGTATCCGGCAGCTGGAAAAACAGATCTACCTCATCGTCAAGGTAATCACCGCGTCCCCCGGGAACAGGCTCCTCATCGCCACGTGTTCTGCGCTGTGTGTTGTTTTGCCATGTGATGCCATACCGGACCTCCGACTTACTCCCTCCCTTCTCTCGTGCAAGGTCCGTCTTATCTGCTGTGCGCAATTGGTCCAAAATAAAGTAGAATCATTTGGTCACTCAATCTGCGACTGTTTGTGGGGACGCAGCTGTGCGCAATTGGTGGCGGGTTTTGCCCACCAAACACCCAGTCAATTCACTCCACAGTGTGTCCAGTGAAGCGCTTTGAGACGTCTCAACGATGTGATAAGGCCCTATATCAAATGCGAGGATTATTATTACTATTAATCATTATTGCGCTTCAAGTTCCCTGTAAAAATAAGGGGGCTGTTCAGGGTTGAAGGGGGGGGAGTTTCAGGGGTCGGTGGTGGGGGGGTGTGACATTTTACTGTGTGAGAGTCACCGGCCTCCTCTCTCTCTCAGTCCCTGCAGGACGACATAAAGAATGAGTCGTTGTTGGAACAAAACCAGAGGCACCAAACCCAGCTGAACCAGGAGAAAGCGGCTCTGCAGGCAAAGAGTGAGGAGCTCAACATCCTCATCAGGTGTGTCCCAACGTTCGCACTTATATAAGCTCCCCCCCAGCGCTGCATTGGAGTGTCAGTTTGGACCAAGTCCCGACCTGGGAGTTGGTGGGGGGCTTGAACCGACAACCTTCTGACTTGGAGGCAAGAGCGCTACCCACTGAGCCAGGATGTTACAGCCGCCGAGATGAGACGTCTCGAAGACGTGATAAGGCGCTGTATTGAACGCAAGGATTATTATTATTATTATTACGTGTGTGTGTGACGCTACGTGTTGTTCAGGTGCTTTAAGGACTTCCAGCTTCAGCGGGCGAACAAGTTGGAGTTGCGTAAGCAGCAGGAGGACGTGAGCGTGGTGCGCCGGACTGAGATCTACTTTGCGCAGGCCTGCTGGCGGCTCACAGAGGAGGACGGGCAACTGGGCATCGCTGAGCTGGAACTGCAGAGGTTCCTGTACAGCAAGGTAAGCGCCCCGCAACGAGCTCGAGGCACACACGCACACACACACATACACCAGACACAGCGTGCGCTCACACACGGTACACATACACAGCGCATGCACTGCTGTGGGGGTGGGGTGCAGGTCTGTCGCTTTTTACTGCCCAGTAAACAGCTGACGCGTTCCTTGCTACAGGTGAATAAGTCTGACGACACCGCGGAGCACCTGCTGGAACTGGGCTGGTTCACCATGAATAACCTTCTCCCCAACTCCATCTACAAGGTACGGAGGCTACAGAGGCCTCTCACACGCAGCCTCGCCTGTGGGCAGCACATGCAATCTATACTGGGAGGCATCAGTCCAGTTATCTATCTGCCTGTCTGCCGGGTGTTCAGCTGTGCCACTGTTTATATGTTAGATCTGGAAATTCCTCTATCATCTTACCCTGCAGACCATTTTGTCTTTAAAAGGTAAGATCGCACAGAATTGTGGAAAATTCTTAAATTCTGCCTTTGAATTTGGAATCCGTTTTTTTCCGCAGTTTCTTAAAACGGAAGCCTGCTTCCGAATGCAGAGAGTTTAATCGTATCACCCTACTCTGTGCGATCGTAAAGATGAGGCAAGATTATCTGGCAGGCTAAGACTCGGTGGAATTTGAGGCCCGTGGGTTCTGTTCTTGGTGCCTTGGAAAACCCCGAGTAGTTGAGTTTTTATATGAACCTAAAGGCTCGCGGGAAAAGGGTTAATTGTTAACGGGCTTGGTTGGTGGGAATTGGCAGCCTGTGTGTGTGTGTGATCACCAGTGAGTGAATGAGTGAGTGGGCGCATGAGGGAGGGAGAGATGAGTGAGCGTGTGAGCATGTGAGCGAGTGAGTGAATGGGTGAGTGATAGACAGAAAGGCCAATGTACATGGAAGCTGAGGTCTTCCCCACCCCCACGTGCTGAGACTGAGCTTTGCTGCGACAGGTGGTGATTCGGCCGCAGAGCCATTCGCAATCGGGCCGGCAACTGGCTCTGAGGATCTTCAGCAAAGTCCGTCCGCCCGTGGGTGGGATCTCGGTGAAGGAGCACTTTGAGGTACAACATCGAACCAAATATTTTATTGACTTCCCTCTTTGACCGCGTTTCCGCCGTCTTTTCCCCTTCTTTCCCCCAAATGCGCATTCGCTTCATGTCACAGCAAATCCTATGAAGCGCTTTGCGACGTCCTTCCGTCCACGTGATAAGATGCCACATCAAACGCAAGGATAATCAGTATTGGTAAATATGAATGTGCCTGAACTCAGCTGACCCTGCCCAGAGTCTGGGTGGCTGGGTGTTGGTGACTGGGTAATGGAGAGTCGGCACCTGAAGCTCTTGCCGTGTGGTTGCAGGTGAATGTGGTGCCGCTCACCATCCAGCTCACCTACCAGTTCTTCAGGAGGATGATGGGCTTCTTCTTCCCTGGGAGAAACGTGGAGGATGAGGATGTGGGGGCCGATGAGGAAGACAAGTCGAAGCTGGTTACAACGGGTAAGAGGTGTCGACAGTGTCTGGGGCTGCTCTTCCCCTCTCTCCAGCCCAGCACAAAGCTCAGCTCACGGGGACCCCGGCCTGGAGGGTTCACAGCGAGTGAGGCTGGGCTTCCACTGAGTATGGCCGTCGGGAGGAACCTTCACCGGGTTTGAACTCACTTCCCATCCACTCAGGTTTTATTGTGTCCGAGGCAGAGCGCACGTGTGTTGGGTGAGATGAGCGTCCACGCCCTGTGTGTCTGACACTGTGTGATACTGTGTGTGTGTGTGTGTAAGAGACACTGTGATACTGTTGTGTGTGTGCGCATGCATGCGTCTGTGTGTGTGAGAGACACTGTATGTGTGTGTTCGGGGGAAATATTCCGTGTCCATGCTGTAACGCCCCACCACCCCCTCCCTCTCCCCCACCCCTTGTGCTGGTGCTGCTTTTCCAGGAATCCCGGTGGTGAGGAATCGGCAGCTGGCTCTCTCTGAGGATAACGTTGGCTCGCTGGGGACGGGGAAAGGTTCAACAGGATTAAACCGTGCCACGGGTGTCAGGCGATCGTTCAGGAAGGCCCCGGAGGTATGACAGCACCACTGGATAAATAACACTGAGAATTAGCCCTCAGACAGCCCACCGCAACATGCAGGCCTGGAATAGACTGCAGCCGGACCCAAAACAGTCCCCATCTCATCCTCTGGCAGCTTCGCTGTCTACCTCGCTCTGTGTGCCTTGCCCTGTCTAACACACTCGCTGTGTGTGTGTGTCCCCGTCTAACACACTCGCTGTGTGTGTCCCCCCCTGTCTAACTCACTCTGTGTGCCTCGCTCCCCAGCACCCAGTGGATGATATCGACAAGATGAAGGAACGAGCGGCGATGAACAACTCCTTCATTTATGTGAAGATCCCCCAGGTCCCGCTGTGCGTCAGCTACAAGGTTTGTCCAGGAGAAACCTGGGGGGGGGGGTCGGCTGCTGAGTGATTGAGTCAAGAGGGCTGGGGTGGGGATTGACCAACATCGCAATCGAAGAGTAGGGACTCGAGACGGACCTTGAAGGAGGCAAAGGGTGGGGTGAGGCAGAGGGGCTCCGGCATGGAGTTCCAAAGGGTGGAGGCAGAGAGGCCAACGGTGGAGCGGGCAGGGTGGGCGATGTGGAGCAGGCTTCCATGTTCGTCTGCAAAATGCACAGTCACTACATTTTACAGTGAATCCTGCGAAGCCTTCTTTTTCGATGATGTGATACGAAGCAATATCAAAAACAAGAATGATTACCATGTCTGCCGGGGTGGGGGGTGGGGGTTCTGCCTCGCTTTAATAGCACGTGGAGGGGAGGACATTGAGGAGCAGTATCCTGAACGTCTGTTTCTCCCCCCACCCACCCCCACCCTCAGGGTGAGAAGAACATTGAAGACTGGAAAGACTTTAATCTGGTGTTGCCGAGCCTGGAATATCACAACAACACGTGGACCTGGCTGGACTTTGCCATGGCCGTCAAGAGAGACAGCCGCAAGGCCCTTCTGGCTCAGGTACAGCCTCACCCCCCCAGCCAGAGCTCACCCCGCTCTTCCCCTCCTCCCTCCGTTTACTGTCATTGCCTCGAGCAGCCCAGCGCAGAGGAGGGGACGTTGGGGAGTGACTCTCTTCTTTCCTGCCGTGGCATCTCCCACATTTACAACGCGTGCCAGGAGCTGGCTACCCTCCGCCTGCCCCCAGGACACGGTCTCCCCTGTATCCAGCGCGCGCCCCCCTCCCCTTCCACCCCTCCCCAAGAGCCCTGCTTTACCGCAGTCTCCCTCCTCACTCAAGACCACTCACAGCGACCTGACCACAGCACAAACCCTGTGGAGCCCGCTTCCTTCCTGCTCCGCTCCCCACACCAGGCAGTGTACTATGGCGAGGTGCTCGCTCGTCTGTGCAGTCGTGCTCAGTTGGGGTGCTGTGTGTGTCATTGCGCCAGCGTCTGTGTCACTGTGCCAGTGTGGTTGCTGAGTTGTGTATGTGCCCCGGGGCAGGTCATCAAGGAGAAGCTGCGACTGAAGCCCGCCCTGGGCTCGGACTCACGGACCCGCCTGTCGGAGAGCAAGGTGGAGGGGAACCTGCAGCAGGAGGAGGATGAGAAAGCCCGCTTGCTGATCGGCTCCAAGCTCAGCTCCAGCGACAAGACCAGCACCAAAAAGTCCCTGTTCGGCAAACGCAAGTGAGAGGGGAGGCGGGAGAGAAACTAGCTGTTTCCCCCCCCCCACCGCCTCCTCTGTCAGTGAGGCTGGGTCTGGGACAGGGTGTGCTAGCGATGGAGGTGGGGGCTGGGACCGGGCGGGCTGGCCGGCCATGGGGGCAGGGGTGGGGCTGGGACCGGGCGGGCTGGCCGGCCATGGGGGCAGGGGTGGGGCAGGGTGGGGTCTGAGCGTGCTGATCGCTGGGGCGGGTCCTGGGTGAGGCGGGTTGGGGGTGGGACGTGCTGGTCGCGGGGGTGGGACAGGCTCTGTTGGCGGTGGCTAGGGCGGGGTCTGTTGGGTGGGGGTGTGGATGGGGGTGGGCTGGACTGGGGGAGGCTCAAGAGATGATTTTTCTCTCGACTCTGGTTCAGACTCGGGGCGGGCTTATTATTGGGCACTTTGTGCCTGTGTAAAAATGTTTTAAGAAGAGAGGGATAAGGGTGGAAAAGCTAACTCAGTGTCATTGATCAGACACTAAAACCTGCACTGCTTTGTAGTAACTCGTCAGCCATTGTGATCTAACGGCTTATCTCCTGACTTCCGTTACGTGTCTGATCTCTGAATCGTGCTTGAAAAAAACAAATCGAATCCAGTTCTTATTGGGTTCCCGACCACTGCCCCACCTCACCCTTCCCAAAAAGGGAATGGATGTCAGGTAGATAGATAGATAAATAAATAATAATCCTTGCATTTGATATAGCACCTTATCACGTCTTCAAAACGTCTCAAGGCCGCGTCACAGGATACACTGTAAAGTGAATTGACTGTATATTTTGTGTCTCCCACTGTACTTCCCCACTCATTCCCAGTCTCTTCCTGTTTCACTCTGGGAGGAACTGTTGGGAATCTGTGTTTGGATTGATTGATTGATTGATTGATTGATTGATTGATTGATTGATTGATTGATTGATTGATTGATGGCTGGTCACCGAGCACTCACTCTGACCTCACATTGTCAGCCAGTGTCTGTGTCTGTGGGTTCTGTCCTTCCCTCTGTTTGTCCAGTCTTGGAATTGGCTGTCATTCCTCACTGCCTCTTCCTCCAGTTTAATGGCTCTGCTCCTCACGCCCCCAACCTCCTGGCTCAACCTCGTGCTGAGAGTTTACAGTCATGGTGCTGAGAGTTTACATTCTCTCTCTCTCTCACACACACACACATGCTCCCTCTCTCGCACGCACACACACACACACAGCGTTTATGGCAGGGTGAGGGATAATGATCTGGAGTGAGCACTCCTCACTCCTGCTGCATTTTTGTGTATAAGTCAAGGCCCACCCATGACCCCAGTTGAGATCCGCTCACTCAGCACAGACTGGAGGAGAACCTTGGGCCTTCCTTCAAATGTTCCTAATGTTATACAGGTGAACCTGTGCGAGGTCCCTGTAATTTGGTTATACATTCTATCCCTGTTAATCTAACTGCCTTGGTTTTGCACTAACGCACAATCTGAAACCATATACTGTACAGAGACTGCGTCCAGCTTGCCCTAGTGTGACGGGAGGCGAGGAAGAGCCAGGCCCACCGTAGCACAGCTTTACATGAACCAAGCCAGTGCCCTGGGGGGTGGGGAACGGCAGTATGTGAGCACACTGGGATAGAGCCATGTCACTTGGGTGGAAGCCCCCACGGTGCTCACTGGTTGTGGAGCAGACTAGGCTGAAAGCCAACAATTTCTCGTGGTCGCGAACCCACAAAATAATGCTGCCCGTAACCTGGCACCAAAAAAGACGCAGAGCAGCTGACGGTGCAAGAAATAAAGCTGTCACTGGAAAATAGGTTCTGAGATTGGAGGTCAGGGCAGAATAGTAAGAGCTTTACTTTGTCTCTAACCCGTGCTGTCACTGACCTGAGAGTGTGGACGGACAGTGCAGAGGGAGCTTTACTCTGTCTCTAACCTGGGTGAGTTGAGAAGAGAGATTGTTCTATTTCCTGGCATGGACAAACAACTTTACTTTGAAAAGCACAAAATATCCACACAATAAAACAGACGTGTCGAGTTACAGCGATGGTTAGAGCTTGGGAGAGAGACTGACTGATTGAGTGACTGAGGAAATTAGATGATGGTGCCTTGTCTTAGTTAATATTTCTGCCTTGAAGGAAACCCTTGAGAAATATATTTTAGAGATTATTGCACAATGAGGACAGGTTTTATTCAGGGTGATTTGGTGGGAGGAGAGAGAAAGAGATGTTTACATTTGTTTTGAGGCCTGTGTTACTGTCTAAGTCTGTAGGTAGGTTGACTGCAGACCGCTGTTTAGTGACTATACGCTGCTTGCCATCTTGATCAGCCTCTGCCCTGGAAGCCACTCTGCGGGCCAGGAACGTGGCCGGCCGGCAATGGTGGGCACTAGCCCAGCATTGACGCAGAGTGTGCCTCGCGCTCTCCACGTAATCTCTGCCTCCAAAGTCTTCACATCGAACGGTTGTCGTGCTCTGACACACTGACACACACACACACACGCGTCTTCACTTAGCCATCGAACGCAACGTGGTGGAGATGGCTGTCAGCTGGTGGTGGGGCTGCTCAACTCGATTCCCCCCTCTCTCTCTCTCGCAGCTAGCGATTGTAGGTGGAATCCGACCAGCTGCTTAAGTGTAGATTCATTTGGGATCTGGCAAATGCTGCTGTGCACTGTTTTCACAGTAATAGTTTGTGGTGTGAAGCTTGAAATTTTAATTTGGTGTAAAAAATACTTTAAAAAAAACACAGAAATAAAGCCTTTTTGTAACAATTGGTTGACTGGTGTCCTGACAACATGAACGCCTATATTTGATGGGGTTGTTTTAACGAATCAAAATAAAGTTCAGATTCAACTTAACGTTACACACATTACTGTACTCGGAAAACCTATTTAAGCATAAACTCATTTATTATTAATAATTATTAAGGATTATTATTGCACACAAATTTCAGTATAAATATGCACAAAACAGAAGAATCAAACGTAAATTTATTTCCTGTAAGCGGGTACCAGGGCTGTGAATTACAAACTAACAAAGAGTTCATGCTCTTCTGAAGACTCTCACTCCCGTGTTCTCAGAAATGGTCGAATTTCTTGATCAAAAATCAATTCCCTCTCTTTTCGGTCTGCAAATCAGCTGTCATGAAAGTTCACCACAGATTTTACACCACACACAGCCCAGCCCACCAGGACCAGTTGAGAAACAAGAGAAGATTAGCAAACTCGGTCTTTTGATATTCCGGCTTGTAACAGTCCTAAATGCTGGTGTCATTAGTACTCAAATGTCGTGGCGAGAGGCAATGCCACATTTCAGTGGGAACAAAGCTAATGGCAGGTCAATACTACACAAACTAATAACCCTCAACGTACTTCAGACTGTGATACTGGACATTACTGGGCTCTTTGTGTCTGGCGTCCAGACCGACACACGTTTCACAGTTCAGATGCCCACCCAACTCTACCTGACTGAGCTGCAGGACTTTGGTCTCAGCCCATCACCCATTTTGCCATCACGCTGCAGGAGAGGGAAAGTGCCTCAACTCCCAAGTTGAGTGAGTGGTATCACGAGCCTGGGAACTCACTTGGATGGACATCTTAGCACACTAACCGCATGTGGCATTTCATAAGGCAAACCCAACTACCCTGTGCCGAACATTCAATAGCTCGTTACCAGCTCCCAGGACGGAAACCTTCTCCTTAACTCGTCATCCTCTGTTCTGGGTTGCTCATGGCGGTCGCTTTTACAAAGATACAAGACATCCCACAACCACGCGCACAGTCTCCTCCCGCCGTACAAAAGTAATGCCAGCACTATCCGTCTAAAGCAACTAGAATTTCATCTGGTAATTGTGAAAATTCGGTTGGAAAATACGACTGTTTTATTTGCAAATCTCATTAAGTTAACTTGACACACATGCCGGAATCGTTTTTTTACCGTGCAGTTGTCCGCAGGCGAGTCAGAGTCCCGATCCCGGCTGAGAGGAGCCTCCGATCGCCTTGCCTGTCCCAGTGTCCGCCTGCCCACCCGCCCGCCCGGGTCAATATACGTGCACCATGCCGTAGAGGAATGTCCAGAAGAGGATGTAAGTGAAAAGCCCCCCGACCAGTCCGCCGGTGAAGAGAGGCCGGCGAGACTTGAAGTACTTTCTCCATAGGCGCCCGGCTTTGACCGTCAGCAGCAGGGAGAGTAGGAACGACGCCACAAAGTAGAAGACGAAGCCGGTCAAGGCCGTCAGCCCCAGGATACCCGCCGTGGCCCCTGACAGCGCGGACACCGAGGTCCGACAATATTCCAGGACGGCGGCGTTGCCTCGCACTGCCATCTCGCTGATAAACTGCGGCCCGTCTCGCTTGGCGGTCACAGCAGCCATGGTCACCTCGGAAACTCTGCTGGAGGAAAACGAGAGACAGTTTCAGAGTCTGGGAAATTGAGCAGGACTTTGCTCCAAACTTATTATTAATAATAATAATAATAATAATCCTTGCATTTGATACAGCGCCTTATCAGAATACACTGTAAAGCGAATTGATTATCTCAATTGGACTCCTGAAACCAACAAAACTCCCTTCTGATCTCTCTCTCTCTCTCTCTCTCTCTCTCTTTCTCTCCGCAACCCACTGATTTGCTTTGCTCAGGCTCCGGCTGCCCTCTGGCGCCTGAAACCAACTGAACATCCCCCGAGTGTCGCAGGGCCAGATCGGGCTGTGGGGGCACCGCAGCCGAGCAGATCTTTGTCCTCTCCGGTGAGAGCTATAAGCCCCAAATTCCCCCCCGAGAGAGAGAGAGAGTGTATTAGGCGCAGGTCAGCAAGAGCCAAGGATTGGGGGGGGGGGGGGGGAGTCCAGAGTGTGCAGTGGTGGTGATGGTGGGGGTCCAGAGTGTGTGACGGTGGGGGTCCAGAGTGTGTGGTGATGGTGGGGGTCCAGAGTGTGTGGTGGTGGTGGGGGTCCAGAGTGTGCGGTGGTGGACCACCCACCGCTACCCGCTCGGCCTTTGGTTCGCGGGGTCAACGGGAGCTGAGAGGGCGGAGGAGGAGGAGGAGGAGGAGAGGAGTAATAATAATAATAATAATAATAATCGTCGCATTCGGACCCGGAGCCTTATCGCGTCTTCGAGGTCGTCTCAAAGCCCTTCACGGGAATATACCGTAAAGTGTAGTGACTGTGTGGAGTGTGTGTGTGTGTGTGTGGGGGGGGGAGGGCCGGGGCTGCGTGTCTGGTGGGGCCGCTCGGCTGGAGACCCTCGCGAGAGGCCTGAGGGGAGGGCCTGAGGCTCAACAGGGAGCACAGGCCTGAGGCCCCGGGGCTGGGACCGAGCCGCGAAGGCCTCCCCGGGACTCGGGTAAAGAGAGGCCGGGGGTGGGTGGGGGGGGAGGTGGGGAGGCCGGGGGTGGGGAGGGAGGGAGGGAGAGGCCGGGGGTGGGGAGGGAGGGGCCGGGCCGCGGGGTGTGCGGTACTCACCAGCCTGACCGGGGGCGCGCGTGTCTCGGGCGTCAGTGACGGTGACCGACGCCTGCGTCACCGCGCGACCCCTGACCCCGCTCTGCGCGATGACGTAGGTCGGTGCTGCACATCGTCTCCCCCCCACACACACACACAGACCCCCCCACACAGACCCCCCCACATACACAGACCCCCACACACAGACCCCCCCACACACAGACCCCCCACACCCTCCCCCCCACACACAGACCCTCCCACACCCTCCCCCCCACACACAGACCCCCCCACACCCTCCCCCCACACACAGACCCCCCACACCCTCCCCCCCACACACAGACCCCCCACACACAGACCCCCCACACCCTCCCTCCCACACACAGACCCCCACACACAGACCCCCCCACACACAGACCCCCCACACACAGACCCCCCACACACAGACCCCCCACACCCTCCCCCCCACACACAGACCCCCCCCACACACAGACCCCCCCACACACAGACCCCCCCCCACACAGACCCCCCCCACCCTCAACCCACATAGACCTCTCCCCCCCTCCCCCCCACACCCTCCCCCCCACATAGACCTACACCTAAAGACCTACCCTTCCCCTAAAACCTACACCCCAACCCTATTCACTGCCAAACCCGGCTCCCCCACAAACTCCTGCACCAGCTACCCACGCCCATAACCCCCTAACCCTCCCCCCCCCCCCACACACACACCCCCCAGACCCAACCCCACATACATACACACCAACACCCCCCCCCCCACATCCCCCACACCCCAAAACCCCCAAATCGCAGCCTCCCCGCCCACGACGTGATGCCGCTCACTGACTGGCTGACTGATGGTGGCCCCAGACCAGGATCGTGACACCTGCCCAGCCCGCGGGGGCTAACCCTGGGCTGCCGGCGCCTGGAGACGTCCTCCCGACGTGACAGACGCTGCGTCAGTATACAAATGTAAATCTCGCGCGAGTCCGACAGAGCATTTACTAACCACAGTCCATGGCCCCGGCTGGACAGGTTTGAGCTGGTGTCTTGTGTACCATGAGTGCGCCATGTCAGAGCTACGTGCTGGGCTTGGATTTAGGCACCAACTCGGTGAAGGCGGTGCTGGTGGAGTCAAAGAGTCGGATCCTGGTCAACACACAGACTCGCGACACACTGGCCAGCGCCCCGAGCCAGGACGGGGAACAGGTGATGATGATGATGATAATAATAATAATAATAATAACTTGCATTTGACACAGCGCCTTATCACGTCTTCCAGACGTCTCAAAGCGCTCCACAGGATACGCCATCGAGTGGATTAACTCTTGTGTTTTAATTTAATATTTAATTTAGTTTTACGGGCGAAACGCGGCGAAAGTNAAAAAATCCCAAGAGAAATGGCGGCCACATCCAATGGGCCGTTTACACTTAGAATCATTCATTCACCGGGCTTCTTGCTGAGGTTGAAGTGGCTTTTTTAACGCAAGATCAGATTTATCTTAATCTGTTAAAACTAGTCCATAGAGCCTTCAGTATTTCCAGAGACTTGTTAAACACAGAGCAGTAAACCCTGGCGTCGTCTACCAGGTGGAAGAGATACCATTTCAGGGCAGGCTAGGGTTTGGCGGGTGCCTCCTGCCTGTTTGCCAGTTGTGTGTGTGTTTACAGGCTCGAGAGCAGGATGTGAGCAGGATTGTGAGTGCTCTACACCAGTGCCTGGCTGCTCTGCCCGGAAATCGCCTGCACAAGGTGGTGCGAGTCGGAATCTCGGGACAGATGCACGGAGTTGTGCTGTGGGCAGCCAAGGCAGGTAAGAGCAGCCCAACGCCCCCAGTGACGGGTTCATGAAGGGCTGAAGCCACATCGTTTCTATTGGGGAGCGATCCAAAATCAAACCAGCCCGGGCGTTTGTAAGAGGTTGGATTGAAGGCACTGGTGACCAACAACAACAACTTGCAATTATGTAGAGTCCCTCACGCAGGGTAGGGTCCTGGGGGCTCTGGAAATTCCAGTCCCACTGAAATGCCAAAACCAGTAAAATAATTCAAGCGCTCCGAGACGCCTTCTGGCTTTATATAAATGCAAGTTGTTGTTGAAGCTCAGACTTGTAGTCAGGTTATGTGGCCAACTGTGCTGCGCAGATTGCTGCGAAACAACACGTGGTATGAATACACTGATATTATCACATCCTGGACTATTGTTCCACCAACATCAAGCCATTTTATCACTGCTTTGCCAGAGTACACGGTGCACCTTGATTGCAATCACCTTTTGATACGGTGCCAATGTGGGTCTGACTCAGTTGGTAGGACTCTTGCCTCTGAGGCAGAAGGTTGTCGGTTCAAGATCTACTAAACCCACAATGTAGGTTTATACTGCAATACATGGTCGGAGGTGTCGTCCTTCACCTTTATGTGAGACGTTAAACAGAGGTCCTGTCTGCCTGTTCAGGTAGACGTTAAAGATCCAATGGATCTGTTGAAAAGAGAAGGGAGATTCCCCCAGTGTCCTGGCCTACAGTCGTTCAGATAAAATTGGTCACTCTCTTTGTGGACGTTTTGTGGGACACTGTTTTGTGCAAATTGGCTGCTGCGCTTCAATTGCAAATATACAGTCACTTTACAATAAATCTTGTGTAGCAGGTTGAGACATCTCCCAAGTGCTCCAGTATCTCAGCTTCTCCTCCCTCAGCCTTCACTGAGTTCAAGGGCAGCCTTGATGTCTCTGAGCTCTCCCATCACAGACAACAACCACAAATTGCACGTATGGCCCCTTTCACATCGGGAGCACGTCTCTGGGAGCCGGTGGGTTTCCGGTGTCTGGGATGGTTGGTGTTGGGAGTCTGTGATATCTTGCGATGTTCTGTTTCAGGCTGTAGCTGGCAGGCGAGTGCAGATGGTCTGACATTCCTCCCTGAGCAGGTCAGTCAGCTGGTCACGTGGCAAGATGGTCGCTGCAACAGCGAGTTCCTGGCTTCCCTTGCGAGGCCAGATTCCCACATCCTTCCTTCCACCGGCTTCGGCTGCGCCACCCTCTTCTGGTACCTGAGAAACAGGTAGAAATCTCTAAATTACTCTTCAAAATATCATCCGAAGTCGGGAATTATTTTGCCATCCTTCTAAGTGAACGTAAACGCACAGGTATGGTTGGCCAATGTTAAATTGTTTCTCGGTGAAATGTGTTTTGCCGTGTTTCTCCAGACCCGGCTTTCTGAAGCCTTACAGTGCAGCGGGGACTATCCACGACTATGTTGTGGCCATGTTGTGTGGGCTTGAAAAGCCTCTGATGTCTCCGCACAACGCAGCGAGTTGGGGGTATTATAATACCAAAAGTGGGTCCTGGAATTTGCAAATGTAAGTCCGCTTTCTCTTCTTGGTTTGGGATCTGCCGGGTGTCGCCCACAAAACACACAGTAACTACCCTTTACAGCATATTCTGTGAAGCGCTTTGAGGCTTCTCAAAGAGGCGCTGTATCAAATGCAAGGATTATTAGTATTATTATTATTATTATTTGTTTCTTCCTGTCATAGTCTCGGCGATGCTGGTTTCCCCACATGGCTGCTGCCCACAGTGGTGGAGCCGGGCACCGTGGCTGGCCAAACATGTAGCGAGTGGTGTGGGGTGCCCCAGGGTACGGATGTTGGCGTGGCCTTCGGGGATTTCCAGGCCGCTGTGTACTCTTGCATGAAGGAGAAGACTGATGCAGGTAAGAGAATCAACATGTCAGATTGCGCACTTAATGTTGTGGAGCCCTGTAGCTTAGTGGTTAGTCCTCGCAAGCGAGAGGACCTGGGTTCGATTCCCGGGCAGAGCGAAACATTGGGCAAGTTTCCTCACTCCACACACACGCACAACTCTGTTTACCTCGCAGTAAGTCAGAACCCGGGTGTCAATCGATTGGCGGATCACTTTTCCGGGGGTAATAATCCCTTCAAAATAAAATAACAATAATAATTTGGTCACTCAGTTTGTGGGGACGCTGCTGTGCGCTGCCGTGTTTCGCCCACAGAATATACAGTCAAATCACTTTACAGTGTATCCTGTGAAGCGCTTTGAGACGTCTCGAAGACGTGACAAGGCGCTGTATCAAATGCCAGGATTATTATTTTTATAATATTATTACTATAATGTTATATTTCCGGCGCATTTGCTGGTAAATCGGACAAAACACTCTGGCCCCGATTCATTTTTTTTTAGACAGAAGCTGTTTGCTAGACCGGTTCAGTTACTATCTCTTTGGTTCCCCAGTTCTGAACATCAGCACCTCGGCACAGTTGACTTTTGCCCCGGCCCCAGGATTTGAGCCACCGGCCCAGCCTAACCCAGGAGCAGCCGTTGCCTATGTGCCGTACTTTGACGGGACCCACTTGGCTGTAGCAGCGGCTCTCAACGGCGGGAACGTGTTGTCCACCTTCGTCAGGACGGTGACACAGTGGATGCAGGAGCTGGGTAAGAAGCTGAGAAGTATTCGTAGAAGGTTCGGGTGATTGTCTGCTGTGCGCAGTTGGCTGCCGCAGTCAATTCACTTTACGGTGTATTCTGTGAAGCGCTTTGAGACGTCTCGAAGACATGCTAAGACGCTGTATCAAATGCAAAGTTTATTATTATTATTACTGTCCAGTTTACCGATCAATGTGTTTCTTCCTCACCTCTAACTACCCAGGCGGTCTGCCCCTTTTTCACTCAGTGTCTCTGTTCCCTGTCTCCCTCAGCCTCTGTCCCCTAACAAGTCAGTTGACTAACAACTGGGTTCCTACTTACCGCTAGGTAAACAGAGGCGTGTGGAGTAAGGAAACTTGCCTAAGGTTTCGACCTGAATTGTGATGATAAAACGTGAAGTGAAAAATGCCCAAAACTGCCAGCGTCGCCCAGTCGCCACTGAGGACAATTCGGGCAGTTTTGGGGGGGGCCTTTCAGACTTTTCAGTTCCAGTTTTTGTGGTGTGGTGGAGATTTTAACAGTTCCCCAAGACCTTTTGAAACGGTTGAGGATCTGAAGGTAGCACAGGTGAGAAAGCTCTAACCGGGTTGCCCTCGGGGATGGTTAATCTCCGCATTTTATTCCCCTTTTCCTAGGCCTGGATGCCCCGGCGGAACCCATCATCTACTCCCACTTGATAGACGCAGCCCGTGACCTGCCTCACACTGATCTCACCATTCAGCCAACCTTGTTAGGAGAGAGGCATTTGCCTGGTCAGCTGGCATCCGTGCTTAACATCTCTCCAACCAACCTGTCCTTGGCCCACCTAACCAGAGCCCTGTGCCGTGGGGTTGTGGAGAACATCCATTCCATGTTGCCATGCAGGCAGCTGGTGGAGGCGGGGGTGCGGAGGATTCTGGGCAGCGGCAGCGCCCTGCTGAGGAACGAGGTGCTGAGACAGGAGGTGGAGAAAGCCTTCCCTCTGCCCATCCAGTACGAGCAGGAGACAGATTCCGCGTTCGGGGCTGCTCTGGCCATGATGGGTAAGCAGTAGCCAAAGGCTCAGACCATCGAGACAATATCTAATGACAATGGTACCATATTGCTGATGGCAGTGATTGCTGATGGATAAAGAGGGTGTGGAGACACAGCACCTTTGGGGACGTCCTCCTGACGTGAAAGGTTCTAGATCAATGTTGGGGGGGCGGGGGTTGTGTTTTACTTCATCAATGCTGGAGCCTTTTTGAAGGATGGAATAGATACACCAGGAGGGAACGGGCAAGCGAGGGTTGGGTAGGAGGGGGGCGAGAAAAACAGAGAAAACCAAAAAGAAACACAACATTTTTCCACCGGAGAATTCCTCACCGGGTCACTGAGTAAAGAGAGACAGCGACACAGGAGCATTGCACCAACTGCAGGAGAGCATTGCTCAGTGTCCTGCAGGATTGATTCCCACTGGTCCTGTCTGTCTTTTGCACCAGCGTTGGTCAGATATCATCAGAACTCAAGTGTGTTGTCGGCTTTGTGATGGAGCCAGGCAGTCAGCCTGGAAGAGCAGAAGCAGGCAGTTGACAACCGATCTCATACTCTTACAACATTTCTTTGCTGAAGTTTCCAATTTTAAAATGTTAATTCTCATTAATTGTTAAATTTTACGATTTTCAATTCGTTGCCAATAAAATGGCTGAAAGTTGCTGATTGTAGTTTGTCGTGATTTGTGCAATTCCAAAGGACAAAACACACTGAGGTTTATAGGTTACGTTGAGTAATCCCGGAAACTATTAGGCACAGGTTTGCCAGAGAAAGCCAATGTCCCTGGTTTAACGCAAGTGTGTGTCAGCCTGGCTCACGCCGTGCATTTCTGTGGTTCTAAGGAACAGATATTTTTTCCCCCTCTTAATCTTTTTCTCAGTGAGGATGAATTTAGTTTGATGAGCAACTGGCAGAGTCTTGGTCTCTCGCTGTGGTTATAATATCTATCTAATGTTCCTGTGAGTTTGCGACTTAAAACTCGGGCAACTCAACATTCCTCTCTACTGACGTGAATTAATGAATATTTCACGTTGCTTTCCTCATTGTCGATCAGTGCATTTGAAATCTGCATTAATGACCTTGGGACGTCCTCCCGACGTGAAAGGCGCTATACAAATGTAATCTTGTTGTTTTTAAGAAAACGGTGTTTCAGTGACCTGGTTAACAACAACAACTTGCATTTATATAGCGCCCTTCACGCCGGGTAGCGTCCCAGAGAGCTTAACATAATAAAAACGACGTGTTTTCGGGTTCGAGGTTATATCGGGCGGTCAGTGGGTGGCAGAAGGCTGGAGATTGACAACCTTCAAAAATGATCCTTTTCGCACTCTCCTCCACACCTTAGCGTTAGTCCACACATCGAGGAACATATTGTAAGCACTTACAGCGTTGCTGACTTCTTGTGTGTCTGAAAGCTCTTCAGCTTTTATTGCCTGCTAATCACCTGTTTTCTGAGCAAAAGAGTCTGTTAATGGCTTTCACAGCCTCCCGAGACTCCGTGTATATTACATTACGCTGAGCAGAGAGCTTCTGGGCTTGGTTTCAAGAGCAAATGCACCCTTTTCGAATTTATCGATAAGGTACTCAGGCTGTGCTCTGATATGCCCAGGGGACAGAGTAAACAGCATCTCTCACTCTCGTCCACTGTGCTGTCTCTGTCTCCTGACTATTTTAAGAAGCTAACCTCATAAATGAGATGGACAGCGCTGGCAAGCTGACTTTCCTTCCTTCTTCTCCTCCTCCTCCCGTGCACGCCTTCATCCCTCCATCCGACCGAACCCAGCCCCTGGTCGCCATGAGCTGAGCTCCACCCTCGGTTGCGGAAAGAAAGTCTTCAAGACAAAGGAAATTGATTGTAAGATAATCTAACGGTTTCTTCCGCCAGAGGACGTCTACCAACACATCCGAGAGGATCTGAAACACTGTGTTGCTACCCATGGTGTAAGTGTGCCATATACGCTCTCCCTCTCTTTCTCACCCTGTCTCTCTATCTCTTTCTCTCTCTCTGTCTTGGCAGTTGTTTGTCATCTTCTGGACCATCCTGAGCTTTGACAATGAACACCTGTCCTTGTCAAGTGGTTGTGGATTGGAAAGGAATGGGAGTTCCCTGTATTTTGTGCAGAAATGAGTCAGTTCTGGACAAAACAATTGTTTCAGATCCACAAAGCGTTGTGGTCAGACGGAGCTTGCTCGTGTTGTATTTATGTTTGACTTATTATAACCGTTTAATTCCTCTGGTTTCTACTACAGAACACTGACTGTCAGGAAATCCAACAAATGAATAAGTGACGAAATAAATAACGTGGTCCCTCAATCCACGAATGTTTACGGGGCTCTTCTGTGTGCAATTGGGGTTGGGGGTTTGCCGTGTTTCACCCACAAAATATACAGTCAACCCACTTTACTGTATATTTACAGTGAAGCACTTTGAGACATCTCAACGGAGTGATAAAGTGCTATATCAAATGCAAGGATTATTATTAATAATTATGTTGTGTTTTGCAGGTGAATGCAAATAACAGCCACCGCAAGTCCAGGTTTACAGGTAACATAACATAACATGTAGGAGCAGGAGTAGGCCATTCGGCCCTTCGAACCTGCCCCGCCATTCAATCATAGCTGATCTTCTAATCTAATGTCAGGTAATAACATAACGCTGCCTTATCCCCATATCCCTTAATCCCTTTTGCAATAAGAAATATTTCTATCTCAGTCTTGAATATGTTCAAGGTATGTCCTGTCATAGACTTTTCTGAGGAGGTGACAGCCCAAACTGACTATGATGTAGTATTTCTAAACTTCCAAAAGGTGTTTGACAAAGTACCTCACGAAGGATTCCTTCTCAAACTGTGGTTACTGGGTATCAAGGGCAAGATATGGACGTGGATTCAGGCTAAGCTGATGCTTCAGTGCGGTGCTGGGGAGGTGTTGCATAATCAGAAGTCCCGTCTGCCTGTTCAGGTGGATATTAAAGATCCCACGGTGCTATTTGAAAAGAGAAGGGACTTTCTCCTGAGCACGAAAAATAATATTGGTCGCTCATTCCGTGGCTGTTTGTGGGACACTGTTGTGAGCAACTGGCTGCCACGTTTCGCCCACAAAACACACAGTCACTACACTTTTACAGCATATTCTGTGAAGCGTTTTGAGATGTGATATCAAATGCAAGGATTATTTTATTTATTATTACTACCAGGAAAGGTGGTTGAGGCCAGGACACTGGGTCATTGAAGGAACAGCTTGATCCTGTGACGAGAGCGTCTTGGGGTGGATGTGCTGGAGGGATGAGATCAGGAATGGGCTGAGGGACCTTCTTCCTCTGACCATCTCTCGTGTCGCTACGAACCAGGAGTTTAGAGAACAGAAACTTTGGCTGTTTGTGTAACTGGGAAGAGGTTGTGGGAAATTCTGCTACGTCTGAGAATATTCTGCGTGACACGGATGGAGGAGAGGGGATGAAGCCGTGTTTTGACTGTCATATTCGAATATGTCTCAGTCTTCCAACCAGTGAGGTTTGAGATAAAGGAAGTGGTCAGAGACACACTATTGACAATACTCTCACGCCACAGTTTATAAAAACAGACAGATATTTACTGATTACAGGCTACTTCAACCCAGATCCCTTATTAAAAGGGAACTTACTTTCGGTGGGAAACACCCAACAACGCAAGTAGAGCCAAACGGGTAGAGGGATGTCTTCTTAACAGTATTGAAACGTCCCGATCTCTCGTCGCTGGTCGTAGAAAGTATCTGTCGAGCGGAGGAATCCAATCCTGAGAGACGTCAGCTAAAGACAAGAGATCAAGAGGGTTTTTTATTCCCATCCCAGTGCCATCCCTGTGAGTAACCGCCATCCCTACCCTGGAGCAGGGAAGTTTTGCCCTCACTTTACACTCAGCACGCGGCACGCTGCAAGACAGATGTCCGGGCATTTGGTAGTCCTGCAGATTAGTGGAGGATTATTAACAAATTAATAACGTGTTCATTCAATCCACGGTATTAATATAATTATTCTTATTATTCGGATTCTCCGGACTCCGAACTTTAAGATCCATTCAAACCGTGTTCGTATTTTAACGCATTTTAAGTAAAACCCTAACACGCGGAGTGAGCAGAGACATTCTGAGGGACAGAAGCTACTTTGAATTATTTTGTTGCTTCTAAGCTCTGGGAAGCTGCGTTACAGTGACTGTGTGCGTGAGACGGAGATTTACAAGCCAGCCTGATTAATACACATTCAGGCTGGTAATGTTAAGCGCTCTGAGACCCTGTCTGGCGTGAAGGGCCCTACAAAAAGGCAATTTGTTGTTGTTGTATGTTCGTGTTTAGAGCCGCTCCGAAAGCCACTGAAACCCTGGTCCGTGCTTTAGTCACCTCTCGGCTGGACTAGTCTAATGTCCTCCTCGCCGGCCTCCCCTCCACTGCCATCCATAAAATCCAGATCAATCAAAACTCTGCCGCCCGCATTCTCACCCGCACCAAACTCCGCTCCCCGACCCCCCCAGTCCTGGCCAGACTGCACCGGCTGCCTGTCCCAGAGAGGATCGACTTCAAGATCCTCACCCTTGTATTCCAATCCCTGCACTCCTCTGCACCCCCGACTTCTCTGACCTCCTCTCTCCTCAAAACAGTACCCGTTACCTTCGTTCCTCCGGGTCTGGCCTCCTCCTCGTCCCCCGAGTCCTCTGCTCCACCCTCGGCGGCCGTGCCTTCAGCCACTACGCCCCGAGGCTCTGGAACTCCCTTCCTCACTCCTTTTGCCTCGCCCCTCTCTCCTTATTTTCAGGTCTTTGCTGAAGACCTTTCTCTTCGACCGCGCCTTTGGTCTTTTTTTTCTCTACGGGGGATTGTTAGCCAGGACGCCAGGAGAAACTCCCTTCTGTTTTCGAATAGTGCCATAGGATCTTTAACGTCCACCAGAGGAAGCACAGACAGGACCTCGGTTTAACGTCTCATCCGAAGGACTGCACCTCTGGTGATATAACGCTCCCCCAACACTGCACTGGAGCATCAGTCTAGACTGAGCTCAGAGTGTCGACGTGGAGAATCAACGCACAACAGTTTGATTTAGGCACGACACACACGCTCACTCGCACACACACTCACACACACACACTCACACGCACTCACACACACACACTCACATGCACTCACACACACACACACACTCTCACGCACTCACTCACTCACACACACGCGAGTCTGCTTTTCAGCCAGACACATTGTACTTTGTTTAATGTGCCAAAAGAGGATTTGAAGCAGGAAACCAACAAGAATAAAGATGATTCCCGTCAGTTGGCAGATAAAAAAAATATAATTTGCTTATGTGGTGGTGTTGTGAGAGGAAGAAGTGTTTGCTGAGATAGAGCTGATCACACAGGGAAGTGAGAGGGCATGCTGACACCCAACAGTTGCGTTTTGAATAGTAATCATTAAAGACTCGATAATAATAATTATTATAATTATAATTCTTATTAAAGACTTATAGCGTTGATGGTGCAGAGAGAGAGAGTGACAGACAGAAGCATTGCAACAGCTCTGTCCCATCGCTAGTGAAATTCTATTGTTAAAATTGACATAGTTATTGTAGGAATGTGGGAAGCAATTTGGGAACTCGCTCCAAATCGTAGGTTGTCACTCAGACTACGTGTAATACAGGGTGTCCACAAAGTCCTGTGGTACAGTCAAACACTTGTCCTGAAACAGTTAAGTACATTACGCCTCAATACAATTATCACCAGCCTTCCACCCGTTTCCGTTGTTGGTCAGTACGCAGTTGGGAGCGAGAAAAAGTATGGGGTAACAGGACTTTGTGAACACCTTGCATTTCATTAACGTTTGAAGCAGTCAGGAACTGTGTACAAATCCCGTCAGGCAAGTTGTGCAAATCGGCTTTGGCGATGACGGCCGCCAATGGGAATTTCCCAATGTAATCCCACATCATCAAGCCCACCGCCACGTAACATTGAGCACAATTCCTCGTGGGAAAACACTCCTGTATGTTGTGTAATAACACACTGCGTGTTGCTGACTATAACACTATTATTGGCTGCCACCGTTCGCCTACAAAATATACAGACAATTCACTTTCCTGTGAAGCGCTTTGAGACGTCTCGAAGAAGTTATAAGGCGCTGTATTAAACGCAAGGATTATTATTATTATAACAACACACCACGTATTACTGGCTATAACTGTATATAATGTAATAACCCACCGTACAGGATACAGGACTGTGCGTATGATATAACACCTCAGATTATCTCTCTTTAATACACAGGACGACCAAAAATTTGTGATAAGTCTTGAAGAAATTATGATTTTGTTTAGATAATAGAGTAGCTGAAAAGTAAGACTTTTTGGTCAACCTAGATTACAGAAGCCTTTTGGAGTCCTGTAGCTCAGTGGTTAGAGCACTCGCCTTGCAAGCGAGACACCTGGGTTCAATTCCAGGCAGAGCGAAACCTTGGGCAAGTTTCCTTACTCCACACAGAGCCCAATAATAATCCCTCCAAAACCAAACAATAATAAATTGGTCATTTTCAATCCGCGGCTGTTTGTGGGACATTGCTGTGCACAATTGGCTGCCGCGTTCGCCCACAAATATACAGTCAATTCACTTTACGGTCTATTCTGTGAAGCGCTTTTCTTCACTTTACAGTGTATTCTGTGAAGCGCTTTGAGACGTCGAGAGGATGTGAAAAGCGCTATATCAAATACAAGGCTTATTAGTATTATTATCTGACCTTGTGTGCGCTTGGTATTTTGTGTAGGTTCGCTGAAACGTTACCCCAGTACCTGTTATCGGTGTGTGTTTGCCGAGTCGCTCCTGTGGGATGAGGCGAATGGACAATGAAGACCCTTCGGAAGCGACCGAAACAACAACTGTGAATGCAGACACGGACCACGTGTTCACCGAGGACGAGAGCTCGGACAATGCCCTGGGGCACGAGGGCGGGGGTGAGGTGTGGGAGATACCACACGGCTTCAAGGCGATGAAGAGAACAGCTCATCGCTACCACTTCGGCCTCAGGGAGTTTGAGGGTTCCAAAACCAAAGTGCCGATGGATTCCTTTTACTCGATAGACTATCAGCTGTCACCGAAGGACAGTAGGTTCGGCTCTCAGGACTCCGTGTGGAGTGGAAAGTAAGGAGGCGGCGAGTTTGGCGTGGAAACGCGCTTTGGGACCCTGCCCTGCGTGAGGGGCCGCTGCGATATAAATGCCGGTTGTTATTATAATTATAATAATCCTCGCATTTGATATAGCGCCATCTTTCTTATCTCGTGGAGTCCTGTAGCTCAGCGGTTAGAGCACTCGCTTCGCAAAGGAGAGGGAACCTGGGTTTGATTCCCGGGCAGGGCGAAATGTTGGGCAAGTTTCCTTACTGCGCACGCCTCTGTTAAACCCAGCCGTAAGTAGGAACCCGGTTGTTGGTTGATTGGAGGATCCTTGTCCAGGGGTTATAATCCCTTCAGAAAAAAATGGTAACAACAGTTTGGTCGCTCAATCCACGGCTGTTTGTGGGGACGCTGCTGTGTGCGATTAACTGCCGTGTTTCGCCCACAAAACATACAGTCAGTTCACTTTACAGCGTATTCCGTGACGTGCTTTGAGACGTCGAGAAGACGTGAAAAGGCGCTGTACCAAATGCAAGGATTATTATTATTGATATTAAGTTTTTCACCTATAACTCCCCCGTTCCCCTCCCCCACGGAACCCACGTACCCGCTCTGACCCGTTCTGACGGTATCTGATGCTCTTGTCAACAGGAATCAAGCTTTCAGACCCCCGGTCAGCAGTGAAACCGACTCGTCACCCAGTATCTACAACCGGCACTGGCTGTTTGAGATGGTGTCCAAAGGCACGGCCAAGGAGTTAGATGGGTTTGAGGAGCATCTGATGAGGAACAAGAAGTATCTGACCGACTGGGAGTACAAAGGTACCACAGGCTGATTGCGTCCTCTCCTGCAGGCACTCACCCAGAGACTGGTTAATAGTGAAGCAGAGCAACAGTGTCGACCAACAACTCACCCCTGGGGAACCGTGAACCCCCATCCACTCCTCACTTCACTCACCCCTCAAATCCTGGTTACCCTGGCTACCCCATCCCTCTCCCTCCAGCCCCCTCTCACAGTCTCCAACCCCCGTCCCTGTGAAACTGGAGCTGAGGTGGATAGATGTTTGTGAGGTCGGGGTATTCAGCGATACGGGGGTAATTGGACTTGAGGTACAGATCAGCCATGATCTTAGAGAATGGCGGAACAGGCTCGAGGGGCTGAATGGCCTCCTCCTGACCCTGTGTTGCTATGTTGCTGTGTTTCTTCCTTTCAGATCCAGAGACTGGAAAGACAGCGTTACTGAAGGCATTGCTGAACCTCAACAACAAGAAGAACGACACCGTCTCCCGGCTCCTGGAAATCGCTGAGAAAGGGAACAACCTGAAGGAATTCATCAACGCGGCTTACACAGACTCTTACTACAGAGGTAATAATAACGCCTTCCTTACACAATGTACAGGTACAGGCAGCGATCGGGGAGGGTGGGTGGGCGGAGGGGATGGGGTGGGGTGGGGCGGAAGCACTAAACCACATCACATTTAGGGGACCCTTTGAACTCTGCCCGCAAAATATGCAACAGTATATTTTTATGATGCTTTCTTGCGTGACTTAATAGTTGCAAACGTGTCAATTACGTGATCAAAACTTGTTGTGTCAAATAGGGGGTGGGGAATAGAGGGGTGTCGGTGGGTGGGGAATAGAGGGGTGTCGGTGGGTGGGGAATAGAGGGGTGTCGGTGGGTGGGGAATAGAGGGGTGTCAGTGGGTGGGGAATAGAGGGGTGTCGGTGGGTGGTGAATAGAGTGGTGTCGATGGGTGGGGAATAGAGGGGTGTACGTGGGTGGGGAATAGAGAGGTGTCAGTGGGTTGGGGAATAGAGGGGTGTCATGTGGAGTGTAAACAGTGGTAGGGAGAGTGAGTGGGTGCCTGGGTGGGTAGGTGGGTGAATGAGTGGGTGGGTGGGTGGTTGAATGAGTGGATGGGTGGATGGGTGGGTGGGTGGGTGGTTGAATGAGTGGATGGGTGGGTGGGTGGATGGGTGGGTGAATGAGTGGATGGGTGAGTGAGTGGGTGGGTGAGTGAGTGGGTGGGTGAGTGAGTGCGTGGGTGAGTGAGTGGGTGGCCATCCAATCCCTGCGCCCCCGGCGCTCCTCACGGGATTTTCGCCGCGTGTCTCCGGCAGGTCAGACGGCGCTGCACGTGGCCATCGAACGCCGCAGCGCCCACTTCGTGGAGCTCCTGGTCAGGAACGGAGCCGACGTGCACGCCAGAGCCAGCGGGATTTTCTTCAAGCAGAAGAAGAGCGGAGACGGCTTTTATTTTGGTAAGTCGGAGAGAGAGAGAGAAAGAGAGAGACAGACATCGACCGGGGTAACAAAGCCAGCCGGCAAATGTGGGCGCAACGCGGCAGCCAACTGCGCCCGGCGGCGCCCCCTCACCACCAGAGCGCGCAGGTTACCGGTTACTTTAATAGTTTAACGTTTTCTGTTTTAACAGGCGAGCTGCCTCTCTCTCTGGCCGCCTGCACCAACCAGCTGGACATCGTCACGTTCCTGCTGGAGAACCCTCACAGCCGGGCTGACGTCTCGGCCGTGGATTCCCGGGGGAACAATGTGCTGCACGCCTTGGTGGCCGTGGCTGACAACACGCCCGAGAACACCAAGTTCGTCACCAAGATGTACAACGGCCTCCTGATGAAGAGCGTCAAGATCAGACCCCTGGAGAACCTGGAGGCCACCACCAACAAGAAGGGGCTGACGCCGTTAAAGCTGGCTGCCAAGACGGGCAAATTGCAGGTGCGGTTGTCGGCCGCAGAGGGATGCACGCGTGTGCTCGCTCGCTCGCTCGCACGCTCACTCACTCACTCACTCACACACTCACTCACTCACTCACTCACTCACTCACACACTCACTCACTCTCTCACACACTCTCTCACTCACTCACACACTCTCTCACTCACACACTCTCTCACACACTCACTCATTCACTCACTGACTCACACACAAACGCACAAACTCTCTCATTCAGTCTCACACTCTCACTCACACACACACTCACTCACTCACTCACTCTCTCAAACACTCCCTCTCTCACACACACTCACGCACACTCGTACACTCATTCATGCCCTCACACACACACGCACACACACACACACACACACATCATCCACTATTAATAATGATAATGTGGTCGCTCAATCTACGACAGTTTGTGGGCTGCTGCAGTGCCGCAATGGGGCTGCCGCGACTCGCCCACAAATCACACAGTCACTACACTTTCCTGTGAAGCGCTTTGAGATGTCTCGAAGATGTGATGAGGCGCTGCGTCAAATGCCAGGTGGGGTGACCCCCACCGATCGGCTGCTGCGCTCACTCACTGAGCTCTGGGTTTCAGCTGTTCAAAGACATTATGGGCAGAGAGGTCCAGGAGGAGGAATGCCGCCACCTTTCCCGGAAGTTCACAGAGTGGGCGTACGGACCAGTGCACTCCTCGCTGTACGATCTCTCGTCCCTGGACACGGACGACGAGCAGTCGGTGCTGGAGATCATCGTGCACGGCACCAAGAACGAGGTAACTGAGCAACACGACACCCGACGCAAGGATGGGGGGAAGTGGGGGGGTGGGGTGGGTGGGGGAGAAAGCGGGGTAGAGCTGGTGGGGGGAGCATTGGGAGGGAGTGTGAGGGAGGGAAGAGGGAGGGGGGGGGAGAGCGGGGCGGAGGGGGGAGGAAGCCCGAGGGGACAGAGCGAGCCTTGTGCCCCGACCCGGTGTCTTGCTTTGCAGTTCCGCCATGAGATGCTGTTGGTGGAGCCCCTCAACAAGCTCCTGCAGGAGAAATGGAACAAGTTTGCCCGCTTCATCTTCTGCGTGGACTTCTTCATCTACTTTGCCTACATGACTGTCTTCACCCTCGTGGGCTACAACAGGAAAGAAAACATGACGGTAGGCCAGCTTCCTTAACGACGGTCTTGATTACGCGTTGGCTCTGCCGTGCGTTAATCTTCCTCACGTTTCTCTCTGAGCTCACGGTCTAAGCTGACCCGCCCATGCAGCCCTGAGGGTCTTTCGGGTGAGACGTTAAACCGAGATCCCAGTCCTCCTGTTCTGGTGGACGTTAAAGATCCATTCGGGAAAGAGAAGGGAGTGTGTGTGTCTCTCTCTCTCTCTCTCTCCCGGTGTCCCTGGCCAACAATCCCCCAGATAAAATCGGTCTCTCACTCCATGGCTGTTTGTGGGACAAATTGGCTGCCACGTTCGCCCACAAAACCCACAGTCACTACACTTCGCAGCATAGGATACAATACATTTATACAGCGCCTTTCAGGTGGGGAGGATGTATGTCCCTAACGCAGTATATCCTTGTGAAGTCCTCTGGGACGTCCTCCTGACGCGAAAGGCGCTGTAGTAAATGTAAGGATTATTATTATTATTATAATACGGAGGGCATTTGAGGCAGCTTGACGTGGTCAGACACTATGTGAAACCACAGGAGCGATTTTAATCCTTTATTTTTGCGCTTGTTTCCGACTCCGAGCCAGTGGTAGCGGGCGGTTGTTTGTCTGTCTGATTGTGGTAATATCCAGGTAGTGACCTCGTGTCCTTGTTCTCTCTTGGCCTTTATTTTATTTGCACACAGCTCCCGTTCCCCATCGAACACACCACCGAGGGCTATCTGCGGCTCACCGGACAGATCATCACGCTGCTCGGAGCATTCTACCTCTTTTTCACAGGGGTGAGAGTTCCACTTGGCATTGCGGAATACGCAGCAGACCTCTTGTCGCAGCAGTTGCCGGGCTTTAGATGAGTCGTTAAACCCAGGTCCCGTCCGCGCCCCTTCGGGTGGAACGTTAAAGAGATCCCGCGGCGCTGTTCGCAAAGAGAAGGGAGTTTCTCTCTCTTCCGCTGTTGCAGTCGGTCGAGGGCATTGTCTGCAGGACACCAGGAGAAGGGCTGTTTGTGGGACGTTGCTTTTGAGAGTTTTGCTGCCGAAAGTTCCCTGTGAATCAGTGCTTGTGTGTGCGTGTGCGCGTGTGTGTGTGTGCGTGCGTGTGTGTGTTAGCAAGCTAACCTACCCAGCGATCGCTGTAACCCATTCGCTTTGCTTCGCTTCCCGGCTGTTTACGGGACATTTGCGCGGGAGAATTGGCTGCCGAGTTCGCCTCGCAAATCGCACGGTCACTACGCTGCTTCCTGTGAAGCTCTTCGAGACGAGCTCCTGAGACCGAAAGGCGCTGTGCCTAAATGTGAGGATTACGATGATTATTCTTGGTATTATTATTATCTTTCTCTCTCTTTCAGATTCACACAGTGATTTTCAGGAGGATGTTCAGGGGGAAGAGCGTGAAACCCATCACGGTCGACAGTTACTGTGACATTTTGTCGTAAGTCTGCACAAGTTTCCCTTGAGTTTCCCGTCGGCCAAGCAGCCGGTGAGTGTCGCCTATCGCAGAGGGTGCCAAATTCCGCCCACTCTTAGCCTGCCCGGCCCCCAAAGTTTGAGTGGGTGAAATAGTCCCGAAATCCCGTCTTATTCCGGAAGCTGGGGAAACTGCAGGAAACGGGATGAGTCGGAATAGAGAGTGGAGGAATTTGGCCACTTCCCGCAGCTGTCCTGGAGGAGAGCTTTGGTGCTGCGCTGGTCATAATAATAATAGTAATAATAATAATAATAATAATCCTTGCATTTGATATAGCGCTTTTCACGTCGGGAGGACGTCCCAAAGCGCTTCACAGAACACACTGTCAAGTGAATTGACTGTATATTTGTGGGCGAATGCGGCAGCCAATTGCGCACAGCAATGTCCCACAAACAGTCGTAGATTGAAAATGACCAATTTATTATTGTTTTTGGTTTTGGAGGGATTATTATTAGGCTCTGTGTGGAGTAAGGAAACTTGCCCAAGGTTTCGCCCTCTGCCTGGAACTGAACTCAGGTCTCTCGCTTGCAAAGCGAGTGCTCTAACCACTGAGCTACAGGACTCCACAAATAATAATAATAATAATCCTTGTATTACGTCTTCGAGATGTCCCAAAGGGGATATACTGTAACGTGAACCGACTGCAGGCTCTGTGGGGCGAAACACGGCAGCTGATTGCGCACAGCGGTGTGTCCCACAAACAGCCGTGGATCAAGTGACCAAATTATTATTATTATTTTTTGTTAACCGTCATTTTGTTAAGCCGTCAGCGTGTCTGGTTTTTAACCCCCACCCTCCCCCCCCCACCCCCCACCCCACTTCTGTGTGGCTCTAGTTTTGTCCAGTCTCTGATGCTCCTGGCTTCTGCTCTGCTGTACACGACCGGCAGGAATGAATACGTGGGCTTCATGGTGATCGCGATGGCACTCGGCTGGATCAACACCCTCTACTACAGCCGAGGGTTCTATCGCATGGGGGTTTACAGCGTCATGGTGCAGAAGGTAAGTGCTGAACAACCCCAGCAAGTGCGTGTGGGTCTGTCCGGGCGTGGAGGGCGCTGTACAAGTGTGATTTGTTGTTGTTGTGGTTGTTGTTGTCTTCAACATAGATGTATTTCACTGTGCGAAGCGGGTGGCTTTGCTGTGTTTTGGGGCACACTGTGTCGTGTGCGTTGTGGGTTCTATGTGTTGTGTGCATTCTCTGTGTGTTTCAGTATGTGTGTGTGTGTGTGTGTGTCAGTGCGTCTCGGTGTGTGTGTGTGTGTGTGTCCGTGTGTGTGCGTCAGTGTGTGTGTCTCAGTGTGGAGTGGAGCAGTTCCACCATTAGATGGAAGCAAAGCCATGTTCTGCTCTGTACGGTCAGTCTGTAATCCAGGACACACTTTGCGTTACCAACTTCAGATGGAGGTTTAGGGAAATTGACATTTGATTGAAAAAAAATGTATGCTCACTGCTTGTCTCCTATTTCTCTTCACAGATCCTCGTGACAGATATCCTGCGCTTTCTTATTGTCTACATCGTCTTCCTGTTTGGGTTCGGGGTAGGTAAGTTGACTCATTTTCTGTCAATAAAGAGCCTTAAGACGGAAACCTGGCGCGGGAAAATGGCCAACGTGGGTGAGGGCCTTCGGGTCACGCTGACATCGCTTCCTTCTTAGCTGCATTTCCTGCGTGTGTAACAGCCCACATGTGCCGAGCACGGAAAGGGATGTTAATAGTGCTTCCTGCACATTGCTCACTGAGTCCAGGCTGTTCAGGTGGACGTCAAAGATCCCAATGACACTATTTTGAAAAGAGAAGCGAGTTTTTCCTGCTGCCCTGGCCAATAATCCCCCAGGGAAAAAAAATAATATCAGCCGTGCGACTGGCTGTGGGGACATCGCTGTGCACAAATTGGCTGCTGCGTTTGACTACAAAATGACACAGTCGCTACACTTTACCGTACATCCCGTGAAGTGCTTTGAGGCGTCTCAACCATGTGGAAAAGGATGCGCTGGATCAAATGCTTGGATTGTTGCTGTTATGGAGCTCTACCCCGCAATCCCTCCGCCTCACCCCCTCTCTTGCCTCCTTCGAGTCCCGTATAAAGACCTTCCTCTTCGACCCGTGCCTTCGGCCACCCTCCCACCCCCACGCCTCACTGCCCTTCACCCCTTCTGACCCCAACTGATTGTCCAGCGCCCTGGGACGTCTTTCCGACGAGAAGGACGCTATGCAAGTTTAATTTCTTCTTCTTCTTGTAATTGATTGTAATTCTTAATGTTGTTGTTGTTGTCGTGACTGTTTCTCCCCCCAGCGCTGGTGACCCTGATCGAGGAAGGTCCCCCCAAGGGTCGAATGGCCACCTCCCAGAAGAACTACCGTCTTTTAAGCAAAACGGAATGCGTGTGCGACTCAGGCTACAACACCTACAAAGATCTTTACTCCACTTTCCTGGAGCTGTTCAGGTTCACCATCGGGATGGGCGATCTGGAATTCACAGAGGACTACAAGTTCAAAGAAGTCTTCATTCTCCTCCTGATCTCTTACGTCATCCTGACCTACATCCTGCTGCTGAACCTGCTGATTGCCTTGATGAGCCAGACCGTCGAAAAGATCTCGAAGGACAGTAAAAACATCTGGAAGCTTCAGGTATACAGATGGAGGGCATTTGTGTGTGTCATTGAGATCGGTATCCTGTCTTATTCCTTGCCTTCGATCATCGTTATGTGTCAGCTGTGGCGCAGTGGTAGCGCTCTCGCCTCTGAGTCAGAAGGATGTGGGTTCAAGTGGAATCACATCAGTCTAAACGCTTATGCTCCAATGTAGTGCTGGGGTGGGGGTTGTTGCATTGCCAGAGGTGCCGTCCTTCGGATGAGATGTTAAACTGAGGTCCCAACGAAAGAAAAAGTAAATAAATAAATTGGTCACTCGATCCACGACTGTTTGTGGAGACGCTGCTGTGGGCAATTGGCTGCCGTGTTTCACCCACAAAAACACAGTCAATTCACTTTAATGTATATTCTGTGAAGTGCTTTGAGATGATGTGATAATGCGCTATGTCAAACACAAGGATTATTATTATTATTATTATTTGTCAGGTGTAAGTCTCGAGAGCGAGAGTTACCAGGTTGCTGTATTGTTGGGTATCACAGGCAAAGCCTGGTCTAGCCTTCATCCATCATCACATGTGGCCACCTTCTTGGGAGAGAGGAGGTCATTGGACAGGGATTAGGAGAGAGATTCTCTGACCGGTTGTGTTCCTCCTTATCCAAGTTTCTTCCCCGGGTTTTGGGGATTTCCAAATCTGACTTACTCTTGTTCTCCAGAGAGCCGTGACCATCCTGGATTTGGAGAGAAGTTTGCCCAGGTGCCTGAGGGACAGACTTCGCTCGGGAGAATCTGTGGTGGTGGGGATGACCCCAGATAATAAAGAGGACATGAGGCGGTGTTACCGGTAAGTGGTGCTAAGCTGGAGGTTTCACACACGCATACACACACACGCACACACACACACAGATGCAGGGGACAAGGCCAGAGATGTTACGTCAAAGGGAAAGAGCGGTGGGGCAGCGGGACTGATTGGGTAGCTCTCCCAAAGAGCCGGCAGGATACAGGCACGATGGGGCCGAATGGCTGTAATATTCGATGATTCTAAGCGTACTCGGGGGGCCAAGGCTGATCACGGCTACCAAGGCTGCAATGAGCAGGAGAGCAGCAACAAGTAAGTGGAGTAGTGTTGAGGTGACACCAATCTTGGGGTTTAACAGGCTGTGATTGCCAGCAGAGTTGGGCTGAAAGCAAGGCTGATACAATACAGTACAAAATCAGATTTGCACAGCACCTTTTACGTCGGGAAACCGTCCCATGGACACTACGTACACTGCCTAGAGAACTCGGGGAATGGACTGAGAAGAGGGGGTTGAACGCACAAGCTTTGAATTCTGGACGTGTTGCTTTTCTTTCCGTGGTTTGTCATGTCGTGTTGCGTCCTGAACCCTTCGATGCCGCCCTCGTAGGATTGACGAAGTGAACTGGACCAAATGGAACACGAACCTCGGCCTCATCAATGAAGACCCCGGCAACTCCAACGTGATCAGGAGGTCTAGCCTGGCTCGCAACAGCAGGTTCCGCCGAGGTAAGAGGGGAAATCAGCCAGAAGGTCGCGGGGTTCAGCCTGACGTCAGCGCTTCTTTGAACTCACGGTCTGGCCTGACAATTCAGTGCAGTGCAGTGGGAGCACAGCATTGTCAGAGGTGCCGTCCTTCAGATGAGGTTCAATATCCTCGACTGTTTCTGGGGACGCCTTTTGCCCACGAAACACACAGTCACTACCCTTGACAGCGTATCCTGTGAAGCGCTTTGAGACGTCTCGAAGACGTGACAAGGCGCTGTATCAAATGCAGGAATTATTATTATTATATTATTATTATTATTACCTTTTCCTGTGCTGATGGTCTAAAGCGCCGGGTGTTTTGCTGTGTAGGGGAGAGCGGCTGGCAGAGCATGCTGCCTCTACTGCGTGAAATGAAGACTGAGAAGCAAGAAGAAATCGAGTCGCATGAGATGGACACGCTTACGGGAAGACGGCGACGGAAGCTCTCGGTGACTCCAAAAGATGTCTAGCGCTCGGTCCGGGGATTGCCTGGCTCCCGTGGGAACGCACACAAGGCTGGGAGCTCTCTGCGCGTGTGGCAGTGCTGGGTTGACACGCCTTGTTGTGGTGATGATTATTTTATTCCATCCACAAGAGAAGGCTGACAGCTTCCTCCGAGCCGAGAGAGCGACACCGACGTCGATTTGGAACCATTCGGGAACCAAAGATACTGATGTCGTTGGCCCTGGCACCTCCGACCTGCTCACACTCCGCTCCTCTAACCTCGCTCAGCTGGCTCCGGCCTCCTGCACGTCCCCTCGCCCCCTCCTCTCTGCCATTGGCGGCCGGGCTTTCAGCCACTACGCCCCGAGACTCTGGAACTCTCTCCCTCCATCCCTTTGCCAGTCTTAGGGTCACACCTGAAGACCTTCCTCTTTGACTCACCCTGCAATCAACTCCCCCCAGGCTCCAGCACCATTAAGCACTTTGAGATTCTTTCTCCCGCATGTGAAGGGTGTTGTATAAATGCAAGTTGTTGTTGTTGTTGTTGTTTACCTGTCACAAACACTGGTCACTAACACTGGACAGCACGGAGGCTGAGAGTGGAGATAAACATAGCATTTTGTGTATGATTGTCTCTTGGCTGCTGTAACACTGAGAGACGCCGGGATCCAGGATTTTTGGCCCCCAAAATACAGTCAGTTCACTTAACAGCATATTCTGTGAAGCGCTTTGCGACGCCTCAATGATGTGCTAAGGCGCTGTATCAAATGCAAGGATTATTATTATTCTCACCTGAAATACAAACGTACTCAATACAAGTCGTCCTGCATTTTATCGCTTTACTCCACTTATTGTTATTAAGCAGATTAGTGATCATGGACGTGAACGATGACATTGTATCTACACTTAATGTGGTTTTACCGTCACACGAACAAGCAGTAAACTGGGTCTGTTCCAGTGGAGGAGAATCTATTTCTGAAAGACTGAATTTCCTTCCTCATTTATTGTGTATCATAAGTGGATGTGAGATATTGAGCAAACTTCAAGTCCTGTCTTTTGCCAGCGAGAGATACGCCCTATGGCTGTATCAGTGCCTGTGAGTACATGTCTCTGACTGTGTGTGTGTGTGAGAGACTCTGTGTGTGTGTGTGAGAGACTGTGTGTGTGTGAGTCTGCCTGTGAGTGTATGTCTCTGACTATGTGAATATGTGTATGTGTGTGTCGGTGTATCTCTGACTCTGTGTGCGAGGCAACAGTTTCTCTCTATCCACTCTACCGAAATCCCTCCCAATTTTGAACGCCTCTAGTAAACCTTGGTGATTGAGGAACACCCCTCCCCACACACACACAACAAGTCTCACAGCTTCAGGAGATGAAAAGGAAGGAAACCGGAAAAGAAAACGTTACCAAAAAAAAACAAAGGAAATTGTTTTATTGGGAAAATAGGATGTTAATGTGATGCTGTTCAAGACAGGGAGAAATTAGCAGCTGTAGTGCAATATAATGTAGGTGAACCACACGATGTAGGTCAGTATGATCTCTGACATCCACACTAAATAGTCTGAGAAGAGACTGGCTTGGGAGGTGATGTACTCCAGGAGAACGAAGGAACAGTAGGTGATGCCCTCGAACAGGAGGTAGGAACGGCCGATGGTCAACTCGAAGAGGTTGTACCACAGCCACATTAAGAGGTCAATGGTGTGGTAAATGAGCCACATCACGTAGTCGATCAGGACAGCGGAGAACAAGAGGGTGGCTTCGCGGAGGATGTAAGAGAGCCAGGCGATGAACTCCGCCAACTGGAATGACAGACACAGGGCGTAGTCCTGGAGCAGGTAGAGCAGCCACCTGCCCCACTCCAGCACAATGTAGGACAGCCACAGCCCGAACTGCTGTATAAGACACCACAGGCACACGGTGATGTCTAGCAGGAGGTAAGTCAGCCACGTGAGGTAGTGCAAGTTGACGCAGGACAGCCAGGAGTGCTCAATGGCCAGCAGGTAGGACAACCACTTGACGTTTCCCAACAGCTCCTGCGAGACCCAGATGGAGAAGTCCAGCGCAAGGTAGGACAGGTAGAGGCTGGAGCTGAGCGCCAAGTGTACGAGTGTCAGGGTGAAGTCCCGAACCATGTACACATTCCAGTGGATAAAGTTCATCCACACATACGACAGCCACAGGTGACAGCGTGACTCGGTGTAGGAGGACCACAGGCTGTAGTTACAGAGAACGTGCGTGAGCCAGTGGACGCGATCGTACAGGCTGTACAGAAACCATATGGTCTGCTCCAGGGCGCCGTACAGCAACGGCATGGCGTGTTCTATGATGGTGTAGAGCGCTTCCATCGCGCAGCACCACAGCCTGTGTATGATCCACAGACACACAAAGTTGTGGAAAAGCAGGAAGAGGATCCAGGCCAAGCAGTTGAGGCAGGAGTTTGAGATCCACATGGAATAGACGAAAACCAGGCATAGGAACCACACCACGTACTGCAGGACGACGTACAGCAGCCACAGCCCTTTCTCCAGCACAACCACCGGCATCGCTGGCAGCACAGTCAGCAGTGCCCGAGTCTTCACCGGAACCAGGTTCGAGCGCTCTGGGGCGCTATCCCTGCGCGAGGGGCACTATGTTAACGCGAGCTGCTGTTGTCCCGAGTATTCCCTGTGACGCAGCCGTCACATCTCGGCTAAATCTCCCGCAGCAAAGCGGCCGTTGCGATGGACCGGCGGAGACGGCCGGGTTAGGAGCACGAGCGAAGGCGGCGAGAGACACTGCATGGCTGAGGACACTATCCCGGGGATGGATTGCGAGGGGATTCGACGGCTGTGTTCTGCACCATCTCTGGTCCCTTTGGGGGCCCCCTGGTTCCCCAGGGCGAGTGATAATGGGGACTGACCCGTTACCACGTGTGACGTCAGACAGTGAGTCAACAATTGGACGGGCGGCCAATCATCTGGGGGAAGAGGGAAGCCTCTCTGATGTGGGAGTGAGGGAGGGTCCGATCCGTTGGTAGCTCATTGGAGCGTTAAACGCCCACTTGTGGGGACCATCAGTCGGAATTCTCAGGAGAGGACGGGAGGAAATTGTAAACTAACCGCAGTGAGACTGATCTGTAGCCGTCCCCTGCTGCGGCGGAATTGGCTGCCGCGTTTCGTTCCACAGAATACGCAGTTAATTCCCTTCACGGCATTGCCTGCGAAGCGCTTTGAGACGTCTCGAAGACGTGATGAGGCGCTGTATCAAATGCAAGCATTATTGTTATTATATAACACCCGCCCCCCCAACACACACGCAAGCACGCACACATGCACACACACGCACACGCACGGATACCATGTGTCAAGATTGCGCTGTGTACAGATCGATGCGCTGAGCTGCACAAAGTCCCTAACTTGTTGTGTTCAGCAGCTCACTCACTGGCGAAGGAATGGACAATATTGACGGATGCTTCACGCTTCAGTGGGACGTTACGAAAGAATTGCGTAGAACGCTACAGACCATAAACAGGCCCTTCTGTTCATCCCAACCAGTCTGTGACGGTGTTTATACTCCACATTTGCCTCCTGCTCCTAACCCCCTCTGTTGCCCTCTCCCTCGTGAATGCACTGTTCCCTCTTCAAGCCTCTGCTTCAGCCACAGTTTCCGGCAGTGGGTTCCACATTCTCACCGGCCTCTGTGTGATCAGGTTCCTCCTACTCTCTCTGTAGGAAGTGGTCCTGGTTACCTTATATCCTCTTCCCTTCGTTTTGCTCTCACTGATAGACAACCTATTAATACCTGCCCTTGCAGAAACCTTTCATAATCTTAAACTCCACCTGGCTCAGAAACTGGACGAGAGACCGTCGCAGAAGGTAGGTTTGATTCTGACATTCTGCTGCCAAGCATGTCACCCTTGCCCCAGTTTAGCTCCAAGGAGACTTTGGTTACCTCCTTCCACCCATCACCCCGGGTCTAGATGGAAAAGCTCAGTGGAATCTTTAAGACTAGCTCAAACCCATAATCTCTAACCCAGAGGTGAAAGAGAAGACAGTTAATGACTATCCGGCGCTCGCAACCAGACACAAAGACTGGTTGTACAGGTAACACTGCATTCTCCTGCATCATAATGTAACCTAGAGGCCTGGCCATGCCTTTCCCCACCATGGTGTTGGGGTGTGAGCTATGTGTTGTGTCAGTGGGTGAGGTGTCTGTGGTGTCGGGGTGTGAGCTATGTGTTGTGTCAGTGGTGAGGTGTCTGTCTGTGGTGTCAGTGCGTATCTGGGGAATTGTTGGCCAGGACACTGGAAGATTTTTCCCATTTTTCCGATAGTGCAATTGGGATCTTTAATGTCCATCTGAACAGGCAGGCGGGACCTCATCTAAGGGACAGTAACTCCTACAATATAACACTCCCCCCCAAGCCCCCCAGCAATATATTGGAGCATAATAATAATAATAATAATCCTTGCATTTGATATAGCGCTTTTCACGTCGGGAGGACGTCCCAAAGCGCTTCACAGAATATACTGTAAAGTGAGTTGACTGTATATTTGTGGGCGAACGCGGCAGCCAATTGCGCACAGCAATGTCCCACAAACAGTCATAGATTGAAAATGACCAATTTAATTATTGTTTTTGGTTTTGGAGGGATTATTATTAGGCTCTGTGTGGAGTAAGGAAACTTGCCCAAGGTTTCGCCCTGACCTGCCTGGAATTGAACTCAGGTCTCTCGCTTGCAAATCGAGTGCTCTAACCACTGAGCTACAGGACTCCACGATCTAGCATCCGCCTAGATTGCACAATTTCAGGCAGACAGGTCGGTTGCTGAGTTTCGCCCACAAAACGCACAGTCAGTTCACTTTACAGTGTATCCTGTGAAGTGCTTTGAGATGTCTCGAAGACGTGATAAGGCGCTATATCGAACGCAAGGATTATTAGAAGAAGACTGTTCTGATTTAATTCTTTCAGAACACGTTCCCCCTCCCCACGTCACAGACACAAGTTGCCTAACGACCTCCTGGTGTCCCTTCCGAAATGACCCTTTACAACTCAAAGCCTCCGTCCTTTTGCTCTCCTGTATCTGACCGTGGTCACACACTGGCTACCTTCCCCCAGTCTGTGCCCCATCATCTGATCTCAATGAGGATCAAATGTAGACACCACAATTGTTATCAGGCGTCACAGAGTTCTCTCGTTTCAAAACTAATGTTCGTTCAATAAGCTGAAGCACAGTTGGTTAGAGATGTTTTGCAAAAACAGACAAGCCTCAGAAATCTCACTGAACAGGTCTAACCCCTCTTGAAGTAACTGGCGAGGGTTCAGAGTATTGCATAAATGGATTGGGTCCCGGCAATTACGCACCACTTCCAGACTCTCTGAATATTTTGTGAGTTTAAAGGAAATCAGCTTGTCTCAACAGGACAGTTCCCACCTCAAAGCTTACCCAGCCCGGGTGAGGGAGTGGCTCTAAAATTCCAAGCCTTCGCTGTACAACTTGTAGCTTAGTGGCTTGAGCCCTCGACTTGCAAGCGAGAGGTCCTGGGTTCGATACCCGGGCAGAGGGCGAAACGTTGGGCAAGTTTCCTTACTCCACGCGCCTCTGTTTACCGAGCGGTACGTGGGAACCCGGTTGTTAGTGGATTCGGCAGCCCCCCGCGCTCACGCCAGGCAGAACTTCAGAAAGGTGCTAAAAAGGAACAAGCGTTTTCCCTCTAATTTGCAATGCGAAGGGCTGCATTTGGGGACAGTCCCTGGAGAGTGAACGTCAATCACAAGGTCTCTAATTGAGTTGGTAATTTTTGGCAACCTGTGGGAGAGCTTCCTGACTGATGTCAGCTTTATCGCCAAATAACCCATAAACCTGCCAGTGTTTGGTCAGTTGGTTGGAGTCCAACACACTTGGCTGGTGTCTGTGTTCGCACGTTGGATACACAAGCACACAGAGACAGGTGTGGTTGTACCAGCAATACACCTGGAGACCATACAACAAGACTGAATGCGCAGTAAGTGCACTGGGTTGGTTTCGGAGTAAGTCAAACGAGGATCCATTGTGGAACACGCACTTGTGAAACTTTTGGAACCCAATTGGAGGTGATTGGGAAGAAGATTTCATCAACAGAGAGATGATAAAATTCCGAGCTCGACGTGAACTCAGGTAAGTGCGGATGTGGTGGATCGGCTTCAAGCCATCGCACACTCGGGGTGCGATGGTTTCTCTGACGGGAAGGGAATATTAGCAACAGCAACAACAACTTGGAATGTATGTGGCACCACACAGGAGTGGGCGTCTCAAAGCGGCCGTGAAGAGCGCCCAATTCGGGCAGGGCATTTGATCCACCGCCTTATCGTCACGTAGTCTAAGCTGATGCTCCAGTACGGTGCTGGGGACGCGCTGCGTTGTCCGAGGTGCCGTCCTTCAGATGAGACGTTAAACCGAGCTCCAGTCCGCGGCTGTCCCGGTGGACGTTAAAGATCCCGCGGCGCAATTCAAAAAGAGAAGGGAGGTTCTTTCTCTTTCGCTCTCGCTCTCTCCTGACAGACCGACAAATTAAGCCCCGTCAGCCGATTGCAGGCACCCCCCCCCCCCCCAATGACTTTGTCAAAGATCTGTTGTGCAAGAAAGTCCAAGCCATGACGCCTCTTCCTTTACCAATTCCTCATTTTCCAACTCAGTGCTGGCTGCCGGCTGCCGGTGAGCTGAGTGTGGTGAGTCCGAGGCTGAGGGCAGGTACCGGGGGTGAGGTTGTCGGCTCTGTTGGGACAAGGCTGTCGGGCTGGCTGATCTGTATGGATTGTGTTGATCGGTCTACAGCACAGTGGGAAGCTTTCGTCTCCCTAGGGAGCCTCTTATCTCTGTACTTTTACCATTCGCTCGCTGAAATAATGTGTCTGCAGATTAGTTTTGAATTCAGACCCCTTTGTGTCCTCTGGTTCTTCTGTTCTGGACAAGATGAACCTCTTGTTGTGGTCAACATGATCCAGTAAAACCCTGCGAGGCGCTTTGCAACGAATCGACGAGGTGATAAGGCGCTGTGTCAAATTATGGATTATTTTTATTACCATTGTTATTTTAAGTGTAGCGGGCGGACAGACTGTGAGTGTGTAATGCAACCCGTGTACCTCGCTGCTCTGTACGCAGGATGATGGATAAAAATCTCAGGGTATTATTGGCGACAGAGGTTGACAGCTGCACCCCGGACCCCTGCAATGAGATGAAAATCAAACAAAGGTCAGTGACAGCGACCGATCGCAGGCTTCCCTCGGACAGATATACACGCACAGGACACGCACACACACTGAAAAACACACACGTAGACAATGCACACAAGTCACATGCATACACACACACACACACACACACACACACAAACACAACAGCGCCTTATCACGTCGTCGGGACGTCTCAAAGATATATAAATGCAAGGTTGTCGTTGCGGTTGCGCCTAACAGGAAGCTGCAGAATCGTGTCTGGGTGGATTTCTACCGCTCCATCGCCGAGGGCGACCTGGGAGAATTTGACAAATTCCTGCAATTGTTTCAAGAAAGCAAAACCAAGTTGACGGCCGAGTGGCTGAGAGGTACCTACGCGACATTACACCCTCTCCACAAAACGCACAAGTCACTACACTTTAGCCGCGGCTTCGTCCCTTCTCAGTGCGGCTGTGAGGGCTCGACCAGCCAACTCTAACCCCCTCCCACCCCCCCCCCCCCACCCCCACTTCCTACGGTGTCTTACAGACCCTCGAACAGGGAAGACCTGCCTGATGAAAGCGTTACTGAACCTGAACGACAACACGCAGGAGATGGTGGAGAAGCTGATCAGCTTCGCAGAGGCCAGCGACTCACTGGAGCAGCTCATTAACGCTGAGTACACCGACAGGGAATATAAAGGTGAGAGTCGCAACAACAACAACAACGACGTTACACTTATACAGCGCCCTTCACGACACGGGCATTCAGCACAGCCGCCCGACTCAGCACCCGTCAGCCTGGCTCGGACTGGAGCTCTCTCTCTCTCTCTCTCTCTTTCTCTCACCTCGCAGTCAGGAGGTTGAGAAGGTTCTGCCCACGGCTAACCATATGACTACCCGCAGGCCAGACCGCACTGCACATCGCCATAGAGAGACGGTGCAAGACCATCGTGCAGCTACTGGTGGAGAAAGGCGCCGACATCAATGCCAAGGCTCAGGGCAGGTTCTTCAAGCCCAAGAAACTCAAGCACGGCTTTTACTTTGGTGAGTAACACCACAACCTGCTCTCAGCCTGGCTCAGTGTAACCCCTAACCCGCTCGCTCACTGTCAGCCTGGCTCAGTCAGCAACGCTCTCGCCTCTGAGTCAGAAGTTCAGGGGAGTCAGAAACCCCCCCTTTTCTCCCTCCTCTGAGGCCCCTGACCCTCTGGCCCTGTGTGTGTGTGCAGGTGAGCTGCCGCTGTCTCTGGCCGCCTGCACCAACCAGCCAGACATCGTGACCTTGCTGATGGCCAGTGGGAGGACGGATGTGCGGGCTCAGGACGCGTGGGGCAACTGCATCCTCCACGCCCTGGTCACTGTGGCCGACGACAGCGAGGACAACACAACCTTCGTCACCGAGATGTACGACATGATCCTGATGAGCAGCCAGGACCACAACCTGGAGGGTATCTGTAACCTGAGGGGCCTCAACCCCTTACAGCTAGCGGCCAAGCTAGGCAAGTTTAAGGTAAAGGTGTAATATCTCTCCCTCTCACCCACCCCCACTCCCCACCTCACTCAGACACATCCTGTGGAGTCCTGTAGCTCAGTGATTACAGCGCCCGGCTGCTCAAGCCGAGCCGCAGGGACCCGGGTTCGATTCCCCGGGCGGGACAGGGCGAAACTTGCGTTGGTTGGGCAAGTCATCCAGACCAATCCTGTGATCTCGCCAACGGAGTTTGCACCAAGTCAACGATTGGACTTGGAAAACGCAACCGCGCCCTCAAGTGGCAAGAGATGGCTACACATCACACTCATCTTACACACACTCTGGTCCCTACAGAAGACGTGAAGAGGCGCTATATCAAAACTACGGCGATTATTATCATTATCCCAGTGTCTGCTGCCCCGCTCGCTGAGAAAGGTTCTACAATCCATTGCTAACTTGCCCTGTGCAGCCTCGGCGTTCACCCGCTCGGGCTCTTGTTGTTGCTGTTGTTATTGTTATTAATGTAAAAAGTTGGGTGATTGCGGATGGCAAGCGGTTTAATTCCAAACTCCATTGTACCTGGCAGATATTCAGTCACATCCTCTGCAGAGAGTTCAAAGACAAGAAACACCTGAACCTCTCTCGGAAGATCACGGACTGGGCATACGGCCCCGTGTCCTCCTCGCTGTACGACATCACAGAGGTGGACACCAACCACCAGAACTCTGTCCTGGAGATCGTGGTGCACAACACCAAAATCCAGGCAATCTTTCTCTCTCTCTCTCTCTCTCTCGCTCTCCATCCCTCCTTCGCTTGCTCATTTACACTGTCAGCCTGGCTCAGTGGCAGCGCTCTTGTCTCTCAGTCAGCAGGTTGTGGGCTCAAGCCTCCACGTTGGGTCCTTGATTGAAGCGTCGGCTTAGACTGTGTGATTCCCAGTCCGGACGTGGGGCTTGAACCCACAACCTTCTGACTCAGAGCCAGGGAGCCAGGCTGACGGACTTTAAACGGTACTGTTAGTCCAGGCAGACACATTGCCAGTGCCTGGGGAGCCCTGCGTTCTTGGAGGTGCCGTCCTGCAGGTCCCGACCCAACTGTCCTGCGCCTTGGGACGCCCTCCTGACGTGAAAGGCGCTCTATAAATGTAATCTTGTTGTGGCTGTTGAGACTTTAAATCGTCTGCCTGTTCGGGTGGGAGGTTAAAGGCCCCGCGGGGCTATTTGAAAAGAGAAGGGGATTTCTCCCTCTCTCTCTGTCTCCTGGTATCCTGGCCAACAATCCCCCAAATAAAATCAGTCACTCACTCCATGGCTGGTTGTGGGATATTGCTGTGCGCAACTAGCTGCTGCGTTTCGCTCACAAAATACAGTTACTACACTTTACACAGGTGTATCCTGTGAAGCGCTTTGAGACGTCTCAATGACGTGAAGAGGCGCTGTATCAAATGCAAGGATGACTTATTATTACATTTGATTCTGTGTAGAACCGCCATGAGTTGCTGTCTGTGGAACCATTGAACACATTACTGGAGGAGAAGTGGTTGACATTTGGTGCGCACATGTTCACCATCACCTGTATTGTCTACGTGTTGTACATCATTGGTTTTACCACTGTTTATTATAACCAAGCCGAACGATACCAGGTAACGAACTAACTAGTTTAATTTTTCTCACCCCCAGTTTCGTCCTCTCCCGTAACCAGTGACAAGTACTGGGAACAGTAAATCCTGTGAAGCGCTTTGAGACGTTGAGAGGTGAAAGGCGTAATATCAAATGGAAAGGCTATTTCTGAGTTTGACGATGACACAAACATAGGGAGTCTTGCTAAGAGTAACCCTCTGTGTTCACAAGCTCCAGGAGGAAGACATCGACAGCCTGGTAGCTTAGGCAGAGAAGTGACAGGTGAAATTTAATGTAGTTGTGAAGTTATGCATTTTGGGAGGAAGGATAGGGAGAGGGAATACCTACTAACATCTCTCGCCCCAAAGCAAGTTGATGCTTTACTTTTTCAAAAGGAGCTGATTCTCTTTAGACACAGAGTTGGGAGACACAGCGGGACAGGGTTCCACCTGAACTGTCGGGTGAAGGCCAGCGTGGGTTTTGCGTGGTCATTCTTCATTCAGTGTTTCTTGGTTATGTTACAATAAATATTTCCTTATCAGTCTTTAATCAGCGAGAATCTGACAAGCACGACTTCACTGCAACTCTTTGGAGAGATTTCCAGTTTCACTGCCGCCTGGGTTGTAATAATCAAGGAGGTGAGTATGAGAATGTCTGTCGGTGTCTGGCTGTTCAGACACACAATGTGATATTAGAGCAGCGTTGTACTATTATTATATTGTGGGGTAACATCTCTACCTCTTAAATCTTTCTGTTGACCCAGCCCGGGATTTGGGAAGCACTCTTCCCATACTCGATTCCCAGGATCCCGGATAATAACAGTGCTACTGAAATCCTGGACTACCACCCCTGGGCCGTGGCATCTGTAAGGCTTTTGGGAAAAATGGATTCACAATTTCCATATGATGTTATATAATATGGAGCTGTTAATAATGAGCCACTTCTTCATTATAATTGCTCTATCAGGTTCCCCCTCAATCGCCTCACTGAGGGGGTTTGATAAGGTGAACACACATAGATCCGACTCCACTCGTTGGTGGCTTCATAACAAGGGGACAGAAAAATAAGACAGCTGCCAACAGATATAAAAGGAGGTCAGAGGAAAAGGAACTTTGTTTCACTGCTGGAAGCCTGGTTGAAGCAGAAAGCATCAACGTTTTTAAGAGGGAACTTGTGTACATGTAAGAGAAGGGCGTAGAGGGGTGTGCGAGGGGGTAGGGGGGAATTAGCTGAGCCAAATGGCCTGTTTTGGTGCAGTGTATGCGATATGATTTCACTCTTAATTTCTTCAGCTGTAATCATCCTCGCAGAACATCCAGTGAAGTGTTTTCACAATCTGTGCGAGCGGTGAGAGTCTGCCCTCTGCCCTCCTGTCTTAATGTAATTATTATGTAATATTTCTCAAATAAGGAACTCCGTGAGGTCAAAGAAAACCGGCCAAAGCCCTTCTGGAGAAGAATAGGTACCAGATATTCTAATTAGATTTTTTCCCCACCCCCCCTTCTCTGCTTTCTGCAGGGCCTGGTATTAGTCAGACTGAGACCTTCTGACCTTCGATCAATAGTGACTGATGCCTGGTTCCACATTCTATTGTGAGTTTATCTCAATAACCTGTTGGCCAAGTGGTGGGGATGGGGAAGCCACCAATAGCCAGAGGAGATGGAGGGCAATATCATCATCATCATAATAATAATCCTTCCATTTGATATAGAGTCTCATCACAAAATTGCCTCACAGCACTTCACGTGATTTATTGTAAAGTGTAGTGACTGTGTATTTTGCAGTATAGCAATACAATATAGCTACAAGCTATATTGTAAAGTAGACTGACAAGATAGTCTAGATGCACTAAAATGCAGCTTCAGCTGGTTAGACTCTAGCAGTTATCCCAGCGCACACTCCCAAGCCTTGGCGCTTGCCAACCTGTGCCTGATACTCTCCGGAATTAGGTAAGCAGAATGCATCTCTCCAGGGAGAGAGCGCGCATTCCAACAATCCATCTCTGGGATTTTCCCCCATCCCCCCCCCGGCTCAGAGTAAGGCTCTGCCACTGTTAAGCGCTCTGAGACTCTACCCTGGGTGGAGGGCGCTATATAAGTGCAAGTTGTTGTGGTGGTGTAGATATGGGGCATGGAAATCTCAAGTTTGGTTTGGAGCCACTTAAGCGTGTTGGTGGGTTTCTGCACGTGTCAGACACCCGGTTGATGGCAAAAGAAGAAGTGTGGGGGTTGCCACAGAGGGCAGGTGCGGAGGTGGGGACTGTGTCAGAGAGGGTGATTGAGACACCAGGGGTTCTCAAAACCAAAGGTCAAAAAAAAACTAAAATTATTCCTTTGGGAACTGGGTACCAGTTATCTCTGGTAACTTGCTGACCACACCCCCCCCTCACCCCAGAAAAAATGCAGTAAAATGGTTTTAATTGAAATGTTTTTTTCCTGCTGTGTTGATCAGCTTCCTGCAGGCGTTGATGACTGCGAGCTCCGCCGTTCTGTGCTGGGCGAGGGTAGAAGCACATCTACTGCTGCTGGTCCCAGCCTTGGCCCTCGGCTGGATCAACATCCTCTACTTCACCAGAGGCTTCAAGTCCATGGGAATATACAGTGTCATACTGCAGAAGGTGGGTGATGCTCTGAGCGAATGAGTGCACAGAATGCAAAGTAATAATATAACAATCCTCGCATTTGACACGGCGCCTGATCACGTCGCTGAGACGTCTCTAAGCGTTTCACGGGATATCCTGTAAAGTCAATTGACCGTATGTCTTGTGGACGAAACCCGGCAGCCGATTGCTCACAGCAGCGGCCCCACAAACAGTCGTGCGTTGAGTGACCGAATTTGTGGACCAGGACACTGGGGTAGAGAGAGAGAGACGCCTTTCTCTTTTCGAATAGCGCCGCGGCATCTTTAACATCCACCTGAACAGTAGGATTAATGATTGTAGCAACAATAATAATAATAATCGTTACGTTTAACACGGAATAATATTTCATAGGAATTTAGTGTAACGTGTAGTGACTGATTTGGAGGTGGGGCAGATTGGTGGTTGGGGTTAGAGAGAGAGTGACAGAAACTCACTGTCCCACTTGGCCATCTCTTCCCTCCGATCGTTCAGCGCTTTGGGACGTCCTCCCGCCGCGAAAGGCGCTCTATCTATAAATGTAATTTTGTTGTTGTTGTTGCTCAGGTCCTTTTGACAGATGTCCTGCGTTTCTTATTCGTCTATTTGCTGTTCCTGATCGGATTCAGTGTCGGTAAAGATATTTCCATTACTAAAAAGCTTTGGTAGTGTTGTCCATCGCTCCCCCTCCTCCCCTTCATGCTGGGGTGGGACACACACACACACACACACGACCCTTTCACTGTGTGTGTGGTATTGACGTCTCCCCCCACCCCGACACACATACATCATCTGACCTGAAGCTGCAGCTATCCAGCCATCACTAGCGCTGACCCGCCCCACAGTTTATGAATTAATAATAATATTAATAACGATGGGAATTAACGGGGAGACACCGTGCGCCGCTGACCCCGAGTCTCGCCTGTAAACTCTGCACTTACCCTGTGTCCCGTGGTCTACACACGCAGCCCTGGCCTCCTTGATCGACAGCTGCCCCAAAAGCCTGGAATGCAGCCCCTACCTCACCTTCAACACCGTCATCTTGGAGCTCTTCAAGCTGACCCTGGGGCTGGGAGACCTGCAGATCCAGCAGCATGCCAAATACCCACAACTCTTCCTCCTGCTCCTGGGCGTGTACGTGGTGCTGACTTTCGTCCTCCTCCTCAACATGCTGATCGCCCTGATGAGCGAGACCGTGGAGGACACTGCCAAAGAGAGCAAGAACATCTGGAAACTCCAGGTACAAGTGCCACTCCGCCAGAGATGGTCACAATGACTGGTCCCACCCACAAACACGCAGGCAGAACCTTAGGCAAGTTTCCTTACTCCACACACGCACACACACACGCCACTGTTTACAGTAAGTAGAAACCCGCTTGTTAGTCGATTGGTGGATCGCTTTCCAGTGGTAATAATCCCTGCTTTTTAAAAAAAAAAGGTCACTTAATCCACGACTGTTTGTGGGGACGCTGCTGTGCGCAATTGGCTGCCACGTTTTACCCACAAAATATACAGTCACTTCACTTTACAGTATATCCTTGGAAGCGCTTTGAGACGTCTCGAAGATGTGATAAGGCACTATATCAAAGATTATTATTAAATGGGGAGGATAGGAAGATTTTTCCCCGAGCAGCTAGGATATGGAATGTCCAGCTGGAGCAGTGGTTGAGGCAGAGTCTGTATTGACTTTCAAAAGGGGAATAAGATAAATATCTAAAAAGGCTTAAACTCACGGGGGTGGGGGAGGTCAGGTAAACTGGGCTGAGAGGATTGATTGCTCTTTAATGAGCAGCACAGACACAGTGGGATGAATTTCGATGATTGTAATGGATGGTGCAGACAGTAGCCACTGTGCAACACATCATCCACATCCCATCTTCCTGAGCCAATGCAGCACCATGATTATCTTGGGCGAATTTCAGACGAACAGAAGAAATGTGACCATGAAATTCATCTGGTTTGATTTCTCTGCTCTCTTCAACTAACCCACCCCACTCCAATTTCAGAGAGCACGGATGATATTAAACCTGGAGAGAAGTTTGCCCAAATGTCTGAGGAGGAGGTTTCAGCTGGGAACGATACTGAAGAACAGCCAAGGACACTCCAGGAGATACATCAGGTTGGTGGCTGGAGGTGGGGGGGGGGGGGGGGAGACAAAATATACAGTCAGTTCACTTTACAGCATATCTGTCAAGTGCTTTGAGACACCTCAAAGATGCGATAAGGCGCTATATCAAATGCTAGGATGATTATTATTCCTACTACTCTATCGTATGTGTAAGGATGACATTTGTAAGCAAGAGTTTAACGCCCCACGGAGTTTAATATTACTTTCTCTCCCAACTCAGGATAAATGAAGTCAACTGGACAAAGTGGAAGACCAGCGTAGCTCGAATCCACGAAGATCCAGGAAATGAGGAGGAAGAACAAGAAGGTGTGTATCTAGGCATGGCTGCCTTGCCACCTACAAAATACACAGCCACTATACTTTACAGCAAATCCTGTGAAGCACTTTCTCAGACATTGATGACGTGCTAAGCTGCTGTATCAAATCCAAAGATGAGTATTGTTGTATACCAGACCTAGTTATGAACACGACAGATTATCATTAAACAAGAACTTGCATTTATACAGCCACTTTCACGTAGGATAACATCTCAGAGCGCTTTACAAATGATGGTATCAGATACCGGTCGCATTTTCCTCCGTTCATCACAAATCACCCCATGAAAAGTTTTAACCGAGATACAAATAATTAGTGATGCTTTTGCACCTTTCCAGACAAATCATCAGATGAAGTAGAACATAAGATATGTCCAGGAACAACACTGCAGTCAGTGCAAACTACATCTGGTCCAAGTGACTCGGAGAAGGAAGAGCCGCGATGCAAGAGAATCGGAAAGCTCAGAATCAAAGCCAAAACATGAACACGCTCCATTCAGAGGCAGTTTTGGAACAGGAAACGTACCCACTCCAAGAGCCCTCCAACACAACACAGTAAGCCAGTGTTTTACTCGTGCTTTTGTCAAAGAGGAAGAGCTGGTGGTATTCCGAAACTTGTTACATTCCTTAATTAAGGAACAAGGCAAAAATGTGTTTTAAAATATACACACGCACCCTCCCGCGACATGGTAACATTGAAACGCACTCTGTAAGCTGCCGGGGAGGGGTGGGGGGGAGGTCTGGGTTCCGGGTAACACTTTGTTAGGTGCTTCTCCTGTAAAGTGCCACTCAACGGACTCAATCTGGGTCCAAAGTGTCGTCACCAGTCGAGGAGGAAATTCCGGAGTTGGGATACCTGCCACCTGTGTCTGCCTGAGTCACTGTTTCGTCTCAGGCCTCTGCACGGAGTACCAACGACAACAAATTACATTTGTATAGCGCCTTTTCTCGCCAGGAAGTTGTCCCAAGGCGCTGGCCAGTCAGGGACCCGCCTAAACCACCTGCATCCGTGCCTTGCCCCATTTCCACAACATCGCCCGCTCCACCATTGATTCTCCCCTCAGGCCGCCGAGACCCTCGTTCGTCACAACCAGACTCGACAATGATTGTCGGTCTTCCCGACATCCCCTCCACAAGCAGCAGGTTATTCAGGACTCCGCAGCTCATGTTCTCTCCCCATTTAAGGTCTGCCCTACAACCCCCGCCCTCCCTGTGTGTAGCAGGCCACCCACCGCTGCTCTCAGTTCGCAAGAGAAAATGTCGACATCAAAAACCAAACTGTTCAGATGTGCAAATATTTTTATTCTTCATCAAAATGTAGTTCTACAATAATATACATCGTTTTCGTACTGAATTTTGATACATCCTTGAATCAGAACTGCTCACCTTCCCCAGATTTGCATCCCCTATAACAAATGTCAGATACAAACCAACCACACTTAGTGTTGAGCTTTTTCCTGCATGGAAGGAAAATTTAGTCACGATTTTAACCTCTCGAGTCACCATCGAGAGGCCAAATCACATGGTCATAAATTAGCAGTTTTCACACAATAAACTCCCAAACAAGTGACCCCACAGCCCAAGACAACATAATGTACAATATTGCTGCCTGTAGGGGCGTTTCTCCAGTGTTGAGATGCTGCTTTGTTCCGCCTCCTCACAGACACCCATAGAATTATCTGACGGTTCACTCCTTCCAAGCACTAAAGCAAGATGCGGGAAGCCTACAATCACCTCCTTTTCTTACAAAGCGGCTTGCTGGACTCCCATTGAGCATCGAGTTCAAACCCCACAGTTCCGATGGGGATTTTGTTACTCAGTAATAATGTATTGGCAAGTTTAATGTCCTGGCACTAGATGAAGTACTAGGATTTTATTTTTTTTTGGGGGGGGAGGGTGAGTGAGGGTGGGGGGGGGAAAGGGAAAGGAAGAAGAGAAAAACTGCTGCTCTCAGCTGGTACAGAGCAGCTGATACAGATCATCCTCATTCCTGACAGTGTGAAGGCAGAGATACTGAGAACGTGTACACAAACCTCCAGGGAGCGAGAGAAATGAGAACAGAGAGAGAGAGAGAGAGAGAAAAAAAACAACAGCTTATTAAAACCTCTATTGCCATGATTATACAATGGTAGAAGTCATGGGGTGGGGGCGCGGGGAGAGGGACAAGCTCCACAAAAGATATAGCTGTACAATTAAAGAGTGCCAGAACAGATGGTCACAGGTGAATCAGGACACACAAACAATCCTGAGCAAGTCATTCGCACACGGACAGCATTTCATACACGCACACATTCTACTATTCATCTGGCCACCATTTTATATTCCGTGATATAAAAAGGTATTCCACACCAGGTTCATGTTTTTAATTGGTAAAATCTATCCGATGGCACATCAGGATCAGCTACCACATGAGGAAGGAGGTCACTGAAGTCAAGGGCATACGACAGCACAGGTGCACATCACCACAGCCCTGAGACAGACACAACAGTTTCCCATATGCCCCCAAACCTGGATTGCACCATTTACACCGATGATGAAAAAAAACACACAGGCAAATTAAGTGTCTTGCACAAAGATACTGCAAATGAGTCTTCTTGTTTTTTTTTAAAAAAGGACTCAGTCACAGAAGTACAATTGGTTTTATTGAAAAGTTGCCTAGTTATGATTCTATTCACATTTAGTTACGATTTTAGTAAACATGATAATAAAACCGCAAGTAAATATGATTTCTTGAATGAAAACAGCGACTTCCTTTCTTCCCCTTACATTCTGGAAACGGTGGCTGCACTGTCAGACCCTGGCACGTTTGTATAGGTTGCAGCCCCAGCCTCAAGTCAGTTTTTTTCAGATCCAGGTAAAAAGCATCACTAATCTGTGCGTCTGTGTGACCTTACGCAGCACAAGTTCTCTTGAGCATTTACCAGGAGTTCACCTCTGCTCGCGGTAACCCTGCATCACTTTGAGGCCGCCTGCAGATATCTAATTTACCCGTAGCACATATAAAAGCAGCTTGCACTTATTGTTAATTCTTTATAACGTATACAGCAGCAGCTAGTCTCCTCCACAGTGGCCGCTACAGCAAATACTTTATTAAACTCGGCCCTGTGGAGGTAACTTCACATCGTAAGCAGAAAAAGAACTGGTCATTTAGATTTAGCACAAGGCTGTAAACAAACCTAAACACTTCAAGGCTCTCTTCTTTCAACAGGCTCCACGGTAACTAAAGGTACTCAAATCAGGTCTGGATAAGGCCAGTTTGCAAACCTGCCCTTATGGAGGGACACAATGGGAATAAGGGAATAACAATCTTACTGCAGGAGCCAAGCCCTCCAGAAACCGATCCAGTAATTCTGGCATCCTGCCGGTTCACGTGCCCCACACGGCAGCCCGTTTTATACCAAATGGTAAAGACTTGGCACCAACTCATTTTAAAATCCATTACAAAGGCTTTTATCAAGTGGAAAATTAAAACACTTGTAGGCAGTAAAGCTGCTTTAGTAGGTCAATAAAAGACCATTTTGTGTGGGATAAAAATGATTTCTACAGCAGAGCAACACATTTACAGTATTCATAGTAGTCATTCTCTACACCGGAGAACATTGAGTGCGTTATCACATATAAAGGAGAACAGAGAAAACCGTAGCAGGAAAATCTCACTCCAGGAGTAAGCAAAGGAAGATGCCCCAGATCCGAGACAGTGATACATCGAGGTTCAAATCGGCACCTTTTTTCCTGGTCCCATTGCAAGACCCAAGGTCTTTAGTCTTCAATACTGCTTCAGTTTGTAAATCTCAACTTATTTCCTACAAAACATCTACACTTTTCAACAACACTGCCATTTTATCTCATATGAAGACTTAAAGGGATTGTGCTCTTAGCTTGTCCCATTGAAGATAAATCACATAGTAACTTAGTAACACTGCCACACTTAAACCTTGAAGGTTTCGCATTCATCGGAATCTTTTTCAACTGGCAGTAAGGTGTTTTAGTGTTAAAAATAGGTTACCCACTGTTACCAGCAATCACATCTCCTTGCCAACCACCGTCTACTGAAAATGAGAATACTAAGCCTTTGAAACCTAAAGCAAACCATCAATTTCTATTCAGCAAATAATTTCGCATGAGATGAAGTACATGGTAAATTCGTGGATAATCTTTCGGATTGTACTTGAAACTCAAATAGATTTTTTTGTGAAGATGGCTCACTCACCTTCGGTTACAGGCAGGAGATTTACAAACATTCACAAATGCAGTCTCTGTCTGAGTCTGTTAGAGATCACTTGCTCAGTGACAGAAAGCAATCAGTGAACTAATGGGCAGTGTGTGTGTATGCGGGTGGTGGGGGCGAGAGGAAAGGTGATGGGGAAAAGAGAGAAAGTGTTAAAGGAAAAGGGACGTTCTATATTTTGTTTCACATAGAATCCCACTCACCAGCCCTTGATAACACAGCTGGACTGTTTCGTAGAAACATAGCTTTACATTTACTGTAGAACGGATGAACAGTCAGCTTCGGGCATTACCAGCTCTTTAATCTGAGTGTAAAAAGGCACCATTTTCAGCAAGCATTAATTCTCCAGTAGCCCCCAACCCCCCAGAAGGTGCTGTATAACCTGATCAAGCAGTAACTTCAATTGCAATTGTTTAGCACAACATCTAATTCAACATCAGTGATAACGAGTTCAATATGGGTGAAGCTTCGAAGCCTTGAGAGAAAAAAATGGTTACATACAGCCCTGAACTACAGATGTAGAAACATTCGGAATAAAATAGCAATGTCCATTGGTTTTAAAGAAAATCTATCGAGAACCATCTTTGTCCGACCTCAACTTTACACTGAAAAACATCAGCTTTACCATTTTCAACCATGCTCTCAAGATAAACAATCAAAGGGAGGTTCAAGGGGCAGCAAAGATTAAGGCTTTTCAATGGGATGTGAGGGAGACTAATGACTTGCGGGTGCCAGTAAGGACCACTCATACACAATACTACTCAAACCCTCACTAACGGGCAACATTCATACAGAATTAGTACAATAATTTTAAAAGTTACAGTAGTATTAGCATGTTCAGCCAGTGTATGAAAAAGAAAAAAAATGCATCGAATACTTTTGCCGGAAAACTTGTCTGCAGTTAAATAAAAAAATCATTAAATTACAGTATTAAACTTGCAAGTCGAGACCTCAATTAAAGAGTAAAGAATTACATCAGCTGAGGATTCATTCCATTCATCCCCAGCAACAGGTCTTCAAAACAGATTTCGAAATAAGACTCCTTAAACAGTGACTCATTTCACTTTAAGCAAATTTTGTTTAAAAAAAAGCACAGTGCCATGGTTTTCTGGGGTTAAATGTAAATCTGTGCGTCTACTTCTGGGAGTTTAAGACAGTACAGTATCGTCCACTGGGAGAATAGTGACAGGTTACTGTCACCGACAAATGACTAGTAGCACTCGATCACAGTTAAATAAAGAAATATTTGGCACGTTCAATCTCCCCCCTCTCCAAGCCAGTGCGTGGGTGCACCCAACGGATTAAACTATGGCACACCGGCATATATGGGAAAACAAGGAAAGTGGGCAGTGAGAAGCAGAGGTTCACAAACTAGCTAGCAATAGTTTTCAATTGTACTCCCCGACCCACCCATGGACTACCACTTGTCCTTTTCCTTCCACTATAAGCATAGACGGCACATTGTTGACAGGAGACCTTCAGCACAATGTGACAGAACAGGTCCGTGCCTGCATAGCTACGCATGGGCACTTTCCCACTGAGGCATGGATAGACAGCACCTTGTAAAAACACAGGGTGAAGAGGGTGAAATTCTCACACAGGGAAGGGGTGGGGGGAGGCAAAAAAAAAAATCAAAAAGGGAAAAGCTTGGTTTCTTTTTGGAACTATTACAAAAACCAAAGCACTTGCAAGAAACTGGTGTAATAAAATTTAGATTGAACGTTATAATAAACACTGATTTCTCCCGCTCCCCACACCTCACTCATCTGGAGTGGCAATCCTGCATTTTGATTTGAAATCCGATTTTCATTGCTGGGACCCGTCAAAATGCACGCAGCCTCTCCGCCCACGCCTGAGAGTTCCTAATCTGTGCCTTTTTGATCGTAGTCCATCAGGTTTGAGGGGACCCTCTGCTGCTCAGAGATTAAGAATTAAAGTACAAATGGGGTAAAAAAAGATTGGTGGGAAATTAACCCATTGGTAGGATGGAAAAGCTTCGCTCACCCCCTCCCCCCTGTTGCAGTACTGCAACAAAAGCTTTGCATTCCGCAAGTACTGTAATCGAGCTCCTCCTCTTTTGTCCCGGTTCCAATAGGACCATTGTGCAATAAACCGATAGGGGAATGGGTACAGAATATCACCATGGCACATTGCTAAGCTTTTCACGCCTCGTTGCAAGTCGAAGATTCTGGGCCCCGATTGACTTACAAGATTACATTTGTTTTGCATTCTCTGCCCCCCCCCCCCCCTCCCTCTGCCCTCGGGAATATGCTAGCTTCTAATTCCCAGGTGAGGAGAGCACGAGCTACGGCATCCACCCCACCACCACCACGCCTATTATTCGCCTCCAGCACGCAGCCTGCCTGCCTTCCTTCCTTAAAAGAAAATGTCAGACACTGACAGACAAGTTTAGCGTTCAAAAGCACTCGCACAGGAACATTACCCAGTTGCTATTAAGACGAACGAGAGCACCGTTGGGTCGACATGGCTCATCTATACACGGGATGGTGGATATGACTATTTTGATTAACATTTGGTTCTGGGCCTCGGCTGATGGGGGGCCGGTGGACCTTCCCCATCATCCCCATAGTTTGATCCCTAAAGCAGGAGTTTTGGTAGTCCCCACCCAGGTAATCCATGGTCTGCAGCATGTTTGTCTGGCCGGAGGAACCAGCTCGGAAGTGAGTCCCTGCTATGCAATCCACCTGGACTGATGGACCTCCGTGAAACACCATGCCCAGGTCCTGAGAACCAGAGCTGTCGCTGTTGGGGGTTGGCAGGATGTTGTTCCAGACCGGTTGAAAGTACTGCCCGTTTGAGTAAGCGAGGCCGCCTTGCATTCCGTTGATTGGGGGCGAGGGAGACAACTTATCCCCTGGAGGCTTCAGGGTGAAAGGCTGGCCCAAGCACAGCTCTGCGGGGTAATTCAATGTCTTGCTGGTAAATCCGGACCCGGGAACCTCTCGGGGGAGTTTATTGGGGAGTCCTGCAATGGCAGCATCTCTGGTCAGGTGCTGTAATTGTGCTAACTGATGCTGATGCCACGTCGCGGGATCCACATCGTTATGGTAACCCACCGGCATCCTGTTTATATTCCCCATGGCGAGGCCACCCGAAGCAATGGCAGCCATGGCTGCAGTTGGGTCTCCTGGGTTTACAATGCAGGTGGGGAGCGGGACTTGGACGCTATGGCCAGAGACCCTACTGCTGGCGTGGATCAACACGTTGCGGCTGATGGGGCTGGGGTTTGCAATCTGTCCCTCACAGACTGAGGTAGTGGTAAGGCTGGCGCTGGCCTGGCACATCTGGTATATCTGGTGCACGATGCTGTTCAAGTCAGACGGCCTGCTCTGCTGCGGGTTAGCAGCCATGGAGAGTGGAATGGTTGAGGTAGACACAGTCACGTTGGGTGGAGCGTCCGCGTCAGGACGCATCTTCCTATATCCATGTAAACCTGGTTGCAGCAGCGGGTTTGACTGGGGGTGGCTTAAAGTGCTGGGTGCAGCGTAGAGAGCAGAAGAAGGGGGATTCATGGCGACCTCCGGCAATAATCGCGCCCGACTTCCGTCAAAATCTTTCACGATTCTTTTCGTGGGGAGTTTGACTATTGCAAGTAAACCGCGATTCGAGCTGGCCTGAGTAGGGTATGGGCTGAAACGCTGGCCTGAAGTGTCCAATCCGTTCACCGTGCGACGGAGATGCTTCCTCTGTGGCACCTTGACGCTGTTTGGGAAGATTTTAATAGTCAGTGGATTATTGGCAACTTTCTTAGCATACGCGTCCAATTCTGCTGGGGTTGGGTGCTGTGCTGATCTCATCTTCTGTGTATTTTCCCCTAACGCAGGAAGAGAGAGAGAGAGAGAGAGAGAGAGAAAACATGGTAAGTGACAGCTACGACTCCCCCCACCCACCCCATTGTGCCTCAGGCTCCTGCATTGTGGCTCGTTAATCTAGACCCGATCCAATTTACTCAGCCAGACAACACCTCGCTTGCTATGGAGTTTCCTTAATTTATTGAAGGAATGTTCTGTTTACTGCAGATTTTACCCCACGGACATTTCCTGCTCAGAGGAGTCACTCCACCCATCATGTCTGCATCAATGTTGCTGGGTTTTTTTCTAAATCACTTTTGCTTCTTATTAATCCCACTTCCCAACTCTCTTCCCACACTCCTTAATGTTTTTACTCTTCAGGTCCTTATCCAGTTCTCTTTTGAACACTTGTATTGATCTGGCCTCAATAGCTACTCGTGGGAATTGAATTCCAAATCTTGACAACCCTCCAAGTGAAGAGAATCTACCAGCAATCCTGAGACAATGTCCCTCGACACTAATTCCTCAACTACTTTCTAACAGGGTCTAATTTGTGAGGGTTCCAAAAATAAGTTCGCTGCAAACCTCACCCATGACGAGATTTAAAGCCGTGTAATAATCCTTGCGCTGTGTACTTTGAGCAATAAATACTTTGGATAAATTGTTGGAAAAAAAATTGAAGAACATGGGGAAAGAGTAGGGGAATGGAGTTAAAGTACAGAATTCCATGGTGTAGTTAGCACTAGCACAAAAACAAATTGCATTTATATTGCGCCTTTTTACGTGGGGAGGATGTCACAAGGCACGGCTTGGATTAGAGAGTTCCAAAAGGGGAGCAAGCACCAGCACAATGATGATTCTGTGAAAAAAATAGCACGGAGACTATTTGTTTCAAACACCAATCCAACAATTATACTGAAAAACTGGTCCCAAACTATCGACAATAGATTTACATTTAAAAAAACAAACCACCAATGTCTTCTTGAAACACAGAAAAAGTTGCGACAAACAAGGATTTGAAATATGTTCTTATCAGAATGCTTTCAGGTACCTGCTAAGCAAACAGTTTCAGACACCTCCCACCTCCACCACCAATTTGTCTCTTTATTGTAAGAAATTTTAGTCACAGTAAGAAACTAGTGTCGGACACCCTCTGATACAGTGGATTTAAGATTTTATTTTCTTGCACACCAACTACCAGAGTGGAGAAGAGTCTCACATTATAGACTGAGCTATAACATCGGTAATACAAGTGGGTGGAATACCAGCCAAATCTCTCTCTCTCTCTCTTCCTGTGTCTGAGGTGATGAGCGCAACCAAGGAGGCCTTTATAACCCAGTTAATGGCGAGGAGCTGGACTGTTCTTTCTCTCAGGTGATTGAAAATTGCCAGTTTGGTATTTCATCTTCAACAGATGTTGGGCGTTGGGGGAATTAACATACAAATCCAACATCCCTTTCCCACACTATAAACAAGAGCATTAAACAATTTACACTCATTCACCAGTTTCTGGATTGAAATGGAACAATCAACAGGAAAGATTCCTGTAAAAGGGGCTCGTTTGCAAGCTTTTGTTGGATAATCTTACTTGTTATGCTATGTAATTCCCTGTAGCGGCAATCGGATATGCCCCTATTCACACCTACCTAAATACAACCTTCTAAATGCTGTGTGGATGGTGTGTTCTGTGCTCTGAAATGGTCTTAGCACACTGTAAACATCTCTGGGGGTAGGGTTTATGCCAGAAATAATTGCTGCTCACCAGATTATTTGCTTTAGTCAACAAATAAAATAAAATGTAAGTGCAGCTGCAGATTCTAGACACTGATTTTATTGTGATGTCTCCAGGGGGAAGGTGAACAGCATTTCCCATCAGATGAGACTATATTTTACTGACAGTGAAGGAAGTACAGTATCCAGGCATTTACAATGAGTGCTAGCAGTGGGCTCTGTCGATTCCATTCAGTTGCTAAGCAGTAGGAGCCAAGAGACTGTACTCATCATCCATCAGTAACTAAAAATCCGCTTAGCCGTTTTACACCTCTGTAAAACTAATCCATCAATTTGCATAGAATATCTGCAAACTTCACAGCTCAAAGTGCTGTCATTCTTAACAAGTAATATTTCCTACTCCACTAATAGATGAACTTTGTCTTTCTTTCGGCCAGCCAGGTGTCTGACATATGAGATAACCTATCACCACAGTTAAAAATCTCCAAACCAAGCTACTGAGCGTTCCACATATGCCTGTTTCAGATTCTAGCTTGGAGTGCACACTCTCAACCCAGAGGGATACACTCTACTTATCTAATCCTAAAGAGTTTACGCTCAGGTTGGCAAAAGCCATGACTTGGGGACCCCGGAGTATGCACTCTATACTGCTGGAGTTTAACAGCTAAAAATGTCCAGCTTACTGTTCCATTCATGAAGAAAATACTACATCTTTAGAACGATTTCTCTGGCCTGAATTTGAATGGCAAAGAAGATTTTAATCCTTCGCGTTCTGCAGCCATCAGATGTTACAGCTTGCTTTAATCACACCTTCCCATTACGCTCTCCCTCATAAAAATCCCACCAGGCATCTCGTCAGGTTGAGGGATCAAGAGCTGCAGTTTTGTTGAAAAGAGTGTGGTCTTGCTGCTGGTACCTGTCTTAACTTTTCCAATCTCACGTGAATGTCTACCTACTCCTTTGTTGATCCCGATGCTAGTGCTAAAAAGGCTGATCTCTGACTCTATCCCACAATCCCTTTGCCTCACCCCTTTTCTCGCCTCGTTCAAGTCCCGTCTAAAAACCTTCCTCTTTGACGATGCCTTCGGCCACCCTCCCACCTCCATCCCCCCCTGCTCTCCACTCCAACTCCCAGCTCAGGTCCAAAAGCCCAACTGTCCAGCTTCCTGGGACGTCTTTCCGACGTGAAGGGTGCTATACAAGTGTAATTATGTATTGTAATTTGTTGTTATTGGCAAAAAAGTTTGTTCCACTATTACAAACAAAGTTCATCCTCAGTCAGATCCTTCGCTCCCTAGATTCTGACAAACCCCAATGGAGTCTCTCTCACTGTTCACAAGAAAGATCTCCAAAATAGTCCCTGCCTTGTTTTCAGCCTCTCTCTCCTGTGGAACTGTGCCTGATGTTCATCCTAATAGTGATCCATGTTGCCCTTCAAACTCCTGCCCCAACATCCATATATCAACAACAAGTACTTGCATTTATATAGCACTGACATGCAGGATATTGACAGTTTTTAAAGTCATGAAAGCTTGGATCATTTCTTAAATTACACTTCATTTTTTCCCAGGACCTTAATGCAGAAACTCCCTCAGTCTTTCCCCCTCCTCCCGTAATACACAGGTCTTTAAAATAAGTGTCTCCAACCACTTCTTTACTCATAATGTTCCCTTTTACTCCTCAGGCCGATGGATCAGTGGTTACAAACAAATGCTCTTAAAAAAAAAGCACCTTACACTTTTTTTTTCAGATCAAAATCTGACAAAAAAAAGGTGTAAGGTGCCTTTTTTTATGAACAGGTTCATGTTGGCACCAAATCTCTGTATACCACATCATTTCATTTTGATGAAGATTCTGTCTAGTTCCTTCTGCCAATATCCATTCTCCCCCCTCCCACATTTGCAGGTGGCTTGGACACTCCAACCGTTTAAAAAGCTGTTCCAGTTTTGATTTTCTGAAGTGAATTAGGAAGCCGGTTGATAAACATGGAAATCCGTTACATTTTAATGGCGAAGAAAGGCCACTCCAGTCTGCCATTTCAGCACAATGCTAATGAGGTTAATTAAACTGCCTGGCTGGCCAATTGCTTAAATAATGGATCTGTGTAGGGTGTCGGGGCTGCTCCTGCAAGAAATCAGTTCCACAAAGCAAACTGCAGCCATTTTGTTTCCATGTCGCCGAGGACATGTTGATGTAGTGTTGTCACACCCCGCCAATGTCTACTGTTCTAACCTTAGCCCGCTGTAATGCTCCTTTTACCTCATCGCATGGACACATTCAAAAGTTAAATACTAGGAAACAAGATAACACTTACAGAAATATCTACTAATTTCTTCCATTGTGGTATCAGCCACAGCATTACCTCTCTGCAGGCAGGGCTGCAGACACCCAAGTATTTGCTTAAAAAAAAGCTAAGCCGCATCAATTAAACGCACTCAAGATTTTCACACAAGTGATTGATGAGCCTTGTGCAACAGCAAGGTAATGTTGACAGGTGATGGGAGGCCAAGACATGTGATGCAAAAAGAAATGAGATCTTCAGAAAGATCAAGCTGTGATATTGGATTAAAAAATGAAATGGAATTCATCATGTCATCCTCCTGATACTTACATTTCTGAAGTCCAGTGTTCATCTGCGTGTGAGAAAGGAGCTGCAGGGAGAGATCACCTGGTCTTCGAAGACAGGCCAGCATTGCACAACAGCATCAACACACGGCACGTTCACTCCAACACACTGTAAGGAAGAGGACAAATGTTTGACACAAATACTTTCGGATGTGGGGGGGGGGGAAGCAGAGAAAGAGGAAACGTAGCGGGAGATGAGGAAAAGGAGGGGAAAGACGACGACGACAACAAATTTATAGAAGACGTCGAAAGAGTTCAGTTACATTCTATTCTTAAGTCTAAAGCCTCTCGAGTGGCTTTCTTTCCAATGGTTCCTGTGTCATTGGTCACAAGGATTTTGGCCTCTGCTCACTGCCTCCCAAATGAGCACAAAACTAAATGTTCTTACAGAATTCACTACATTTCCTAAACCAATCCTGACAGGCACCGGGATCTTTAACGTCCACCTGAACAGGCAGACGGGACCTCGGTAGTTTAAGGACACTGAACTGCTTGTGGCTGAAATGCTCTCAGAATAATAGGGCTTTGTTTAGGCCTTAGTTTAATAAAAGAGAAATGCCATCTTCAGTGCTTTTAAAATAGTGTTTTCTAAACTGTTGGTCATAAAAGGGTTCAAGAGTACTTTGGCAGAATAGCGAGGTTAGAATGTAAAGTATTAACACACTCAAGCATTCAAAATTCCTGTAAATATAAACTAGCCCCATTGCCATAAGCCAGCTCTCCAGACCTACAACAATGAGCTTGCACAGACAATCTGCACCGAGCCATCAACATTCAGACAGTCTCCAATTGCCTCCAGCCTACAAATCCTCTAAACAGCGATTCAGAAATCGATTTGAACTGGATTTAAAATGAAAACAGAAGCAATTAAGGCTGCAACCTGGTTAACAGTAAAATAGCACAGCAGACTTATTGACATTCGCAAAACCATGGTGAGGCAATTTTCAAGATGGTGAGAAATACCACAGTTGTACCACCAGACTCAGAATTTGAAGGGGCCCACTAGAATCAATCCGTTCAAGGTTTCTCATCAGTATTCAGTGGGAACAAACCCGTTTTCATCCAATAAATTAATTCACTTTTCTGATGAAGTTCAAAGAACGATTCTCATTATCACCAGTAAAGAGTCAGCGCTATTCCTAGAGCCAATGGATAATTTAACTTAGTTCATTAAGCGGAATTTGGACAATTCCACTCGTAGTTGCAAAGCCAACTAAATGAATACATCCACAGCTCTGAGGTATTTGACCTAATGGGTAGGGATTCCTCCCTTCAGTATACCACTATGGTCCCAGCCAAACATTCTGTTAGTGCAGTATTAAGGGGCTCACAATCTAGGCTGACACTTACAATGCAGTGCTGGGGGGGTGGCTGCATTACCAGAGATGGCGTCCTTTTGATGGGATATTAAACCAAGATCCCATCTGCCTGTTCAGGTGGATGTTAAAGTTTCCGCAGCACTATTCGAAACAAGAAGGGTGTTTCTCCTGGTGTTCTGGCCAACAATCCCCCAAAATAAAATTGCTCATTTGCAGCATGGCTGTTTGAGGGATATTGCTGTGTAGAAATTGATTGTTGCATCTGCCTACAATAACAGTCACTACATTTTACAGGATAGCCTACAGTGCTTTGAGATGGCTCAATGGTGTGATAAGGTACTATCAAATGCATGGGCTATTATTTGATTCCAAATTGTTAATGGCTCCTAAAAACTATCAGATCTCAAGCAATCAGGTTGATAGCAGACACAGCCTCTTCACTGGCTAAACTTTAGCACACACATCAAAGGCCTGGGTCAGAAGTGAACTGAATCAGTTTAGATCAATAAATGAAGTCAATGGTGGATCAGAACAAAGACACGTTAGTAGCTTTCTTCAATAGTATTGAGCTCAAGCCGCATATCAAATTATTATATTGCGATGAGTTGTTTTTAAGAAAAATCAATCCTAATTAGTTCAAATCTTTAAGAGGCAAAGGAGAAGCTGTGTGTTAATTTATGGATAGGAATATTGTCAACTCCCATCCGAGTGATCACCCCAGTGGCTGATTTATACCAAACCATTGGCTTGGTTTTTAAAGCAAGATAAATGTGTGAGACATAAAATATTTGCTGAGTGTCAATTTTACACTGACACTTCAACCAGAGTTCTAAGTAATCCAAGGCACTAACTATTGCCCTTAATATTAGAAACACATTTATGAACCGTCATAAAATACTGTGCAAAACTGAGAACCCACTTACCTAATTCCAGAAAATATTAGGTGCAGTTTGGCAAGAGCCAAGTCTCCAGAGTGTGCATTGGACACTGCTAGAGTTTAACCAGCTAAAACGTCATAGCTAGCCATTGAGGCATCAACAACAACTACTTGCACTTATATATCGCCCTCCATGCAAGGTAGCATCTCAGAGCCCTTAACAGTGGCGGAGCCAGTCACTGAGCCAGGGGAGGTGGCCGTAAGCACGGTTGAAGAGGAAAGTTTTCAGGCAGGACTTGAAAGAGGAGGCAAGGGGGAGTGATTGAGGGAGTGTTCCAGAGGTTTGGGGCATAGTGGCTGAAAGCACGACCTCTGATGGTGGGGGAGGAGGGTGTGAGGCAGAAGCAGGAGGCTGGTGCCGATCAAGTGGAGGCGCCGGGTGGTGGATTGGGGAGTGAGGAGGTCGGAGAGGTAGAGAGGTGCCAGGGAGTGAAGGGATTTGAACACGAGTGTGAGGATCTTGAAGTTGATCTGTTCGGTGATAGGGAGCCAGTGGAGACGGCTGCCTGGCAAGTTTCCCAGTGTACCTGTCTTGCTAAGCCCACTGTTAGGATGATTTTAGGATAAGATGACCTAGCACCAGAGAGCTGAAATACTCCTTAATACAAGGGACTGGAAGCCTTGCCCTATTTCCACCCACATCTAGTCCAATTGCTGCCCTCACTGAGATCATGTACAGCTCTGTACAGAGAATAGAACCTGCAATTTCCTTAGCTTCATACTTACACTTTCTCACAGAGAGAAATAGGGAGAGAGAGACCAAACTCGATAAACAGAGTCCTGCTCAGGGCACTTCAGGGAAGGAATAATTGGAATGATCACCCTTAGCATTTTCCAGCGCTGGGAGGCATCTGATTAAAATCGTAGGAAATTTAGATTGGGTTAATTTGGAGACTTGAAATTTGTGAAATCCTGATTTACACACAATTAAATTATCCTTAGGTCAGAGCCTACAGGCAACTAGCACCTGTGCACACATAAACCAAAGCGACTCTGCTTCACAAGATAGTGTCCATTAGTAGAAATGCAGAGGCACAGTGCAAGCGAAAGCTATGCCTTATGCCAGGCCTTAGACTATATACAGCTTATATAGCCAATTAAACTTGAAATATGATCTCAGTTCACTATAAACTCAATTAATTCAGCAGTCTCACGGAGTCCTGGTTTCAAGTACCCTCACCTTGGGGTAAGCTCCATGCTGGGAACAATTCACTGGCACTGCAATAACCAAACAACAGCCGCCCTGCCACCCCCACATAAATAAATGCCATTGAACTGCTCCCGCTGAGAGCCAGCAATATAAATAGGCAGCGGAGATTCCAGAACTGGGTCCCGATTACAGCAATATCAGAGGGGGGAAAAAACAAGAAACTACTGCAAATAACGAGCATTTAAATGTAGCAACTACCCCCAATAACATGCTGTTTACTACAGGCCAGTACAAACAGTTGGCTTTAGCATTTCCAAGTTATAGTTAGTTTGTTGTATTTTATGAGTGCTTTTGATGTTTTTCAGTCATTAAACAGTGTGCGGCATTATTTTCCATCTTAGCAGGAGATCTGAAAACATGTGGAGTTTGAACGTTTGAATATTACAGGGATACTATTAACACAGGAGTGTCGACAGAAAGCTTTACAAACTAAGATTTGAGGTACGTTACCATACCCATTGGATCTTCAGACTACTGGGAACTGTTTGACTAAAGCTGGCAACCTTCAAGTTCAAGACCCGCTGAGGAACGTGGATTCATAATAAAGAAGGGGCGACGCGGAGGGCTCCAGAGGTGCAATGGCTGAAGGCTCGGCCACTAATGGTGGTGGACAGGTCAAGGGGCACACAGCAGGCCTGTGTTAGTGGGATGAGTTGTATGAAACACAGAGTTTTGTATCTTAATAATAATCCTTGCATTTGATATAGCGCTTTTCACGTCGGGAGGACGCCCCAAAGCGCTTCACAGAACACACTGTAAAGTGAATTGACTGTATATTTGTGGGCGAACGCGGCAGCCAATTGCGCACAGCAATGTCCCACAAACAGTCGTAGATTGAAAATGACCAATTTATTATTGTTTTGGGTTTTTGGAGGGATTATCTTGGACTTTGTGGCTGACGGAGCAGCGAGGAGACCATTTGAGAAATCAAGGAGGGAGGTGACAAAGGCGTGAATGAGGGTTTTGGCAACATTTGGTGTGAGATAGGGTGGGAGATATGGCGGAGGTGGAGGAAGGCAATCTTGTCAGGGACCGAACATTGGGAAGGAAGGATAACTGAGAGTCTAATCAGATATTGAGGTTGTGCACTGGTTCGGTGAGTTTGATAGATAGGCTGGGGATGTTGAGAAGGTTAGAGCTGAAGGTGAGAAGATGTTGAAAGGAGTCGTGGAGGCTGACATTTTTTTTAAAAACCATGTTTTTTTTAATGATGTTTTGTTGAGTTTCATCAAATGTTTTGTTGAGTTTAATTTAATTGCAAATTAAATTGCCAAAGAATAGCACCTAATTCAGAAACATAGAAACCCTCTGTGTAACGGCTCAATTTCCCGGGTGTTAATAGACTGCCTGCCACATGGAATACAATCAAATGGGGTCAAAAGAAAAAGGGAAAGCCAGCTCTGGAGAAAATAAGGAGTTTGATGAACAATTCTTTACCCAAGCTCAAACTATTTAAAAACCAAGTGATTCATATTTTAATATAAAACACTGAGAATCAACAATGCTGCACTTGCTGTTCATTGATTGCAAGACAACCACCTGAAAACTGAAGCATAAAAGGAGTCTGAAGCAGTACACCTAATGTAAGATTACAGAAAGAAAACTTGAGTGATTTGGTAGGGTGAATTTAAAACGCTTCATTA